GTGGGAATCCGGTTTTAAGTAAGCATCCATATGGGTAGCTTTCCTGTAGACCGAGTGGCTCATTGAACCATCAGGTCTCCTTTTAATTAAGACATCCAAAAAGGGTAGCTTGCCTTCTTTTTCGACCTCCATGGTAAATCTGATGGCTGGGTGTATGGAATTGATGTGGTCGAGGAATTGGTCTAGAGCAGGTAGGCCATGTGTCCAGATGACAAAAGTGTCATCCACGTACTTCTTCCATAAGGTCGGGCGTAGAGTGGCAGTCTGGATGGCGTCAGTTTCAAATTTCTCCATGAAAACGTTGGCTACAACCGGATATAGGGGGGAGCCCATTGGGGTGCCCTCAGTTTGTTTGTAGAAAGTTCCATTCCAGGTGAAGTATGTGTTGGTTAAGCAGTGTCTCACCAGGGGGGGTACATCAGTATGCAGTCCTTGATGAACCAAGTTTTCAATGATTGCAATGGTGTCAGGTACAGGAATTTTGGTGAATAAGGAAACCACATCAAAACTGACAAGTAGGTCGTCTGGGGACAGGGAAATACCCTTGATTGTCGATACCAGGTGAGTAGAATTTAGTACCGCAGAGGTGGTTTTTCCAGTGAAAGGTCGCAGTATATCAGACAGAAAACGCACCAGTTTGTAGGTGGGGGAGTTGATAGTGGAGACGATGGGACGAAGGGGTGTATATTCTTTGTGTATCTTTGGAAGGCCATATAATCTTGGTGGTCTGGCAGCAGAAGGTTTCAACGAGAACTGTTTGGTCTCATCAATGCTGTTGAATCAGAGATGATTTTGTTTGTTTTGGTAACCGGGCTGTTGGTGGGATCTCTTCATATTTTGTATAGCTGCCATCGTTGAGTAGTTCCTGAATTTTGTTGTTATGTTCTATTTTGTCCATGATGACAGTGGCATTGCCCTTGTCGGCTGAGAGGATGACAATGTCATCTCTCTTTTTTAATTGAGATAATTCCAAACATTCATCTTTGCTGATGTTGCTAGGTGGCATCTTAGCGTTTTTGAGGGTTGCAGCGATTTCAGATCTTGCTACGTCTGCAGCGATGTGACCCAGGCCCTTGAGTGCAACGATATCATTAACTGGTATGTGTCTAGGTGTGACTGCAAAGTTTAGCCCTTTAGCTTCCCTAGTAAGTTGAGAAAATGAGCACAGCTGTGTGGCAATTAAAGTGTCTATTATCTCTTTACTTATGGCAATATGTTCAGGAGCTTAATGCCAACATCAAGGTTTGCTAGCCACAGAGGGCTTCAAGAGAGAGTTTGTGTGGTTTTTGCTATTCCATTGAAGGAGCACAGAATACAGGGGATTACAATATGGACCATAGTTGGGGTTACATGGCCACAATTTCACTGCAGCTTGTTAATTTTCCATTTATGAAGATGTGCCCATTGACCTGTTGATGTTCTGATGCTGTTGATGTTACATCGGTGTCTTCGAGAAATGTCAAAGCCAGGAGATGTGATGTTTGGGTCTCGAATGAGGTTTATTCTGGATGTGCGCATGTGTTCCACTCTGTTCGCCAGTAGTTTTCCATATCTGGATGAGATTCTAGGATGGTGACAGTGGGATCCCAGAAAGGGGAATCTGGACTTGAGTCGGAGGTGGTGATTTACATTATTGAGTTCTTGGTTGGTGACTAGGTTGTCAAGAAAACATGTAAACTCCCTTGCAGTTTGCATCTCTCTGCGGATGTTTGGTGGCAGAATGTTTGTGAGAACAGGGAGCCATGGGATTGGTGTAGGTTTCATCTTCTTTGGTTCTTTCGGTAAAGTCACGTAGAATGAGAATATAATAAAATAAAATAACACAATTAAATTCTCACGACGTTTCGGCCACAACACAATTGGCCTTCATCAGGTGAAGGGACGAGACTGTCTCGAGGACAGCGCTGGAGCGAACACAGCCAAGCTCAGACCGCGACCTTCAAGCCTCAACTTTAGCACCACGGATAGCTACGAGCCCCGTTCAGACGGACGAGTTCATCCATGGTCGAAACGGAGGAGGGGGAGAGAGACAGCTGCGAGGCGCTGTTATACTCCATGTTGTAACCATACCATTAACCGTGGTGTGAGAGGTATTAAGAGTCAATGCCAGCGAAAGAGCTGCGGTCTGAAGGTCATCGTAAAATACAATTAATTAAGAACCGAAATGGTTTAAAACATCTTTCCAATGGTTACTAAGCCAGAATCCATCTTCTCGATTGAAATTGTCTCTGTGCTTGTATATGTGAATGGCCTCATGAACGAATCTCTCATGGTAGCGGTTGGTTTGCAAAAAACCTCCGTCTTGGAGAAGTCAATGTCATGTGAGCCCACTGAATTATAACAGTGATCTGCCACGGCAGAGGAGTTCGTTCTATCGTGTTTCAAGTCTGCTTTATGTTCGCGGATGCGGTCCGAGATATGTCGTTTGGTTTCTCCAATGTAGCTACTACCACAGAGGCACTTTAGTTTGTAAACGCCCGGGTACTGTATGTCTGGAACAGCATCTTTTACAGATGGAACCAGACTTGAAACATGGTAGAACGAACTCCTCTGCCGTGGCAGATCACTTATAATTCAGTGGGCTCACATGACATTGACTTCTCCAAGACGAAGGTTCTTTGCAAACCAACTGGCTACCATGAGAGATTCGTTCATGAGGCCATTCACATATACAAGCACAGAGATAATTTCAACCGAGAAGATGGATTCTGGCTTAGTAACCATTGGAAAGATGTTTTAAACCATTTCGGTTCTTAATTAATTGTTTTTTTATGATGACCTTCAGACCGCAGCTCTTTCGCTGGCATTGACTCTTAATACCTCTCACACCACGGTTAATGGTATGGTTTACAACATGGAGTATAACAGCGCCTCGCAGCTGTCTCTCTCCCCCTCCTCCGTTCCGACCATGGATGAACTCGTCCGTCTGAACGGGGCTCGTAGCTATCCGTGGTGCTAAAGTTGAGGCTTAAAGGTTGCAGTCTGAGCTTGGCTGTGTTCGCTCCAGCGCTGTCCTCGAGACAGTCTCGTCCCTTCACCTGATGAAGGCCACTTGTGTTGTGGCCGAAACGTTGTGATAATTTTATTGTGTTATTTTATTTTATTCTCATTCTACGTGACTTTACCGAAAGAACCAAAGAAGATGAATCCTTGCAGTCACGAAAGCTTTAAATCGAAATGGTGTAGGTTTCCTTGTTCCAGTTATGATGCACATTGCATTACTGTATTTAATTGTGCATCTAGCAGTGTTGTGTCCGAGCTCCCGAACCAGGATGGAGCGTCGTACTCTTCCAGTGGCTGCACTTTGCAGGAATGTGATAGTAACATTATTCTCATTGGCTGAAGAGCACCAATGGAAGATGAGTAATATGCATACTTGTTTGACTATGAATACGTGTTTAAGTTGTTCTTGATATTTACGCGAGTAATGTGCATTTATTTTGGGATTTTCCTCTTATAAGGACTGAAAGAAACATCCCCATAAAAAAAATGGTTTAAGCCTACATGTTAAACTATGCCAAAGCTGATGCCAAGGTCATCCTTATGGAACAAAGTTGTTGTGCCACCCCTCCCTTGATGCAGTGGAACGCTCCACTTTTAACAGGTGCCAGACATTCATTTTGACGCAGTCTCTTGAGTGTTCTCTGCACTGCACTGCACATGCTGTGCTTTCGTTTGCAGTTGTTAGACTGGTGCTACTGTCGGTGAAACAATGAGGTGGCAGGCGGACACTAGAGGCTCATTATGGTAAAATCAGAGCCAGTAAGCTAATTTTGTAGATGTGTGTATAAGCACACGACATCAACCATGGACTCTGAACTCTTACCTGGTTATAAAAAATATCTGCCTGCCAAACTTAAGCCCAGTCACTCAACACAATCCAATTAAACCAGGTTCACATAAATTTTGTTTTAAAGCTTTCGTGACTGCAGGGATTCATATTCTTGGTTCTTTCGGTAAAGTCACGTAGAAGGGAAACAATCAAATAATAAAAATATAAAACATTAAAATTCTTACGACGTTTCGACTGCAACACAAGCAATCATCATCAGGTGTGAAAACCACAGCACAGCAAGAAAAAAAATGCTGTGGTTTTCACACCTGATGATGATTGCTTGTGTTGCAGTCGAAATGTGGTGAGAATTTTAATGTTTTATATTTTTATTGTTTCCCTTCTACGTGACTTTACCGAAAGAACCAAGAATACAGGTTCACATATTTATATTTAATTTGATGGTTACATCCCGGTGACTAAAATTGGATCTTAATGTGATTTAAGATTTTTTTTCCTTCATAATTTGGTCTATCCCAGTTTGTGAAGGATTATATCATTATACATTGTTTCTAGATATGTAGCTTTAAGAGGCAGTCTGGTAGATAGCGATGTGCTGAAGTGACTGACCGAAGTGGTGCTATGGTGACATGCTGTGATGTCATGACATGAGGTGTTACTGCCTGTATGGCAGTACAGCCACCCATGGGATTGGCATTATATTGTGTAAATTTTATAAAGGGACATTCACTATTTTATAATTCTAACCAGCCGTGCAATTTTCCCGAGCCACTCTTATTGGGGAAAGCAGTAGTTTAGGAAAATTATTTGAATATAATTTAGCTCCATTTGAAAAAAAAAATCGGCAAGATTTTGCTTAAATATCCTCACAATATTTAAATGACACGCGGTTTTCGGTTTGCGATTAATCCATATTTACGATGTTTGTGTAATACCACTATGGATAGATTTACGATGCAGACACTTGATTTACGACACATCATCGCACATGACTCCAAACATTTGAACAGAGGCAGTCTGGTTTCCGATGTGACTTGGCATGGAGCTTTTGTTATTCACAAGTGTTTTTGTGAAATTTTACTTATTAAACCCTGTTAAATATAGCTAATAAAAGGAAAACACCGGCAAGGGATATTTTTTATGTTTCTACTTTCTTTTTTGTCTTTGATCTTTGTCTTTGATCTTTTGTGTGCGTGTTTGTCCTCAGCCCAAGCTGTACCGCTCGGTGATGGAGGACGTGATTAACAACGTTCGGGAGGTGTTTCTGGACGAGGGAGTGGAGGAGCAGGTGCTGCAGGAGCTCAAACAGGTGCTCCACTGCCCTTGTCACCCACAGGCACAGTGGCCCCTGGTAGGGACTGTGGACAGGGGATAAGTAAGTAGATGTTAAACTGTGGCTTATGGCTCCCATAAGCTTAGTAGCCTCGCTATCTTTCACTTTAGCTCATTTATAACAACATTAGGGGGCAACCTGTCCTATGGATAGGGTGAATCTTCCCACTTCCTTCCTCGCTGGCCATACCCACTAATCGTACGACACTCACCAGACACCCACCACTCACATGACACATTACAGTCGCCAGGCACTCACGTGTGAATTACAAATGAAGTGCCATATATACTGCTCATCCTATTCTAACATGCGTACTGAGTTATTTGATCACGGTCAAAGATCATCGGCTGCACTCGGTTATGGTCATTACCATAGGCCCATGGTTTCTTCCATTCAAAATTAGCCCTGACTGGACTCCCTTCAAAGAAAATTATTCAAGTAAGTGCTGTGACTTTGTAACAGACACATGGAGTTTTTTTATATGAAAAATTACGTTTGGTCTGCAGATAATCATTTTCATTATTCTGGATGGTGGAGATGCCTGCGATGGATGAGATATTCACTCTTAATTGTAGTCGTCTGTGTGCACACGTATCTGTGTGTACATGTGTCTGTGTGAGCATGTGTCTGTGTGCACACGTGTCTGTGCACACGTGTCTGTGTGCACACGTGTCTGTGTGTACACGTGTCTGTGTGCACACGTGTCTGTGTGCACACGTGTCTGTGTGTGCATGCATGTATTGGGATTGGTGCTGCTGTAGTTATCACACTGCACTACGAACCCAGTGACCTGACTTTGAGTCCCAGCAATAATTGATATACTTGACAAATGATATCTCAACCTATCCATGGTCACCCCTTGATGAACTCGGCCTTACCTGAGTACATAGTGTGATGTGTAAACATCAGCACTGGGAGACAAAGGTGGCTGTACATGGTGCTGCACAACCAACCCTAATTAGTCCACCCCTCTATTTTACTTCAGACTAGCAGGACGCCGAGAAGTTGACACTTTTTGCACAAAACGTAACCCCTACAATACTTCCGGAAAGCCGTTATTGTTCCAATATTTATAAACATAGGTTCCAATGAGCTTGCATCCGCAATACATAATTTGGGCGTATTGCCGGTACACCGGTGCAGCATAACAACACACCGGTCCTCATAAAAGAGTGACGATGTCGCTGTTGCCCTTGAGTGAGCTGCAGACTCTCTCCATCAGAAGTTTCCTTAGATTCAGCAGCCGCTTTTCCATTTGATTATATGGTAACACCACGAGTCCTAATCCTTTGATGCCACTGTCCACCGAAGAAATGATTCCGGAAATGAATCGAGGAACCGTCCGTTGGAGTAAAATCTGCCGTTGGAACACGGAACATCGCTTTAAAGATATCCTTGGTTCCTCTCCTAACTTAAACTATCTTAATCACAATTTGATGCTAAACTGTCAATGCTTTAAAACTTCAATTGCAATTGCATTTGATACATGTTCTCTTTGTTTAAATATTAGTACTATAGTCAAGCTATATCTGTTTCTGTCACGTAGTTGTGTAATTTTTGCTGTGTTCAATCTGGAGGTAATCTGCACCGAGCCCATTTGCACTGTAGATAATTAGTTTGCAGTATTTGCAATCCTTATGTGGTCCAGTTATTTTTGTTATTGTGCTGATTTTTCATTTCCTCTCATTACTTTAGTGACCCAGGGCAATCTTGAAAATTAGACTATCCTGGTTTCTTAACGAGTTTTCACCTCGTAAAACTAAATAATTTCGTCTTGTTTTTAGGCCCTAAAAGATGCTTGTTAATATTACTTGTCCCTCCAGTCTATAAAACGAAATGGGAGTTGTATTTTTGTATGTGCATGCGTATGTGTGTACGTTATTCTAGTACACTTGTGTAGACACAAGTGTACTAGAATAACATCTGGCTTGACCACCTGAATGTGTAATTGTAGTTGTTGCTCTGCATCTACATCGGCCATACGAAAGAAGGTGTCTACGCATTCACTGCATTTATGTGTGTATTTGTTTTTGTACTTCTGGGGAGAAGTGGTGCAGCGGTTATCGTGCTGCGCTATGAACCTGGCGACCCAAGTTCGATTCCCGCTTACAACCAACCCCAGTGACAATTATCTGAACCGGTCCTGGCGCCCCCTAGGTAGACTTAGCTGTAAATGAGTACCTAGTACAGAGTATAAACCTCAGAACTGGGGAGACGAAGGCGGCCAGGTGTGGTGTTGGCCATGCACCCCTTCGTGTGCCGTGCTGATCTTCATAGGCGCTCGCTAACAGCTCTTTCCCCTACGGTCTGCTAAGGCTTAGTTGGGGATCTTTGTGTGTAGGGAGTGGTTTATAGAAGTTTGTATTCCATGTTGTGATCCGATGAGCCTTGTTTTGATTTATGACTAGATTCACAGTACCTGTGCCAATTGGTATCTGAACCTGGCCTCCCATAGCTGAGGCTCCTGACAGTCCCCATCATCATGATGATCCATGGGTAGATAGCCCCGTAGTAGGCATCTACTACTCATTTTGTTATTTGTTTCCAATTCGCTCAAGAGGACCTTTGTGTGCGCAGATCTGGGAGAGCAAACTGCAGCAGGCGAAGACGGTGGACGGCTTCCACTCGGAGGAGCAGCTGCTGCTGCAGGCGGCCCAGGGGCAGCAGGGGAAGGGCACGGCCCTGCAGAAACAACCCCACGTCATCCAGATCCCTAACATCCCAGCTGGAGGTAATGCACATGCACCGCAGCAGTATGCTGCACGTACTGCACACGACTTGTAGTTGTTATTATGGCGACGCTCGTTTACCCAGGAAGGCTTCACTGAAACCTCAAGACTATCTATCGAGAGGGCCCTGCCAAGTTTTCAGAGTAGGGGGTGATGTTGCTGCTGTATTATCCTAATTGAGTCCTTTTCAAGGTAATTTTTCAGCATTGGGATGTTTTCACTCAGGCCATTTATATTCTGTGGGGGTGGGTGGGGGGCAGAGTTTGCAAAGAAAGCAAACCAGATAACCCTGAGGAAACTCATGCACAATCGGAGAACATACAAACAACCACACATAAATATGCCCAAGTCGTGAATCGACCCCTGGCCCTTCTTGCTGTGAGGCGCGAGAGTTACCACTACGCTGCCACCCTGCCGTACACTGCCACCCTGCCGCTCTACTTCACACGTTTCTCATCTTGTGTTACATACGACTATTTGACTTATATTATGGTGTTATCAGTATTTTTGTTCATCTATGGGACCTTTTTGCCACTATCAAAGTTATGAAAAAATATGAATAGGCTTCACCCTTTATAGCAATAAAACAGGAGGTGTTTAAACACCAAATAGATACCTATTACAAGGCATCAGGTCTGCATTAACCACACATACTTGTGGGAAAACATGCAAACAAACATGCTCTAATAATAGTGTTTTTTATATTTAGAATCTATACATAAATGAGTATTCATACATAGGCAATCACTGCTTGTAAATGTGTATTAGCTGTACACATGTATGCATTATGTGGCGCGATAACGCAGTGCTGGACTAAAGATCTATAAGGTTAAGTGTTACTGCTCGATGCTCGCAGTCAGTGGCACCGCTAGGGTTATCAGTGGGTAAAGTATTAGTGTGTGAAACGAAGAAAGCCTGTGTCAGGTGTGGCATAGCTAAGGAATCACCTAGGACTGCACAATGTACATGCTCACTAGACAAGCCACTACCAGTCTACTACACGACACACACTCCACACACACGCTATTCACACTGCATATTATACACATGCATAGTGTATCACACACTACATACTACACACATACTGCATACTATACACACTACCAGTGTAGTACACATGTACTGCACGTAAATACTGAACACTATACACTAAAAATGTACCACACGTTGCACACATACTGAAAACTATCCACACGCACATTACCATTATACTACACCCTAATTTCTACATGCTATATACAAAAAATGAAAGAACCCCGATTCAGACTACTGGGTAAAGTGCTGTTTGTGAGTGCCTATTCAGGCTGGAATGGCACACCAGGTAGTGGTCTGGTCAGCACCATGCCCACAGCCACTTTGATGTCCCCAGCACCAAGTACTTATGACCTAGGGGATGCCATGGACTGTTTCAAATATCACTTGTCGCAGATAATAGCCGTGGCTGGGAATCGAACTCGGGTTGCCAGGTTTTGTAGCACATTGTGCTAACTACTCTGCCACTGCTCCCCACAACACACCACACAAGAGTACACGCGCCACCGCTATGCCACGCACTTTACACAAGCCAAAGGATGGATGCACACTGCACGCAGCACACGGCCACCTCACCACAGTTGATGTACACTGTGGTGCTTGGTGTCTAGTGGAGCACCGTGAAGTAGCTGTGCTTTCCCTAGTGTCTATCACGAGCAATATGAATGTAGACCCATTTGTTCGCAAAGCGAGCAAAATGTTCGCTTATCGAGCGGAGACTGGTCAAATTCTAGTTGGGGGTTAACTCGGCCCATAAGTCCTCTGTTGTTGCTGAAAATGAGTACCGTGATGTGAGGAAGTTAGTGGTTAATTTATGGTATGGCTTATTCCTGCCAGATGAATGTGGAATTTCCACCGCTGGCTCAGGGTTGTAAACAGGAGATGATCTCCACCTCAATGCTGATTTGCACAAGAATTCACTTTTACTTTTTTTGGCTAGCTTTACTGACAGTCAAAGCTGCCTGTCTCAAACCTGCCCCTCGGAGAGATACCGTACTGACTGAAGATGCGCGTGTGTCTCCCTATCTCCTCTCGTCGCCGCTGTAGCTCAGATCGTGGTACAAGATGGACGCTCCATTCAGCACATCTCAACAGCGAACATGGTGAGTAGTGAGGCCACACGCATACGGAAACAAAGATCCCCTGTATAGCCTGCACAGGCTGTCAGGGCAAGTGCGGTTATCCAGTACCTATGAAGGCCGATACGGCACACAAGGGGGTGGGTTGCCAAAATCACTTTTGACCACCTTAGTCTCCCGACTGGCGATGTTTACACAGCACCAGGCACTCATTCGATGCCGAGTCGACCATATTCAACAATAACAACCGTCATTTGCCACTAAGTGGCAGGCGAACACATGATGTTGATGATGATTTTGATATTGATGTGATACAGACGGCATCCGCAACAGCAGCAACCATGGCTCTGCCGCAGGGCATGGTTCCGCCTTACCAGATTACAGGGGGACTGCCCGGTAAGACACGGACACACACACAGGAGCGCGTGTGCGCATGCACATAGATGCACATGCACAGACGCAGGTACACACCTGCCCACATACACGCACATTATCATGCCGAGTATAAACATGCATGAAGATTTAAAATTTTGATTGAAAACTTTCGTGACTGCAGTAATTCATATTCTTAGCTCTTTCGGTAAAGTCAAATTGAAGGGAAGCAATAAAATAATAAAATATATTTATATATATTTTATTGTTTCCCTTCAACGTGACTTTACCGAAAGAGCTAAGAATATGCATGAAGATTATTTGGATTACTATAAATTTACAGATGATAAGCCACTTGGTTGAGATATCATTTGTGGTCAGGTTGCTTCTGAAAAAAAAGTGAATACCTCAGTGGGCTTTGCCTGGTAGGGTGGGGATGGTTTTGTTTTGTTTGTATGTTTTTTGGTGATTTGTTTGCCTTTCCTGTACTTTACACTACTATCATGTTGTAGTACTGTTTGTTGTAACATTCTTACCCACCCCTACTGGACATCTGTGAAAACAAGAACTTTATAGCTCATTGGATTCCTCCAGAAAAATATTCCGATTGATTCTGATATGGGTCCATGCTTGTGCGCAGGCCAAATGATCCAGGCATACAAGCACGTGATGGTGACACCGCAGGGCCAGCAGATCATCCTGCAGCAGCCGACCACCATGCTGGCATCAGTCGGAGGGCAGCAGCTGCTGGTGCAGACGAGCCAGGCGGGGTCGAGTGGCACCGTCGGCCAGCCTGGCGGAGCGGCCAGCCAGGGCACGGTCATCCAGCAGGGCCAGGGCACGCAACACGTGAGGGCAGCAGCGGCGGCACCGGTGGTCTGCGTACACACAGACATATACAACCAAGGGCCTCCCACCCACCGTGTAGCCCACACAGGCTGTTGGGGCAAGTGCTGTTGGCGAGGAACTCTTGAGGGCAACCTATGGTGCAACCTGCGAGAGGACGGATGTTGCCAGAAGCGGATAGAGCTCTGGCTGTCTCCCTAGGGGTGATGTTTACACACCGCACCAGGTGCTTGTTTTAAGGCCGGGTTGATTTAGGGGACGCACAGGAACATTTCAGGTATTGGTCACTTATATTTGCTGTGAGCGGGAATCGATCTCCGGCCGCTGGGTTAACAGCACAGTGCGTTAACAGCACAGTGCGTTAACAGCACAGTGCATTAACCACTACACTATCGCTCACATAAACTTGCATATATACAAAATAAAGATCCCCCGTATAGTCTTTACTGTTGCGGCAAGTGCTGTTAGTGAGCACCTAGGGAGGCCAGTACGGTACACGAGGGGGTGGGTGACCAGTACCATGCCTGACCGTCTTTGTCTTAGCGGCGATGTTTACACACCACACCAGGTACTCATTTAAGGCTGAATCGCCCTAGGGGAGGCCCAGGACCGGTTCAGATTATCATCACTGGTGTTTGCCGTGAGCGAGAATCAAACTAGGGAACCGGATTCGTAGCACAGCGTGCTAACCACATCACTTCCGTCCCACTCACTACATGTTTGCATATATACAAAGAAGGCAAAGATCCGCCGTATAGCCTTAACAGACTGTGGGGGCAATTTCTGTATATATACACACACATGCGTACACACGCACACATACATGTACGGGCATCTAATTTATGCAGCTCCATAAATAGGAAGGTAACATTTTCTTCATCATGTTTATTAAGTGAGGCTCACGGGATTGTGGACCTGGGGCTTGTGCAGGATGCTGAACTAAAACTTTTCGTGCAGGTGCTGACCCAGCTGGGCACAGGGACACTTCCCCCGGGCGTGGTGCTGCAGCACGCCGCACCACAGCACCAGGTGGTGCTGGGAAAGCCGCCCTCCTCAACCGCCTCGGTGAGTCCCAGCAACCCCGCTACCTCTGCTACCCCCCGCCACGACCCCCACGGCTGCTGCGACCCCGCTACCCGAAGCAGCTCGAGATGAAGTTGGTGGCGTTTGAGTGTCACTGTCCGTAACGGACAGTGGTGGGGAGCGGTAGTGCAACGGTTGGTGCGCTGCGCTACGAACCTGGCGACCAGAGTTCAATTCCCGCTCACGGGGCAACACAATGTGTAAAGGTCGCTACTGGGAAGGAAAAGGTGGCATGGCGCGATGCTGGCTTTCATAGGTGCTCGCTAACAGCACTTGCCCCAAAAGTCTGTCAAGGTTATACAGAGGTCTTTGTCTTTGTGACGGACGGAAGGAATTCCATGTAAAAGCAGGATAAGCAACAAAATAAGTGCGGAAGAGAACGTGGCAGGTGTTGCAGATATGATGATACGTAAACGGGCACACTAGCTTAGCCGTGCTTGCAGGATAGGGGGCGGGGCCAATCGCCGAGACGGGCACTGGAGTGGTCTCCACGAGTCGGGCGACCGAGGGGAAGACCTGAGAACAGACGCTGGGAGACTGTCAACGCAGTGCTTGGAGGTAGTTCGTCGACTGTGCAGCAGCTGTGATGTCTAGAAGGGAGGGGGCGGAAATGTGTTGGCAATGAGACGTGGGATGGCATCGGTGGCTTTTGGCATGGTGACACCTTCACCCGACGACCCCCGCGTGACCTGTTGCGTGACCTCCGCCCCCCGACCCCAGGCTGCGACGACGAGTGGGGGCTCGGGGTCGACGGGGCCGTCACCGCTCGTCATCCAGGTGGATGGCGCCGGGGACACGTCGTCGGACGAGGACGAGGATGACGCCAACGACGACGACAAGGACAAGGACGACGAGCTGGGGGACGAGGACGACGCCGTCGAGGAGGTGCGGCCACCCCCGGGGAGGGCTAACGTGGCGTCCCAGCTGGGCCGCCTTCGTGGGACGCTCGGATGACTTAACCAATTTATTAAACTCTTTTTTTTATTTTTACCAGGTAAAGGCCCCACTGAGCTACGTCGCTTTTCTTTCGGAAGTGACCTGGCTGTCACAAATGATAGCTCAACAAATTGGCCGCTCGTGTGGAAATTTATAGCCGTAGCCAAATACTCTAAACCCGTGACGTTGATTCTGAATGTGGAGGGAAAAACCGGAGGATCCGGAGAAAAATCCACATGACCAGTTCAGTTCATTTTAGTTCATTTATTTGGTGTAGCCCTGTGAGCCATTCGGCTTTTTTATTCGGGTGCAACCGCAACAAACAATTACATTAACAAGATACATTTAAAATTTACTGCACGCAAACAGAAACATCCAGGAAAAAACATTAAAATCTTCCAGAAAAAGCGCCGTTTGTTAATGCTGTGTGCAAAAATCCCAGCTGGATGCTAGATAAACAACAAACAATCACAATACAATTTAGATAAAAGTTATGTTTAAATCTATACTACAGCATACAAATAAGGCCAAATAAAATCTTATTCTAAATCATTAAAATAACACTATAAAAACAATGTTACAGTGATCATAGGAACTGCGATCGAAATTTAACAATAGCGATATACATAACATGTACTACCAAACTCTGCAGCCACCGTTTGCTGCATGAGTCACTCCATGACAGCACAAGCATCAGTTGGAGAAGCAGTACACTATAATCAAAATACACGATAATTCTTTGCTGAGGTCATCCGTTGCGATGCATTTGATATCAAGCCTGTTGATAGCAGTGGCAGCTAGGGTTGTACAACTCCTCTAAAGTAGTTTTTAGTGATGATCTCACAGGTAGTGATCCAAGTTGCAGTTTATTGGCGATAGCATTCCAGACCCTGGAGGCATCAATAGTAAAGGCCCTTCCTCAAGTATTTGTACGACAATCAGGAATGGGGGGAGAAACATGCAAATTCCAAATTTACAGCAAGTGTTAGGATCAGGATCGAACCCACGACCTCCTGTATATCGGGTGAGATAGTTAATTTCTCGTTACCGTGACTTTGTATGTTTCTACTGAGGCGGATACTTCTTCATCATCTTGAGAGGCCTGGCACAATTGGGCAAGGATCGGGAAAGATGGTGGCGGCTTGGGAAAAATCTTCATCCAGCGGTGGATAGATCATGGCTGATGTTGAGGTTTGGTTTTAGGGTGGAAGTAGAATGGTATTGGGGCTATTAGGGGCAGCAGTGGGTGGGTGTACGATGGGATGGTGCTATGCGGGCTGATGCTGTGAAACTGCTGCTCAGGTGGGTACCGAGAGGATGTTCTGTTGAGGTATTGCTGTAGGAAGGGATACTGTTTGGAAAGGTTATATCAGGGGCAGTACTGGGCCATGTAGTCCAATGAGGGGTGGTACTATCGGAGACGGTACTATCAGTTTAATGAGAAGATTTTCCATGTTGGGTGGGACAAGGAGCCCGGTATACTATGTGGGAGAGTACTTTTGGAGTAGGTACTGAGGGAATATAGGATGGGGTTAACACTATGGGGATCAGCACTCTGAGGGATGTACTTTGGAGGATGGTATTATTGTTGGTGGTACAATGACAGACAGTAGTATAATTGGATGTACTATTGGATGTTCAACTAATGGGATGGTACTAAGGAGGCCAGTACCATGTGGTGGACGACTAGTTGCACGTTATGAGTGGAGACACCAAGGGCGGTGCAAATGTTAGAGGCTGTACTTCAGGGTACTGTCATGGGGATAAGGGCAGTACTAATGGGGGCAGCGCACTATGGGTGTCAGTGCTATCGCGTGGCAGAGTTGTGGAATGAGAGGCGTAGGGATGGATGTAGATCTATGGCGGGGGGTGCTACTGCTGGTTGGGGTGCCACCATTGTGGGGCAGAACTGTAAGTGGCACGCTTGCGGACTTACGGGGGTGTTGGGCCTGTAGGAGCCCCCGCTTTGAGCCTGGGTCGGCATGAGCGCACCGACCACAGCTACAGGCGGCGCTGCCGCAGCCCACGCAAGCAGAGAGTGCCTCTGTCGTGGGGGACAGCTTGCGCGTTGGGGCTGCGAGGCTCTGGGTTAAACGAGTGAAATCCTCACGGGAGCCTCCGTGTGGCCGCCCCTCTCCCCACCCACCACCGATCAGGACCCCTTGAACTCGGAGGACGACGTGAGCGAGGACGACCCCTCGGACCTCTTCGACACCGACAACGTGGTGGTGTGTCAGTACGACAAGGTGGGCTGCTGAAGCGTGGTCGGGCGACTTGGCCGGGGGGGAGAGGATCGTGGGGGGCTGATGCCCCCATGTCAGCATGTCGGTGCCACTGAGCCGGCACCCCCAACGTCCTCGGCTTAGGATCCTGGGCTCCCCACCCATGATGCGAAGGATGAATCATCCCTCTATAAATATTACCATTTTGTTCACCAATTATAGATAGTTTGGGGTGGCATAGTGGTTATCGCACTGTACTAAGAACATGGTGGTCTGAGTGAGATCTGAACCAGTCTTGGGCACGCAATCCTTTCAATCTGCACCGACCAGCGTGGTGAAGTGGGGTTATGAAAAATACTCGCGGCCAGTGCGGCATGGGGAGGCCTTCAGCTTGTTGGACGTGTGTAAAAAAAGAGCTTCATTGCTCATCGGATTCCTCCAGTCTGAATAAATATTCTTATTCTGATTCAATCACCAGTGGATTAAGGGATTTAAATACCAAAAGAACCAAAGAGTATGGATGTAAATAATTAAGTTATTTTTACATCCTATTTGTGCTGTTATCAGTTTTAGCAAGAGACATTTATATGTTTATGTCTCTCTATCTGTTCCCTCAATCTCTCTCCGTTTATGTCTCCGTCTCCCTCCCTCCCATCAGATTCACAGAAGCAAAAACCGATGGAAGTTCCACCTCAAGGATGGCATCATGAACCTCAACGGCAAGGATTACGTTTTCTCCAAAGCGGTCGGAGATGCCGAGTGGTAGGGCGGGATTTGGAGCTGCGTGCGGTGCGTTTGTGTCAAGTGACCGGGTTCGACAGCGGGGGAACGGAGGGACAGAGGGATGAGGGAGGCCCAAGGGGCGTGTGCTGTGATGCCGCCCATGGGCTCAGTGCAGCAGCAGCAGCGGCATCGACAGCAGCGGCAGCAGCGGCGGCGGTGGCGAGGGCTTGTGGAGCTTCGAGTCACCGTGTCTCTGATACGCGGGCCTCCCCGACGCTTTCGTGTGCGACACTGCCGGCTGCGTGGACGCTGGAAGGTGGGGCTGAGAGGCACGAGTTTTTTTACATGAGGCCTCATTGATCGAGAGCCCGAAATCGACCAAACGAGAGGTGGGGGGGGTGGGGGGATGGAGGGGTGGGGGGGGGAGTGTGACAGGGGAAACGGGGGTAGGGAGAGGATGCCGGTTTTACTCTCGGCAGCCAAGGAGGCAGTGTGTGCAGACGCGGCTTTGTATATTGTGTCCGGTCACTGTTCAGTCATGTTCATTATTGTAATGTTTCTTTATTTATGTATATATTTGGCTTCAGTTTTAATTTGGGTATCTAGTCAGTGCAGTGCTTAGAGAAAAGACAAAGACAAAGCATATCTTTTTTGAGTCAGTTGGTGGTTCTTAGCCACTCATGGAAATTATTTCCTATACTTGGAGCCAGGCTTCTGTACCACAACTACTGTCGTTTGTGTCACAGTGGTTCTGATGGGAGCCAGGCTTCCGTAACACAATTATTGTCATTTTGCCACAGTGGTTTCTGATGGGAGCCAAGCATCTGTAACACAACTACTGTCGTTTTTGTCACAGTGGTTCTGATTTTATTGGTTATGGGAGGTGCACAAAAGGCCGAGTTACTTACCGAGTGACATTTTAATTGATAGTTTCTGATTGTTAGCCCCCTGACCACTGCACCACTTGTTTGAGTAAAGTGCACATTCATATTATATGTTCATGCCAAATGGGGTAGATGAAGTCAGTTTGTTTGAAAATAAAATATGTTTTTACTCCGTATTAAAACTCCTGGCTTCCGTGCATTCGTCTGCCAAAGAACAGTCTGTTCCAAGAACAGTCACTGATGATTTCCCACAGAGCAATACTCATTGTATCCGTGCCTGAGGGGAGATGATTTATTTTGACCCCGACCTGGATTAGAACTCGCTACCTTTTGATCGTAATAAACCTCAAGCACAGCCAGATAAAACGAGATAAATTAGCCTCTAAATTAACACTGAACTCAACTGATTGGACAAATGTCTCTGTCAGGTCACGATTGAGAATGGCCGTGTGTAACCTGTTCTTGAAGAATAATATGCTTCTGAAATTAAGGCATCAAGGCACCGATGGGAGATGTGCATGTTTAACATGGGGAATACGTTGAGAAGAGGGCCATTGCCACTTCATTTTGCTTTCAAAGTTTGCCAGAACTAAAAGTGTGGGTTAACACTGTACCACCCTCATAGTTGGTTCACTCCATGGAGACGCATAATTTCAAACCCAAAAGTGTGGAGACGGATGCAGTTTGTGAGCTGAGTTTTTTACGAGTCAAGAACCTCCCCTAGTTCTTTAAAGTTTTACGATGGTGTCATCTCTGACTGGGATGGAACAGAGTCACGGGTCCACATGATTCCTCGTGCCGGGCCCTGAAAACCCCGGCCTCCACACAATGAAACTCGTGCTTTCAAGACGCAGAGTGCCTTCTTGTTGTCATTGTCAACCACTCGCATTTTAAGATCAGCTGAAGTGGATCACGAGACTCATAATGGCCATGTTAGAACACCGAGCCACCACTTTGGAAATTCTGGGTTTGAATCTAGGTAGCCAGCCATGATTAATAAAAATGGTTTTATAATTTCAGAGAGATTTGGTTTTTAACCCTTTCCCGTTCCAATGACATACATGCACGTCATCACTATCTCTTCCGATTCCGTTCTGATGACGTACGTGTACGACAAAATAACTTTATCGGTACCGAGGCTCCCGCAACGCCATGCGGGAGGGCGTGTGGCACAGTTTGGTGGCAGCTATTGTAGAATGCGGTCGTGTTGCTACGGTTCTCTGCGGCGAGTGCAATATCTTTCAAAACAATGGCGCGACTATGCCTCTAAATAAAGTTAACGCTCAGTCGCTTGCACGTTCCGAGATTCAACGGTGGCCAGGGACCCCCCCCCCCCACCCTGCAACTTGCAGTCATCTTGGAACGAGAAAGGGGTTAACTTAATGTGGCCCAGCTTTGAGGGATAAAGTATAAAAACCAAATGGACTAACACTGGAAGAACCCCTGTGTTCACTCGAGGTAGATTTCCACTGAAGTGGTTCTGTGGTGTCCGGGACTTCCCTGATGTGGCGGCGTGTGGCTCCGCCGCCTGTGGGAGTTCTTTCCTGGACGTTTCCGCGCTCTGCTGCTTAGCGACATTGACAGCGCAGTCGGTATTTGGGTGGTGATATGAATTCGACAAATACGGTAACGTAATTGCAAGCGAGTTAATTATGCCCGCTTGTAAATTTCCCTTCCTGCCGTAGCGTTGATGGTCTTAAATTGGTGAAATATTTGAGTATTTTAAATTTTCAATGGCTTGAGTGTTGCAGGAGCAAGTGAGTTGAAACAAATATAGCAGAGCATTTGTGATTTTGCAACATTTCTAGCTTCTATTAATATATGTAACATGTTACCCGTATAGCATTTAATTGTGAGGGATGGAAATACAGGTGGTACCTTATACATGATTTGCATTCCTGCCATCGTTTGTGATGTACACTTTGCTTCCCCTGTATGTACAACAAACGGTCATACAACGTCTGTCCTTTAAAACACTGCCTGGTCATTTTAGTTAAGATACGGTGTGCAGAGTTTAGATGCTTGCCAGTTATATGTGTTCAACATCGGGGAGGGGGGGGGAATCAGAACTAATTTAACCCACACCCGCAAACTTACAGAACCGATCTACAACCTTCAAAGGAACATAGCCTTAGCTATTCCTGATGGGGCAAGTGCTGTCAGACGGCATCGTTGTTACTCTGGGGGTGATGGGACCACAGTTGTCTGTCCATTGCTGATGTTTGTGGCCGGCGCATCTGCTACTCATTGTTTGAGGCCGAGTCCACGTAGAGGAGACCCACGGTGGTGGATTTAGATACCAAGTGGCCACTGATGGTTTGTGCACAACTGTCACAAATCGAGCTTCTATGGCTGGGATTATAGCACAGCGCACAAGCCCCTCCAAACGCGCACATTGCGTTGTCCATACAGAGTAGAGACTGTCATTGCAATGTTGTTAGCGAGCACCTGTTAAGCACATACAACATGCACGCGCGAGCAAGCTTGCTAGATAAGTTATCAATTTTCAAGATTAGTAATGAACCATAAAAAACACATTGTCCCGGTTGGGCTCGTGTAGTATTCATCGATTCATTTATAAATCATACTGTACTCGTTATATTACAAATATGTTGTTTTATTCAAGTCTCCATGTCAACTTGATAGAAACTGTGGTGGGCCTAATCCTACACGGGGCCAAGAAAAATTAGTAATAGGGAGAGGGATGTAAAACGTGACAGTAGAGACGACCACTACGGGGTTTTTGTCTCCCTCTGACTCCCATTATCTGCTGTTCTTAAAGGAAGACAAGCTAAAAAAAATAATAATGGGTGGACTTTACCTGAAAACTAAAAAAAATGTTTCCATCAAGGTAAAACTAAAATCCGAGAGCTGTGTTGTACAGGGCAGTGTGCTGCTGCTGCTGGTGCCGGGTTGATTGGTCTCGCTGCACCCGGCTCGTCGACACGCAGGCACCCACTTGTGTGCTGTTGAGGTGCTTACAAACGCGGTCACCTGGGGGGGAGAGCGTGGTTTCCCCGATTGCTCCTGGAACGCTCTTCCTTGCGTAATTGCATTGGCGTCGTTGCACAGTCGTCGTATCAGCCCAGTCCACACGAAGGCGGTGGCGCTACTCTGCAGAGCGAAGTGACATTCGCGTGAGCATCTCACGACGTCACCCCCCCCCCCCCCAGCAGTGACGTGCGGTGAGGTCAATGGCTGGAGAGGCACTCGCTAGTGTCGGAGCCAGATTCACACACTGAGGGGCGCGTGTCTCGCCCGTGCCTCTCGCCCGTGCCTCCCCTGGTGCTTTCCATTGCAGTTTCATGATGAGACCAGCGAGCCTAAATATCTTTATACACATATGTGAAATTAGTTACCTGGAATATGGAAGGCGAGGACATGAAATGAAGGGGTCTACAAACATTACATTGGTGACATACTGATATGGTAACAGGCACGCACTTATTACCCGCGCTCCATCCAGTTACTGAGGGGTTGCACAATCAGAGGGGAGGCTGAGCTCGTCGCTGCCTCACCTCTCGTCTTTTCCTGTATTTGCATCGGAGCTCTGCAAATTTGGCGATTTTGACTATGAAAATGATTGGCATCGTACAGAAATTGCATTTATAACAGATCAGTGGAAAAATCTTAATATTTATTTTATTTGATTCTTTTTTTTTACTTTTCGTAACAGCTATTTTCATTGGAGTATGACAGGTGAGGCTCTGCCTCCCCTGCCTCCCCTAACCGCACGTCCCTGTCCCCAAGTACCTCTTACAGCTTGAGACTCGTGTTTAGATGGGCACCCATGATTAACGAACCGCACTCTACAGACGATAACCAAGCTGTGTTATGCGCTCCGCCTTCCTTTTTCGGTCGATGCACGTGGCCCATGTCGGTTATGGACGATTCCCTTTGATGGTGTTCAGGTTACTTCTAAAATGTGTACATTATTTTGTTGTGGTTACATCAATACCAAGCAGCATTATTACTCGTCAATTGTTTTGCTTGAAGCCTGCGCTATTGACATACGTATTGCAGTTGTGCTCCATTGCAATAGAAACCGATTCGAGGCACGGAATAAACACTTACCGTTTTGTTAAGAATGGCCCTGCAAGGTGATGCCACAGAACCACTTTTGTGAGTCACTTCATGACAATCTGAATTTGTTTACTGGAGGAATCCGATGAGCTACGTTGACTCTTTTTCAAAAGTGATTTTCCCGCGTGTCGATTGTCAATATCCACGTTTGAATTTGCAAAAACGGGTTCTTTAAATAAGGCTGTAAATCAAGATCTCAGCAGTACCGACTGAGTGGTTTTGATAGAGGCATCAATGTTGGCACCCAACTAACCCAGATATACACACAACCAGCTCGCCCACTTGTGGCTAATCGGATAACTTCAGTTGGATAAATGTTTCCTAAAAACGCAATCCATGTTCACTTTAGGATGCCGTAAACTTCTCTTTGGTTGCACGGTTCACAAGCTTAACGTTGTCGCTCGTAATTGGTTGAAGTCCAGCAGGGCGAATCAGCTGTTGCTCTTTTGCCTTGGCCGTGTAAGCAGAGGGAAACCACTTTGAGACAGTCTCGTGCGACAGGTCGAGATACCCGTCTACAGCTGTTACACATTTAACATTCTTGTGGATTTAACATTCTTGTAACTGTACATAGTGGCCAATTAAACTTCCTTCTCCAAACCCTGATTTTATTCCGACAGCATTTTGGCACTTTTTGACTTCTCCAAATTATCAACTCCCATCCATTTGTAAATAGTCTGACAAAAAAAGCTCAAAGATTACAATAAAAAGGTAGCCATGCAGGTCAACTTGGAACGTTGTACTCTGCTTTGCCTAAATTTGGCTCTTTTTGAGTCTCGGGCATTTTCTACTGAATCCTAGGAATCACAAACTCGGTGCAGCCTTTGGGCAATCAACGGCTCTCGTTTAATCGGCAACTGATGGCAACCTCTTTATTCTTTTGTTTTTGTAAGGATATTCTCGCGCGTACCGCGAATGCGCCGCGTGCTGCGTGATTACGAGTGAGCTTCAGTTGGGAGGTCGTGTTCGTGACGGCCAGCTCGGTACCCCCCGCCTCTTTTGTACAATGGGTGTTCTGTATGGAGAATATCTCGTAGACAGCGGTGTGTCCCTTGAAATATGAGAAGCGCGAGTGATCTGATTTTCCGGGAGGCACAACTCGACGTCATTATCTGCCACTTGGTGCCAAATTCGTAGCGGGCTTGTGGTTTGCTAAACTGGTGCAGATGCGTGTAATATATGTGATTGAATGTAAGTAGCTCCCTGAGGAAATGAAAAATGTGAAGATTTTAGCCCAACTGCTAAATCAGTCGTAAAATTTTTATGTATAGCTAGTTGCCTGATCCCAAATGAAAGCACTGCATTTAGGCGTTGGTGGCAGTAGTACGTGTGTTCTTGAGGACCGGTAGTGTAGCGGTTAGCTCGCTGCGCTACGAACCTGGCGATCCGAGTTCGATTCCCGCTCACGGCCAACTCCAGTAACGATTATCTTAACCGGTCCTGGGCCTCCCCTAGCTCGACTCAGCCTCAAAATGAGTACCTGGTGCGGTGTGTAAACATCGCCACTGGGGAGGCAAAGGTGGTTGGGCGTGGTGCTGGCTGGCCACCCACCCCCTCGTGTGCCATGCCGGCCTTCATAGGTGCTCGCTAACAGCACTTGCCCCTACAGTCTGTTATGGCTATACAGGGGATATTTGTCTTTATCTTTGGGTTCTTCTCCACACAATCTTAACACACGGGCATGGGGTTTGGTTATCATATTAATTCTGATCCCCATTGGGCCATATTAATGTATATTGAAATAAGGGAAGCCCCGGATTAGTTTCGATCTCCCTGGACCTCAAAAGCACGTCATGGCCTTTATAGGTATGCTGCTGCTTTGCCTTGTTCTGACAAACACGAGGGGGATGCACTGAAACAACGCCAATTTGATTGATGAACTCAATTTTCCGTACGTAGGTATATTGAACTTCTTTCGCACCGTACGTAGCCCGTGCTAGTCAGAGGTGCGGGGTGTGGTGACGCGCCTGAGGTCCAGAACGGTGGAGGCAAGGGTTGGTGGATCACACAGACGATGTGTTGAGGCTCCCAGCTTTACAATACAGTATATTCCAAAGCTCGAATATTTTTTCAGCAAGAATTCTACAAATGACCTTGCTTGCCTATCTGTGCAGAAGTATGGTTTGGTGATGGCGTAAATGCTCCTCGCTCATTTTTTGTCCCTTTTATATTTCCAACAATTCCTCAAATTGGGAACATCTGTAAAAAAATCCCCAGTGCCGTGCACCGCTCTCCGTCTCAAACAGCGACAGCCCGGAGGGGTTCCTCCGTGCCCTCTCGGCCTCTCACCACCACCACCCCCAACGCCTCATCGTGCACTCGGAGCCCGGTTTTCTCTCGCCAATTATTGTACTCTGTAATTGTTTTCCCATTTCCACCGTCGCCGCCCTCGGGTCACTTTTTTAGGGAGAACGCGGAGGTGTGAGCGTGACTTTTAAAACGCGAGACATTTTGTACCTGCCCTGGGGGTTTCCCTGCGCTCCGTACGGCACATCGAGTGCTGGTCGGCTGAGGGGGTTTTAAACGGTCGCCGCGGTCGCGTGCCATTCCACAAGTACACCGGAGCCGTGTTATTTTCCTTTAACTGTCAATAAAAGTTGTTTTGCCATTAAAAGGGCCTCTTTTTTTTTAAAAGAGTTTTGCTTAAAATATACATCTGCTTTATTTTTGGCGGTGCCCGTATCGCGCTTTTGGCGGCCTCCGCTCAATTGGGGGTAGCAACGCAGCCCAGCGGTTGCGCATCGCCGCAGAGGTTCGCGGTTCACATCCGGCAGGCCGCCCCAGCTATTGCTGGAGGTTTATGGACTCTAGAATGCTACCAAGCGCCGTCTGCTTCGTGGCAGACGTTAAAGATCCCCTGGCATCATGGGAAACGAGTGGGGCCCATAGTGTGCCGGAATTGTCCAAATTTGAAATATTTCCTGGAAATTACGTTTGGCATGAGACGAAGCAACGTTGCCCCCTGCTGTGATAGCCTTGCGCTATAAAAATGGCGTGATAGCAAATGTAATCTACTATTTGGGCGTGTGGTTCCATTGAGGCTCCTTTACCTCAGGTCGTGCTATCGTTACCGAGATGTATTTCTGTTGGCAGGGTTCGGTTTTCCACCCGCCAGCTGAACCGTGCCCAGACTCGGACATGCAGGCATCTGCCACTGCACCTGCTCTGGCACGCGTCATCTGATGCTCCAGCACTTGAAGCAGTGCAGAGCGCCCTCGGGGGAGGGGGGGGGGCGGGGAGGAGTAACTCGAAGAGTGGTTGTGCTGCACGCGCAGACGGCATTCCCCCCCCTCCGGAGCTGGTCCGAGGCCGTGGGTAGTTTGACCCTCCTTGAACTCTTCTTCAAGGTCTCTGGACATCAGGGAGTGGCACCTACAGTATGGCACTCCACTGGATAAGATTTAAAGGCTACATGGTGGAGCTGAGACTGAAGGGTGGTTCGGCTGGTTGGGTGTTGCGGGATTCGGCAGAAGGAAGGAAGCGTTGGTTGCATTCAAAGTATCGGTGGTGATGACCACCGAATCTTCACCACCTCATCCCTCGCACGAGAGGCTACTTAGGACCTGCAGGTTCGCAGATTCCACCAATGAGTAAGGTTTGTCAAGTAAACAAAACGTGCTAATTAGTTACTAGCTCATTAAATCGGAGTGTTGGAGAGTAAACCCACAACATTTACAATTCTAAGTACCATGACGTTTCACTGGTAATTATGTCCAAATGAGTCGCAGACGTTATCTTGGGAGCAACACTATTTATTCACACAACAGTACGTAACATAACCTATGCTCGGGTCTCGAATGCCCATCTAACCACGCTATGGCAGAACTAGACACGGTTCGCTATTCCGGTCCGGACCACAAGCTGGGTCCCGGGCTGCATGGCTAGAGGCTTCTTCTCCCCGACGTGGATCTTCGAACACCGACACTTGAAGAACCCCGAGCTCCTCACAGAGCTCTCATTAAATGCTCCCGGGCCGGGGCTGGCTCCGCCCTCAGCCCCGCCCACCTTCCAGGCTTCTCGAGCTCCTTCTCGAATGTTGCCGAGAGCCCCTCGGAACCACGTGACCGCCCCTCGGCCCCCCTCCAGTATCGTCCGGTCACGTGACAACAGGTCAGCCAGTGTCATGCCCCAGAGTAACCCTGGCTAGCTAACGCTCCCTCTCGCTCCCTCACTGGGAGCCGGCACCACACACTGCTTGCGGTGCCTCCACGCTAACCAGCGCTCACCCAATCACCGTTAGAATTGGTACTGCAGCCCATAACCCGGGCTGCTCGTAATCACTATACCGGCCATGACTTCGCAAGCCCGGCACCATACAGTGACAAGTACAGTCACTACAATTATAAAAACCAGCCTCATCAAGTGATAGCCAAAAAAAAACCTTTTATTTTTATGGATAATATTGGTCACAAAGGCCAATGTGCTAAACATATTCCACCATCCCTAACCTGGACCCCAGAATGTGACGGTGTGTGCTGTGATCTTGCGACGAGACCTCGTTCATACAACATGCACTGTCATGTTATTGCCTGGGCTACGGCCTGCTCTTGTAGAGTCCACTGAGTTTCAGATAAGCGCATTTGGGCTCTTGACACCAGTCGCTGAATTGGCCGAACCCATTCGACCGGGGCTGGCAGCATGGGGCCTATGTGCTTCAGTGACCGAGCGCAGCTGATGGGAATTGTTTATGGAACCTGCACCCCATCCCGTTCCTCATTGTGCGCAGCTTCATAGCATCCATAATTATGAGTGCAAATTTCACTGAATCTGCCGAAGCAGCGTGCTGCAGTAATCCCCCTCATTATAACTGCGTGCCTTGTAAAGGAACTCTGTATTGCTTCGCAGCCTGGCCACGCGAGTGCGTTTTTATCCACCTACTCCGTTCAGAACCCGTTATATGAGTGCATGTTTTTATCCACGCGCTCCGCTCCTCCGCACTCTCACCCTCGCCTGCCCTCTCGGCGCACATCAGACCTGACCACCACCACCTCCGTCCCCTTGCAGAGCAGAGAGCAGAAGCTCCTGCGCCGATGGGTGCCCACCCAGCCAGAGAGACAGGGGCATCTCTGTCGCCCACGCCACCACCAGATCAGCGTGGGGCAGCTGCCTACAAGGAGACACGCAAAGAGGGAGACACACGGAGACAAAGCACAACGTGATTCGTAGCAGAACAGATTCAAACGTCTGTAATGACAATAGAGCCTGCATGCGGTGTGAGGGGACTAGTGGCCACAGGAGGTAATGACAGAGGAGTCAGTTGTGCAAAGAGACTGGTGGCTACAGGAATGTTCGAGAATGGGAGCGTGGTCAGGTGACGGAAGAGGACGGTAGAGTTTGCCAGTGGAGCGAGTGTCCAGAGTTGGCGAGAATTATCAAGAAGGGGGGCGTGGCCTCGTGTTGGTATATAAGGGAGATGTGTGGGAGACTCGGGGCTGTTGCAGTGGGGTCTCCACCTGATGTCAAGTGAACGTGTCTTCAATAAAGTGCCATCTCAAGAGAAGTGTGTCAAGTCGACATTACACGTGCATTAGGGTGTTGCATTTATTGTCGGCCATAAAGGAGTCTGCGGTGGGAATTCCACTTTACTACGACGGGGTATTTTATACAATTTTGTCAAATACTACGGCACAATAGGAACAGAAATATCTGGATATGTACGAGATTGGGGAACATAAGTTGTGACAAAAGCAGAATATTTATTTATACTGCAGGAGGACTCTGATGAGCTATAAAGCTCTTTTTCACAGATGTCCAGTAGGGGCAGGTAAGAACGTGGCAACAACAAACAATACAAAAACACGATAGTCGTGCAAAGTACAGGAACTGCCGACTCCCTCCAACTGTCTAAGCCAAGCCACCGCCCTTCTGCTCTGCGATTGACAGAACATCCCCCGATGAAAACTTCTCACTTCACAAAATATCCTTCCTCTGCTGCCAATAGATTATTTTGCTGCTATAAATTTGCACGTGATAAGCCACTTTGTTGAGCGATCATTTGTGGCCAGGTTGCTTCTGAAAAATGAGTTAATACTTCAGTGGGCTTTGCCTGTTAGGATGGGGATGGTTTAGTTTTATTTGTGTTTGGGTGATTTGTTTGACTTTCCTGTACTTTGCACTACTATTGTATCTTGTATTATTTGTTGTTGCAACGTTCTTACCCCGTGCCTCTCACTGGACATCTGTGAAAAATAGCTTCATAGCTCATCGGATTCCTGCAGTATGAATACATATTTTTTTATTCTGAACTACATTACGGTAGAGCTTTAACACATAGGCTTTCGCGACCAATATTATCCATAATCGAGGTTATTTTGGGTTAGATCGCTTAATTATAAATGTTGTTAAACCTGCCATCACCAGACAGTCAATTAGTAAGGTTTGTCACATCAACAGAACATGCCAGTTGGTTACTAGTTCAGCGCACCGGTGTGTTGGAGAGTAAACCCCCAACATTTACAATTCGAGTACCGTGACGTGTGGCTAAATGTGACGACATCACATTTATCCCTCTATTTAACACCGAAACAGGAGAATTTCTCCACATCACGGTACCCCCGCGCGGTGTTGATAAGACCTGGGCTGAGGAAATGTGCATCTGGGTTTAGGTCCGGGCGTGGGGGTCAGGCGGCATCCCCGTTCGCACGTCCCCGTGAACCCACCGGTCGGGCATGAGGGAGGCGGCGCACGCAGGGCTTGGTGCGAAGCCGCCACCACCATCGCCGTCGTTCCGTCCCGGCCGCACCCTGAAGCCCTGGCCCGAGCCTGCGAAGGCCCGAGCCACGAGGGTGGCGGCCAACATGGCGGGGAGGCCTCGCGTGGCGCACGCGTTGAGGGCGGCGCAGGCGCAGAGCTCCAGCGTCCTGGGGTTTGGCCTCGCGACGTGGCCTGGGAGGCAAACCGTTGCAATGGGGAGGAATTGGCATGTGGTCTTGTTCTTCCGTAACGCGGCGGCCGTGGTCGATGCGTTCCTGAAGAACGCTGCGTTGTGGAAAAATCGCGTTATAATAAATAATATATAATGTAGGATAGAGCGCCAATGGTGGGAAAGTGTAATAAGGGTGGTGATCGCCAGGGCCAGGTACGGTGAGGAGAATCCGGAATAAGGGCATGGCCGGACCGGGCGAGGATAAGTAGCAGCGCGAGCGGAGGCTTGGGGCCGCTTGGTGTGGGGAACTGCCGTCGTCGTTGCCTTCGATTGGGTCGTCTCCATCGTCTGCGAGTTGTCTTGAGAGTGGAAGCTATGTTGTCTCAGAATAGAGTTGTGTCACTACCCAAGTGTACAGAGTCACTCGCGGTTACTTGTTGAGTTGTCATTGGACTTTATTCTTAATAAATATACAGAAGACAAGACGGCGTCTCTGAGAGCTATATTACACTTGTAGTACAAGGCCATGCAGGAGGGCGTGTGGCACAGTTTGGCGCCAGCTATCATAGAGTGGCCGTGTCGCTATGGTTCTCTGTGGTGAGTACAATGTCTTTAAAAACAATGGCGCTCCGCCTCTCTAAATCAAATTAAGGACAACCGCTTACACGTTCCGAGATTGAGTGGTGAAAGGGACACCCACACCCTGCAACTTGCAGACGACTCAGAACAGGAAGGGGTTAATTGAAACCAAACATCATTTTATTTAGTTATAGCTTTTACTCAGTAAATTTAAGTTCATAGCACTTGATTTAACCAAAAATGTGTTTTCTTCACTTGGTTAAAATGAGCTTATTTTCACAGGTGTGCAGCTCGGTTTCCTTGTGGTGCGTCACTGGGAGTGGTTGTGGTGTGTGCGTTTGCAGGTCCCAAATTGATCAGAGCCGTTGTTCAAAAAGCCCTCGCCAAGACAGACCCTCATGTGGCGTGAAGTGCGGAGTGTGATGTCTCGTGTCCCTGCGCTTCCCCATGGCTCACCCCACGTGGGAGCCTCAGGCGGCCCGTCTGTGACTCTGGGTGATGGCTTGAGTCCAGGACCCGCTTCCAACTGTGTGTGGCAGTCATCTTGGCCTACGCAGTCCATCACAAACTCCGGCTTCATCACGCTGCCGTGCCCAAGGAGCTGCTTCAGTCTGAGGGAAACAAAGGTTTGAAGATATTTCATTTGTCATGTCTTTGGATTCCCATCAACAATTCAAACACAGTTAAGCTGTTGGAGGGTGTTGCTGGCCTAATTAAATGTCCCTACTGCAAATATTGGCAGTTTGTCCAAATAGATGTTGTTCATGTGCCTTTTACAAGAAATTAGATGATTGCTAGGTTATTTTTTTGGATACATATGTGAAGATGGGACATCTGCGGACTTACCCCATGTAACCCCTGACAGTTTATTCTTTGTGGAAAGGCAGGTGACCATTAGGTCTGGGCACCTGCTATTTACAACTCTGCGGCAACTTCACGTCTACCAAGTTCATCTCAGGGTTAAGGTTACAGCCTCGCGTCACTATACACTACACTATAAGTTACACTACACTATACTCTTCACTGTTATACACCACACTACTATATACTACTATACACTACACTATACTGTTATAGCCTCATGTCGGTTCTCTGTAGTCACTCCCTCGGCGTGGAACTCTATCCCTTTGCACATCCGTAACATCAAATGCACTCGGACTATTTTCAAGAAACATCTAAAGGCCTCTCTGTGTTGGGTCAGGATTTCGAGCAGCCCTGAGCTTGGCTCCGCACCGCTGAGTTGTTGACTTGTCATCATCATTATAAGGGTTATGACCGTAAAGGGCTGGTTTTGGGACCAGGGTAGAACAACAGACGAAGAAATAATTTAATATTCCGGGGGGTTGAATTCGAGAAACCCAATTTGAGCTTCAACCCAGAATGCACAGCTGGGTCGTTTGCCACTTAGCAACCTCCGAGCGTTCCGCTTGTAAAAATAATTATTACTATTCATATGCCCTCACACAGCAAGACGGAGGTTGCTGTGGGCAAGACGGGTCGTGCAAACTCACGCTGCTGTAAGGGCGAGGGCAGGACTGGGTTAGGTTTCACTTGTCCCGGATGTTACAGTGCAGTGTGGTACAAATGTGGCAACACCCATTATGTTAACACTGGTGCTTTATCCCAAAGGGTCTGAATCTCAAGACTCTTGATGATCAGTTGCTCTCTGAGTAAGACTTTGACTACAATAACTTTCTGTACTTTGCTTAAGACAACCACTTGGCCTGCATGCGGGTGTAACGTGTGAGCCACAAACCCCGGCTATAAGCACGCAGCCGAGGTGAGCCATTAACTCAAAGGGTAATTCCTGGGTCATGAAGTCATCGTTGACAGGAGAAACTAAGTTCAGTTTCTCCGCACTCAAACAATCACTGGGAAGTGCTCATCTCTAATAGGGGCCAGGAAAATTCTACATTCCGATGATAGAGACCATTCATTCTCTCTGCAAGACACCACTGTTGACTTCCCACTGAGTGGTACTTGTTTCGTTGGCCCCTTAAGAACACTGGGCCAAGGCGACTTAGTACTGAGATTTGAACCCTCACATTACTGACCGGGAGATGGGAGCTCTGCTACAGTCATAGCTGGGCCAATTGGTGGGACTGGAGGGGTAGCGGTGGAGCTCCGTGGGTCGATGCCACTTTTGAGACATCAACAATAGGCACTGCGGTGGTGAGATGTTAACTCCCTCGCCTGGTATGCAGGAGGTCCTAGGTTCGATCCCGACCCAGACGCCTGCTGTTTATTTGGAGTTTGTGCGTCTCTCTGCCCGAGTCCGCGTGGATTTTTCTGCGGGTCCTCCGTTTTTTCCCTCCACATTTAGAATCAACATCACGCGTTTAGAGTATTTGACTCCTGCTATACATTTCCACGTGATGACGATAATCCAGTTCGTTGAGCCGTCATTTGTGATAGCCAGGTCGCTTCCGAAAAAGAGCTACATAGCTCGGTGGGCCTTACCTGGTAACAAAAAAAGTTTAGTTTAAGTTTAGAGACCCTTGGCCACGTGCTAGCTGTCCCCCAGCAGGCCACACCTGGGCGGGGGGACGGCGCTCGTGAACGACAGCACGAGGGTGCGCGAGTGCAGGAGGCCCTGCATGTCGGCCGCCACCGCGTCCAGCTGCGAGGGCAGCACGCACAGCAGCAGCAGGGGCGGCCGGGACGAGGCCGCGAGGGCGTTGTCATAGCAGCAGTGCACGCCACGTGCTCCCAGATCTCCTGTGTGGACGCCACAGCCCCACGGCAGCTGCTACGTCAAGAGAACTGCGGTTGCTAAATCGAGGTCGCTAAACCCCGGCATTACTTTCCCACCCCACGGTTTCGCCAGGGCCATGTCGTTTTGTGATGCCACGACAAAAACATGAAAATCGGATGCATCCCAAAAGCATGGCGGGAGGCCAGGGGCGCAACTATGGGGGGGCAGTGTTACGCAACGCAGAGGTGCCCAGTCGGCAACAAGGGGGCCCTGAATCAACAGATAAACAATTACAAACGTTAAGAAAAATTAATACAAAATTTTCTGCAGTCTACCATGGACCAAGCCTGATTAACGGCATCTGGCTATTGTATCAATAGAACAGCATAAATTTGAGCAATCCACCCCTAGACCCTTAGGACATCCTAGACCCATGGGCCGACATGAAAGCAAGACGCATGATACCTTAATTGTGAGTAGTATTGTATCATTGGTGATCACCAGGTCGCTTCTGAAAAAGAGCAAAATAGCTCAGTGGGCTTTACCTGGTAAAATAAAAAGGTAACAGTATTGTTGAGGAGCCCTGGAGCGCCTGCGGTGGAGTTGCTCATGGCTGAGATTCTCACGGAGCAGGTGTGGGCGGCGCGTGGACACGAGCAACTGCGTGGGGTCCAGACAACCCTCGTCCAGGAGGGCCCGGGCCAGCACGCGGCCCAAGCGACCGCAGCCCAACACGGACACCAGGGGCCCGGGGTTCGAAGAGGGGGCGCTCCCCTTCACGTGGCTCCCGGACACGACCCTGGTCATGGGAAACCACAGGGCCGAGGTGCCGTCAATTCGCTCACTGACCGCCCTGGTTTCCACTCAGCTTTGCATTTCATAATAATGATAACAACAGAGTACATGAGAGGTTTCTTTTTTATTTTTTGGTTTAGATTGCGTAAATATCTAAATGTTTTTTTAATTTTTTAATTATTTTTCTATCTACCTGACTTTACTGAAAGACCAAACGAGTATGAATTCCTGCAGTCACAACAGCTTTAAGTCAAGGTGTTAAGATGTTAAAACACCAAACTGAAACCTTTTACAAGGAATCATGTCTGCATTAACCACAATACTTGTGGTCAGAATGCAAACATGTGTCGTTAAAACCCGCCACCACCCGACACAGCCAACTAGTAAGGGTGGTCACGTAAACAGAACATGCCAATTCGCCACTAGTACAGCACACCGGTTGTGTGTTGGAGAGCCAAGCCACAACATTTACAATCTGAGTACGACGTTTCGTCAGTAATTACAACTAGCTTCATCAGGTGACAGCCAGATTTATGAAGAAGTCCACCTGTTTCGTTCCTCCCTAGAGGCGTAGATGTGGTGACCACACTTCTGCGCTCTTACGCAAAGTGGGGGGGGGGGGGATTAATGAGCCAACGTTCATTATGCATGCGCATTATGCGAGCCCTTTGATCTTGTCCTTCCTGTCCATTGTGTTTATTAAAATAGCCCTACCAACAGCAATCCCTATTGAAGTATGGTGCCCTGTATAGGAATGCATTTAAACAATGCAGTATTTGATTATTTGCCTCCACACAGCACTAAGTCGGTAGCTATCCGAACGGTTAAAATTATTTTTATTTCTTTCAATTTCGATAGATTCTCGAAGGAGCTATTTTTGCACAGCTTCAACATTATCAAAATCAATTGAGTGTCCTTGTTGGCACGCATGTTCTGCTACTGCTGACAGTTGTATTTTGGAGTATTTAATATTTCTCTGATGTTCTTTTAGTCTCGTGCTGATCATTTGTCCTGTTTGCCCTACGTAACATTTTCCACAAGTGCAGTTAATCCGGTACACACCTTCTGTTGATAAATTCGGTAATACATCTTTTGTACCAGATATTAATTTATGTTTTTTAGTTACTGCCGCAATGTATGGTATTTTGATGGTTTTAATTACTTGGACAGTTTCAATGCCTGTGTTATTTGATTTGATTTTGGCATTCAATGCCCTGTTGATTTGTGCATCATTGTAACCGTTCATTTTCAGCGCCTCTTTAACATGCTGAATTTCACTTCTCAGAATGTCACCATCTGACACTTTCTTAGCTTGATGAATGGGCGTCTTGCTAACAGCAGATATCTGTGTGGGGTGATGGTATGACTCTGCATTCAGATAGACGTCAGTATGCGTTTTTTCGGTAAATACTGTTTAAAAAAAGAATTAAACCTCTATTATGGATGATATTGGTCGCAAAAACCTACGTGTTAATACTGTTTAAAAAATGTTTTTTTTTTAAACCTATATAATGGATGATATTGGTCGGGAAAGCCTACGTGTTAAAACTGTGTTTTAAAAATATATATTTTTAAACCTCTATTATGGATGATATTGGTCGCGAAAGCCTATGTGTTAATACTGTGTTTTAAAAATGTTTTTTTAATCCTCTCTAATGGACGAAATTGGTCGCAAAAGCCTACGTGTTAATACTGTGTTTTAAAAATGTTTTTTTTTAAACCTCTATTATGGATGATATTGTTCGCGAAAGCCTACGTGTTAATACTGTGTTTTAAAAAAGTTTTTTTGAAACCTCTATTATGGACAATATTGGTCGCGAAAGCCTACGTGTTATTACTGTGTTTTAAAAATATTTTTTTTTACTTCTATTATGGATGAAATTGGTCGCGAAAGCCTACGTGTTAATACTGTGTTTTAAAAATGTTTTATAAAACCTCTATAATGGGCAATATTGGTCACGAAAGCGTACGTCTTAATACTGTGTTTTAAAAAGTTTTTTTTAAACCTCTATTATGAACTATATTGGTCGCGAAAGCCTACGTGTTATTATTGTGTTTTAAAAAGTTTTTTTTAAAAACCTCTATTATTGATGAAATTGGTCACGAAAGCCTATGTGTTATTACTGTGTTTTAAAAATGTTTTTTTAAACCTCTATTATGGATGAAATTGGTCGCAAAAGCCTACGTGTTAATACTGTGTTTTATAAATGTTTCATTAAACCTCTATAATGGACAATATTGGTCGCGAAAGCGTACGTCTTAATACTGTGGTTAAAAATGTTTTTTTTAAACCTATATAATGGATGATATTGGTCGGGAAAGCCTACGTGTTAATACTGTGTTTTAAAAATATATATATTTTTTAAACCTCTATTATGGACGATATTGGTCGCGAAAGCCTACGTGTTAATACTGTGTTTTAAAAACGTTTTTTTAAAAACCTCTATAATAGATGAAATTGGTCGCGAAAGCCAACGTGTTAATACTGTGTTTAAAAAATGTTTTATTAAACCTCTATAATGGATGATATTGGTCGCGAAAGCGTATGTCTTAATACTGTGTTTTAAAAAGTTTTTTTTAAACCTCTATAATGGACTATATTGGTCGCGAAAGCGTACGTCTTAATACTGTGTTTTAAAATGTTTTTTTAAACCTCTATTATGGATGAAAATGGTCGTGAAAGCCTACGTCTTAATACTGTGTTATAAAAATGTTTTTTTAAACCTATATAATGGATGATATTGGTCGCAAGAGCCTACGTGTTAATACTGTGTTTTAAAAATGTTTTTTTTTAAACCTCTATTATGGACGAAATTGGTCGCGAAAGCCTACGTGTTAATACTGTGTTTTAAAAACGTTTTTTTAAACCTCTATTATGGATGAAAATGGTCGCGAAAGCCTACGTGTTAATACTGTGCTTTAAAAAAGTTTTTTTTAAACCTCTATTATGGACAATTTTGGTCGCGAAAGCCTACGTCTTAATACTGTGTTTTGAAAATGTTTTTTTTTAAACCTCTATTATGGACTATATTGGTCGCGAAAGCCTACGTGTTATTACTGTGTTTTAAAAATGTTTTATTTAAAACCTCTATTACGGATGAAATTGGTCGTGAAAGCCTACGTGTTAATACTGTGTTTTAAAAATGTTTTTTTTAAACCTCTATAATGGACAATATTGGTCGCGAAAGCCTACGTGTTAATACTGTGTTTTAAAAATGTTTTTTTTTTAACTATATAATGGATGATATTGGTCGCGAAAGCCTACGTGTTAATACTGTGTTTTAAAAATGTTTTATGAAACCTCTATAATGGGCAATATTAGTCACGAAAGCGTACGTCTTAATACTGTGTTTTAAAAAGTTTTTTTTTAAACCTCTATTATGGACTATATTGGTCGCGAAAGCCTATGTCTTAATATTGTGTTTTAAAAATGTTTTTTTAAACCTCTATTACGGATGAAATTGGTCGTGAAAGCCTACGTGTTAATACTGTGTTTTAAAAATGTTTTTTTTTAAACTATATAATGGATGATATTGGTCGCGAAAGCCTACGTGTTAATACTGTATTTTAAAAATGTTTTATGAAACCTCTATAATGGGCAATATTAGTCACGAAAGTGTATGTCTTAATACTGTGTTTTAAAAAGTTTTTTTAACCTCTATTATGGACTATATTGGTCAAGAAAGCCTACGTCTTAATACTGTGTTTTAAAATGTTTTTTTAAACCTCTATTATGGATGAAAATGGTCGCGAAAGCCTACGTCTTAATACTGTGTTAAAAAAAGGTTTTTAAAAAACCTATATAATGGATGATATTGGTCGCGAAAGCCTACGTGTTAAAACTGTGTTTTAAAAACTTTTTTTTAAACCTCTATTATGGATGATATTGGTCACGAAAGCCTACGTGTTAATACTGTGTTTTGAAAAGTTTTTTTTTAAACCTCTATTATGGACTATATTGGTCGCGAAAGCCTACGTGTTATTACTGTGTTTTAAAAATGTTTTTTTAAACCTCTATTACGGATGAAATTGGTCGTGAAAGCCTACGTGTTAATACTGTGTTTTAAAAATGTTTTTTTAAAAACTATATAATGGATGATATTGGTCGCGAAAGCCTACGTGTTAATACTGTATTTTAAAAATGTTTTATGAAACCTCTATAATGGGCAATATTAGTCACGAAAGTGTATGTCTTAATACTGTGTTTTAAAAAGTTTTTTTAACCTCTATTATGGACTATATTGGTCAAGAAAGCCTACGTCTTAATACTGTGTTTTAAAAATGTTTTTTTAAACCTCTATTATGGATGAAAATGGTCGCGAAAGCCTACGTCTTAATACTGTGTTAAAAAAAGGTTTTTAAAAATCCTATATAATGGATGATATTGGTCGCGAAAGCCTACGTGTTAAAACTGTGTTTTAAAAACTTTTTTTTAGACCTCTATTATGGATGATATTGGTCACGAAAGCCTACGTGTTAATACTGTGTTTTGAAAAGGTGTTTTTAAAACCTCTTTTATGGACGAAATTGGTCGCGAAAGTCTACGTGCTAATACTGTGTATTAAAAATGTGTTTTTTAAACCTCTATTATAGACTATATTGGTCGCGAAAGCCTACGTGTTAATACTGTGTTTTGAAAATGTTTTTTTTAAAACCTCTATTATGGACGAAATTGGTCGCGAAAGCCTACGTGTTAATACTGTGTTTTAAAAATGTTTTTTTTAAACCTCTATTATGGATGAAAATGGTCGCGAAAGCCTACGTGTTAATACTGTGTTTTAAAAACGTTTTATTAAACCTCTATAATGGACAATATTGGTCGCGAAAGCCTACGTCTTAATACTGTGTTTTAAAAAGTTTTTTTTAAAACCTCTATTATGGACTATATTGGTCGCGAAAGCCTACGTGTTATTACTGTGTTTTAAAAATGTGTTTTTTAAACCTCTATTATGGATGATATTGGTCGCGAAAGCCTACGTGTTAATACTGTTTTAAAAATGTTTTTTTAAACCTCTATTATGGACAATATTGGTCGCGAAAGCCTATGTGTTAATACTGTGTTTTGAAAATGTTTTTTTAAACCTCTATTATGGATGAAATTGGTCGCGAAAGTCTACGTGTTAATACTGTGTTTTAAAAATGTTTTATTAAACCTCTATAATGGACAATATTGGTCGCGAAAGCGTACGTCTTAATACTGTGTTTTAAAAAGTTTTTTTTAAACCTCTATAATGGACTATATTGGTCGCGAAAGCCTACGTGTTAATACTGTGTTTTAAAACCGTTTTTTTTTTAAAACCTCTATTATGGATGAAAATGGTCGTGAAAGCCTACGTGTTATTACTGTGTTTTAAAAACGTTTTTTTTTAAAACCTCTATTATGGACGATATTGGTCGCGAAAGCCTACGTGTTATTACTGTGCTTTAAAAATGTTTTTTTTAAACCTCTATTATGGACAATATTGGTCGCAAAAGTCTACGTGTTAATACTGTGTTTTAAAAATGTTTTATTAAACCTTTGTAATGGACAATATTGGTCGCGAAAGCGTACGTGTTAATACTGTGTTTAAAAAAAAAAATTTAAACCTCTATTATGGATGATATTGGTCGCGAAAGCCTACGTGTTATTACTGTGTTTTAAAAATGTTTTTTTTTAAACCTCTATTATGGACGAAATTGGTCGCGAAAGCGTATGTCTTAATACTGTGTTTTAAAAATGTTTTTTTTTTACTCTATTATGGATGATATTGGTCGCGAAAGCCTACGTGTTAATACTGTGTTTTAAAAATGTTTTTTTTTAAACCTCTATTATAGATGAAATTGGTTGCGAAAGCGTACGTCTTAATACTGTGTTTGAAAAAGTTTTTTTTAAACCTCTATTATGGACAATATTGGTCACGAAAGCGTACGTCTTAATACTGTGTTTTAAAAAGTTTTTTTTTAAACCTCAATTATGGACTATATTGGTCACGAAAGCCTACGTCTTAATACTGTGTTTTAAATATGTTTTTTTAAACCTCTATTATGGATGAAAATGGTCGCGAAAGCCTACGTCTTAATACTGTGTTATAAAAATGTTTTTTTAAAACCTATATAATGGATGATATTGGTCGCGAAAGCCTACGTCTTAATACTGTGTTTTAAATATGTTTTTTTAAACCTCTATTATGGATGATATTGGTCGCGAAAGCCTATGTGTTAATACTGTGTTTTAAAAAGTTTTTTTAAACCTCTATTATGGATGATATTGGTCGCGAAAGCCTACGTGTTAATACTGTGTTTTAAAAAGTTTTTTTTAAACCTCTATTATGGATGATATTGGTCGCGAAAGCTTACGTGTTATTACTGTGTTTTAAAAATGATTTTTTTTAAACCTCCATTATGGATGATATTGGTCGCGAAAGCCTACGTGTTAATACTGTGTTTTAAAAATGTTTCATTAAACCTCTGTAATGGACAATATTGGTTCCGAAAGCGTACGTGTTAATACTGTGTTTTAAAAAAAAAAATTTAAACCTCTATTATGGATGATATTGGTCGCGAAAGCCTACGTGTTATTACTGTGTTTTAAAAATGTTTTTTTTAAACCTCTATTATGGATGATATTGGTCGTGAAAGCCTACGTGTTAATACTGTGTTTTAAAAATGTTTTTTTTAAACATCTATTATGGATGATATTGGTCGCGAACGCCTACGTGTTAATAATGTGTTTAAAAAATGTTTTTTAATCCTCTAATGGACGAAATTGGTCGCAAAAGCCTACGTGTTAATACTGTGTTTTAAAAATGTTTTTTTAAACCTCTATTATGGATGAAATTGGTCGCGAAAGCCTACGTGTTAATACTGTGTTTTAAAAATCTTTTATTAAACCTCAATAATGGACAATATTGGTCGCGAAAGCGTACGTCTTAATACTCTGTTTTAAAAAGTTTTTTTTAAAACCTCTATTATGGACTATCTTGGTCGCGAAAGCCTACGTGTTAATACTGTGTTTTAAAAACGTTTTTTTCTAAACCTCTATTATGGATGAAATTGGTCGCGAAAGCCAACGTGTTAATACTGTGTTTAAAAAATGTTTCATTAAACCTCTATAATGGACAATATTGGTCGCGAAAGCGTACGTCTTAATACTGTGTTTTAAAAATGTTTTATTAAACCTCTGTAATGGACAATATTGGTTCCGAAAGCGTACGTGTTAATACTGTGTTTTAAAAAGTTTTTTTTAAACCTCTATTATGGATGATATTGGTCGCGAAAGCCTACGTGTTATTACTGTGTTTTAAAAATGTTTTTTTTAAACCTCTATTATGGATGATATTGGTCGTGTAAGCCTACGTGTTAATACTGTGTTTTAAAAATGTTTTTTTTAAACCTCTATTATGGATGATATTGGTCGCGAAAGCCTACGTGTTAATACTGTGTTTTAAAAATGTTTTTTTTAAACCTCTATTATGGATGATATTGGTCGTGTAAGCCTACGTGTTAATACTGTGTTTTAAAAATGTTTTTTTTAAACCTCTATTATGGATGATATTGGTCGCGAAAGCCTACGTGTTAATACTGTGTTTTAAAAATGTTTTTAATCCTCTAATGGACGAAATTGGTCGCAAAAGCCTACGTGTTAATACTGTGTTTTAAAAATGTTTTTTTAAACCTCTATTATGGATGAAATTGGTCGCGAAAGCCTACGTGTTAAAACTGTGTTTTAAAAATGTTTTATTAAACCTCTATAATGGACAATATTGGTCGCGAAAGCGTACGTCTTAATACTGTGTTTTAAAAAGTTTTTTTTAAACCTCTATTATGGACTATCTTGGTCGCAAAAGCCTACGTGTTAATACTGTGTTTTAAAAATGTCTTTTTGTAAACCTCTATTATGGATGAAATTGGTCGCGAAAGCCTACGTGTTAATACTGTGTTTTAAAAACGTTTTTTTCTAAACCTCTATTATGGATGAAATTGGTCGCGAAAGCCAACGTGTTAATACTGTGTTTAAAAAATGTTTCATTAAACCTCTATAATGGACAATATTGGTCGCGAAAGCGTACGTCTTAATACTGTGTTTTGAACATGTTTTCTTTAAACCTCTATTATGGATGAAAATGGTCGCGAAAGTCTACGTGTTATTACTGTGTTTTAAAAATGTTTTTTTAAACCTCTATTATGGACGATATTGGTCGCGAAAGCCTACGTGTTAAACTAAAGGAGTACATGTTGTATTCGCTATGTTGCAATCCCAACTGAGTAACGTTATGCCAGCACACAATGGCCTAAATAAAGGTCGACAGAGGATCTTCATGATCCACTGTGAAGCAGACGTAAAGTACGCACCATTCAAATGTGAAATCTTGCAACAGAAGACCTGGTTCTTTTCTTTGCATTTTGCCTAAAGTAAGAACGTAGTTGTATTGAAGTGGATCGTCAACACATCCTTATGTTCAACATGTTTGCATTCGTGCCATTACATGGGGTGTCACGGTGGTGAGATGTTAACGCAATCGCCTGGTTGAGGGAAGTTGTGGGTTTGATCTCGATCCTGATGCCTGTATATTTGGAGTTTGAATGTTCTCCCCGTGGTCACGTGGATTTTTCTCCGGGTCCTCTAGTTTTTTTTCCCTCCACATTTATAAACATGCGTTCAGAGTATTTGGCTACTTTAAATTGCCACGTGACAAGCAACTTCGTTGGGCTATCATTTGTGACCAGGTCGTTTCTGAAAAAGTTATAGAGCTAAGGGGGTGTTACCTGGTAAAAAAAAAGTGTTTAATGTCTGCTCCGTATGTGTCACGAGACAGCCAGACACACTTGTAGGTGAGAGATGTTAAAATATGGAGGGATTATGCAGTAAAAATATTTTAAAAAAAGTCTTCTATCCAACTGTGTTCTCTACCAATGAGGTGCAGAATTGTCTCAAGTAAGGTCACCGATGAGCAGACATGCAGGGCATTGCCGTTGTTTGTTGATGTAAATGTAACTGCAGCACTTTGTGTTGTTTCACTTGCGCATCGTGCCGATCCCCCAGGTCTTGTTTACAAATTTGGCCATAACCGCACGAGTAGCGGGAGGCTCGCATGCCGAGATGACCGCACGTGCACGTGGTGCACGAGGTGCTGATGCTCACGTGCGCTCGATGGACCCCAGCGTCCGGCTGAGCCACGCGGCCAGGCGCCCGGAGGCCACGCAGAGGGCAGCTGCGTGGCCTTGCAGCCTGCGGGCCTCCCCGGGGGCCTCCCCATCCCCTTCTGCGGTCCCCGCAGCCGCCTCCCAGCCCAGACCGGCGAGGCCAGATGTGACGTCTTCCTCGGCGTCGCCTGGGCTTGACATCGCGATGACCTCAGCTCAGGAATTCCCCGTGCTGCTGTCCACCCTGTAGTGCTTCTGCACACAGAAAGACAAATTAATGTCCACGTGATTTGGCTGCTATACATTCCATGTGATTAGCCACTTCGTTGAGCTGTCATTTGTGATAGCCAGGTCGCTTTTGATAAAAAAAAGCTAACAGCTCCGTGGGCCTTACGTAGTAAGATGAAAATTGTTTAGTTTGAGTTGCATTTATTAATCATAATAAAGGTTTTTGGGTTAGATCGCGTTATTTATAAATGTGTCGTAACCCTCCACCACCCGACACGGCCAATCAGCAAAAAAAGTGTCACGTTGGCGAATTGCCCGATGATGCTGGAAGTATTTACCAGCGAAACGTCGTACTCAAGCTGTAAGTGTGGATTAGCTCTTCAACACACCGGTGGGCTGAAGTAGTGAATTATTTGTTTTTTGTCAACGTGACACTTTTTTTGCTGATTGGCCGTGTCGGGTGGTGGAGGGTTACGACACATTTATAAATAACGCGATCTAACCCAAAAACCTTTATTATGAATAATATTGGTCGCGAAAGCCTACGTGTTAAATTGCATTTATTAAAGTGATTTATTTAACTTCCCTATAATTTGCACTCCTATCGTGTTTTTGTATTGTTTGTTGTTGTAACGTTCTGACCTGCCCCTACTGGACATCTGTGAAGAAGAGCTTTGTAGCTCATCGGATTCCTCCTGCAGCATAAATACATATTCTGATTCTGATAAAGATGCCCCCTACAGCCATAACATACTTTTGGGGCAAGTGCTGTTAGCGAATCAACATCACGTGACTCCAGTGTATGTAGAGTGTGTAGACACTAGTGACTAGTGTGTATAGGGTGTGTAGACACTAGTGACTAGTGTGTGTAGGGTGTGTAGACAATAGTGACTAGTGTGTGTAGGGTGTGTAGACACTAGTGACTAGTGTGTGTAGGGTGTGTAGACAATAGTGACTAGTGTGTGTAGGGTGTGTAGACACTAGTGACTAGTGTATGTACGGTGTGTAGTCACTAGTGGCTAGTGTATGTAGTGTGTGTAGACACTAGTAACTAGTGTGTGTAGGGTGTGTAGACACTAGTGACTAGTGTGTGTAGGGTGTGTAGACACTAGTGACTAGTGTGTGTAGGGTGTGTAGACAATAGTGACTAGTGTGTGTAGGGTGTGTAGACACTAGTGACTAGTGTATGTAGGGTGTGTAGTCACTAGTGGCTAGTGTGTGTAGGGTGTGTAGACAATAGTGACTAGTGTGTGTAGGGTGTGTAGACACTAGTGACTAGTGTGTGTAGGGTGTGTAGACAATAGTGACTAGTGTGTGTAGGGTGTGTAGACACTAGTGACTAGTGTATGTACGGTGTGTAGTCACTAGTGGCTAGTGTATGTAGTGTGTGTAGACACTAGTAACTAGTGTGTGTAGGGTGTGTAGACACTAGTGACTAGTGTGTGTAGGGTGTGTAGACACTAGTGACTAGTGTGTGTAGGGTGTGTAGACAATAGTGACTAGTGTGTGTAGGGTGTGTAGACACTAGTGACTAGTGTATGTAGGGTGTGTAGTCACTAGTGGCTAGTGTATGTAGTGTGTGTAGACACTAGTAACTAGTGTGTGTAGGGTGTGTAGACAATAGTGACTAGTGTGTGTAGGGTGTGTAGACACTAGTGACTAGTGTATGTACGGTGTGTAGTCACTAGTGGCTAGTGTATGTAGTGTGTGTAGACACTAGTGACTAGTTTGTGTAGGGTGTGTAGACATTAGTGACTAGTGTGTGTAGGGTGTATAGACAATAGTGACTAGTGTGTGTAGGGTGTGTAGACACTAGTGACTAGTGTATGTACGGTGTGTAGTCACTAGTGACTAGTGTGTAGGGTGTGCAGACACTAGTGACTAGTGTGTGTAGGGTGTGTAGTCACTAGTGGCTAATGTATGTAGTGTGTGTAGACACTAGTGACTAGTGTGTGTAGGGTGTGTAGACACTAGTGACTAGTGTGTAGGGTGTGTAGACACTAGTGACTAGTGTGTGTAGGGTGTGTAGACACTAGTGACCAGTGTATATAGACACTAGTGACTAGAGTATGTAGGTTGTGTAGACACTAGTGACTAGTGTATGTAGGCTGTGTAGACACTAGTGACTAGTGTATGTAGGGTGTGTAGACACTAGTGACTAGTGTATGTAGTGTATGTAGTCACTAGTGACTAGTGTATGTAGGTTGTGTAGACACTAGTGGCTAGTGTATGTAGGGTATGTAGACACTAGTGACCAGTGTATGTAGACACTAGTGACTAGTGTATGTAGAGTGTGTAGACACTAGTGACTAGTGTATGTAGTCACTAGTGACTAGTGTATGTAGGGTGTGTAGATACTAGTGACTAGTGTATGTAGGGTGTGTAGACACTAGTGGCCAGTGTATGTAGGGTGTATAGACACTAGTGACTAGTGTATGTAGGGTGTGTAGACACTAGTGACTAGTGTATGTAGGGTGTGTAGACACTAGTCACTAGTGTATGTAGAGTGTGTAGACACTAGTGACTAGTGTATGTAGTCACTAGTGACTAGTGTCTGTAGGGTGTGTAGACACTAGTGACTAGTGTATGTAGGGTGTGTAGACACTAGTGGCCAGTGTATGTAGGGTGTGTAGACACTAGTGACTAGTGTATGTAGGGTGTGTAGACACTAGTGACTAGTGTATGTAGGGTGTTCAGACACTAGTGACTAGTGTATGTAGAGTGTGTAGACACTAGTGACTAGTGTATGTAGTCACTAGTGACTAGTGTATGTAGGGTGTGTAGACACTAGTGACTAGTGTATGTAGGGTGTGTAGACACTAGTGACTTGTGTATGTAGGGTGTGTAGACACTAGTGACCAGTGTGTGTAGACACTAGTGACTAGTGTGTGTAGGGTGTGTAGACACTAGTGACTAGTGTATGTAGGGTGTATAGACACTAGTGACTAGTGTATGTAGGGTGTGTAGACACTATTGACTAGTGTATGTAGGGTGTTTAGACACTAGTGACTAGTGTATGTAGAGTGTGTAGACACTAGTGACTAGTGTATGTAGTCACTAGTGACTAGTGTCTGTAGGGTGTGTAGACACTAGTGACTAGTGTATGTAGGGTGTGTAGACACTAGTGGCCAGTGTATGTAGGGTGTGTAGACACTAGTGACTAGTGTATGTAGGGTGTGTAGACACTAGTGACTAGTGTATGTAGGGTGTTTAGACACTAGTAACTAGTGTATGTAGAGTGTGTAGACATTAGTGACTAGTGTATGTAGTCACTAGTGACTAGTGTATGTAGGGTGTGTAGACACTAGTGACTAGTGTATGTAGCGTGTGTAGACACTAGTGACTTGTGTATGTAGGGTGTGTAGACACTAGTGACCAGTGTGTGTAGACACTAGTGACTAGTGTGTGTAGGGTGTGTAGACACTAGTGACTAGTGTATGTAGGGTGTGTAGACACTAGTGACCAGTGTATGTAGGGTGTGTAGACACTAGTGACTAGTGTATGTAGGGTGTGTAGACACTAGTGACTAGTGTATGTAGGGTGTTTAGACACTAGTGACTAGTGTATGTAGGGTGTGTAGACACTAGTGACCAGTGTATGTAAGGTGTGTAGACACTAGTGACTAGTGTATGTAGGGTGTGTAGACACTAGTGACCAGTGTATGTAGGGTGTGTAGACACTAGTGACTAGTGTATGTAGGGTGTGTAGACACTAGTGACTAGTGTATGTAGGGTGTGTAGACACTAGTGACTAGTGTATGTAGACACTAGTGACCAGTGTATGTAGGGTGTGTAGACACTAGTGCCCAGTGTATGTAGGGTGTGTAGACACTAGTGACTAGTGTATGTAGGGTGTGTAGACACTACTAACTAGTGTATGTAGGGTGTGTAGACACTAGTGACTAGTGTATGTAGTCACTAGTGACTAGTGTATGTAGGGTATGTAGACACTAGTGACTAGTGTATGTAGGGTGTGTAGACACTAGTGACTAGTGTATGTAGGGTGTGTAGACACTAGTGACTAGTGTATGTAGGGTGTTTAGACACTAGTGACTAGTGTATGTAGAGTGTGTAGACACTAGTGACTAGTGTATGTAGTCACTAGTGACTAGTGTATGTAGGGTGTGTAGACACTAGTGACTAGTGTATGTAGGGTGTGTAGACACTAGTGGCCAGTGTATGTAGGGTGTGTAGACACTAGTGACTAGTGTATGTAGGGTGTGTAGACACTAGTGACTAGTGTATGTAGGGTGTTTAGACACTAGTGACTAGTGTATGTAGAGTGTGTAGACACTAGTGACTAGTGTATGTAGTCACTAGTGACTAGTGTATGTAGGGTGTGTAGACACTAGTGACTAGTGTATGTAGGGTGTGTAGACACTAGTGGCCAGTGTATGTAGGGTGTGTAGACACTAGTGACTAGTGTATGTAGGGTGTGTAGACACTAGTGACTAGTGTATGTAGGGTGTTTAGACACTAGTGACCAGTGTATGTAGAGTGTGTAGACACTAGTGACTAGTGTATGTAGTCACTAGTGACTAGTGTATGTAGGGTGTGTAGACACTAGTGACTAGTGTATGTGGGGTGTGTAGACACTAGTGACTTGTGTATGTAGGGTGTGTAGACACTAGTGACCAGTGTATGTAGACACTAGTGACTAGTGTGTGTAGGGTGTGTAGACACTAGTGACTAGTGTATGTAGGGTGTGTAGACACTAGTGACCAGTGTATGTAGGGTGTGTAGACACTAGTGACTAGTGTATGTAGGGTGTGTAGACACTAGTGACTAGTGTATGTAGTCACTAGTGACTAGTGTCTGTAGGGTGTGTAGACACTAGTGACTAGTGTATGTAGGGTGTGTAGACACTAGTGGCCAGTGTATGTAGGGTGTGTAGACACTAGTGACTAGTGTATGTAGGGTGTGTAGACACTAGTGACTAGTGTATGTAGGGTGTTCAGACACTAGTGACTAGTGTATGTAGAGTGTGTAGACACTAGTGACTAGTGTATGTAGTCACTAGTGACTAGTGTATGTAGGGTGTGTAGACACTAGTGACTAGTGTATGTAGGGTGTGTAGACACTAGTGACTTGTGTATGTAGGGTGTGTAGACACTAGTGACCAGTGTGTGTAGACACTAGTGACTAGTGTGTGTAGGGTGTGTAGACACTAGTGACTAGTGTATGTAGGGTGTATAGACACTAGTGACTAGTGTATGTAGGGTGTGTAGACACTAGTGACTAGTGTATGTAGGGTGTTTAGACACTAGGACTAGTGTATGTAGAGTGTGTAGACACTAGTGACTAGTGTATGTAGTCACTAGTGACTAGTGTCTGTAGGGTGTGTAGACACTAGTGACTAGTGTATGTAGGGTGTGTAGACACTAGTGGCCAGTGTATGTAGGGTGTGTAGACACTAGTGACTAGTGTATGTAGGGTGTGTAGACACTAGTGACTAGTGTATGTAGGGTGTTTAGACACTAGTGACTAGTGTATGTAGAGTGTGTAGACATTAGTGACTAGTGTATGTAGTCACTAGTGACTAGTGTATGTAGGGTGTGTAGACACTAGTGACTAGTGTATGTAGGGTGTGTAGACACTAGTGACTTGTGTATGTAGGGTGTGTAGACACTAGTGACCAGTGTGTGTAGACACTAGTGACTAGTGTGTGTAGGGTGTGTAGACACTAGTGACTAGTGTATGTAGGGTGTGTAGACACTAGTGACCAGTGTATGTAGGGTGTGTAGACACTAGTGACTAGTGTATGTAGGGTGTGTAGACACTAGTGACTAGTGTATGTAGGGTGTTTAGACACTAGTGACTAGTGTATGTAGGGTGTGTAGACACTAGTGACCAGTGTATGTAGGGTGTGTAGACACTAGTGACTAGTGTATGTAGGGTGTGTAGACACTAGTGACCAGTGTATGTAGGGTGTGTAGACACTAGTGACTAGTGTATGTAGGGTGTGTAGACACTAGTGACTAGTGTATGTAGGGTGTGTAGACACTAGTGACTAGTGTATGTAGACACTAGTGACCAGTGTATGTAGGGTGTGTAGACACTAGTGCCCAGTGTATGTAGGGTGTGTAGACACTAGTGACTAGTGTATGTAGGGTGTGTAGACACTACTAACTAGTGTATGTAGGGTGTGTAGACACTAGTGACTAGTGTATGTAGTCACTAGTGACTAGTGTATGTAGGGTATGTAGACACTAGTGACTAGTGTATGTAGGGTGTGTAGACACTAGTGACTAGTGTATGTAGGGTGTGTAGACACTAGTGACTAGTGTATGTAGGGTATTTAGACACTAGTGACTAGTGTATGTAGAGTGTGTAGACACTAGTGACTAGTGTATGTAGTCACTAGTGACTAGTGTATGTAGGGTGTGTAGACACTAGTGACTAGTGTATGTAGGGTGTGTAGACACTAGTGGCCAGTGTATGTAGGGTGTGTAGACACTAGTGACTAGTGTATGTAGGGTGTGTAGACACTAGTGACTAGTGTATGTAGGGTGTTTAGACACTAGTGACTAGTGTATGTAGAGTGTGTAGACACTAGTGACTAGTGTATGTAGTCACTAGTGACTAGTGTATGTAGGGTGTGTAGACACTAGTGACTAGTGTATGTAGGGTGTGTAGACACTAGTGGCCAGTGTATGTAGGGTGTGTAGACACTAGTGACTAGTGTATGTAGGGTGTGTAGACACTAGTGATTAGTGTATGTAGGGTGTTTAGACACTAGTGACCAGTGTATGTAGAGTGTGTAGACACTAGTGACTAGTGTATGTAGTCACTAGTGACTAGTGTATGTAGGGTGTGTAGACACTAGTGACTAGTGTATGTGGGGTGTGTAGACACTAGTGACTTGTGTATGTAGGGTGTGTAGACACTAGTGACCAGTGTATGTAGACACTAGTGACTAGTGTGTGTAGGGTGTGTAGACACTAGTGACTAGTGTATGTAGGGTGTGTAGACACTAGTGACCAGTGTATGTAGGGTGTGTAGACACTAGTGACTAGTGTATGTAGGGTGTGTAGACACTAGTGACTAGTGTATGTAGGGTGTTTAGACACTAGTGACTAGTGTATGTAGGTTGTGTAAACACTAGTGACCAGTGTATGTAGGGTGTGTAGACACTAGTGACTAGTGTATGTAGGGTGTGTAGACACTAGTGACCAGTGTATGTAGGGTGTGTAGACACTAGTGACTAGTGTATGTAGGGTGTGTAGACACTAGTGACTAGTGTATGTAGGGTGTTTAGACACTAGTGACTAGTGTATGTAGGGTGTGTAGACACTAGTGACCAGTGTATGTAGGGTGTGTAGACACTAGTGACTAGTGTATGTAGGGTGTTTAGACACTAGTGACCAGTGTATGTAGACACTAGTGACTAGTGTATGTAGGGTGTGTAGACACTAGTGACCAGTGTATGTAGGGTGTGTAGACACTAGTGACCAGTGTATGTAGGGTGTGTAGACACTACTAACTAGTGTATGTAGGGTGTGTAGACACTAGTGACTAGTGTATGTAGTCACTAGTGATTAGTGTATGTAGGGTATGTAGACACTAGTGACTAGTGTATGTAGGGTGTGTAGACACTAGTGACTAGTGTATGTAGGGTGTGTAGACACTAGTGACCAGTGTATGTAGACACTAGTGACTAGTGATGACAGAGAGACAGAGAGTCGAGGCGCTGCCCTAGGTGGTGTGACGATGGTCAGCAGCAGCAGCACCAGACGGTCACCGGTTCGAGTTCATCTCCCGTCGCGGCTGCCAACCTCGAGAGCGCGGCGCGAGTTGAGCCCCCGTCACCCGTACGGCACCTGGCAGGGCCAGCAACGTTCCCGACGGCCACGTCTGAGTGGCGGGTCGCGAGCGGTGGGGTCAAGTGTGGGTGCGCCAAAGCGTATTCCAACTCGTGTGGTCCAACGTGCAGCAGGCGAAGTGGATAAACCACCACCACAACCACCACAACCTCGACCACCACTACAACCACTACCACCACAACCACCACTACAACCACGACCACCACCACAACCACCACAGCCTCGACCACCACTACAAACCACTACCACCACCACAACTATCACCACAACCACGACCACCACTGCCACTACCATACAACCACCACTACAACCACCACAACCTCGACTACCACTACCACAACTACCACCAAAAACCCCCACTACCACCACAACAACCACTACAACCACGGCCACCACCACAACCCCGACCACCAGAACCACTACCACCACTACCACCACTACAACCACGACCACCACAACCACTACCACCACAACCACCACTACCACCACAACCACCACCACAACCTCGACCACCACTACAACCACCACCACAACTACCACCAAAAACCCCCACTACCACCACTACAACCACTACCACTACAACCACGGCCACCACCACAACCACGACCACCACAACCACTACCACCACTACAACCACGACCACCACAACCACTACCACCACAACAACCACTACCACCACAACCACCACCACAACCTCGACCACCACTACAACCACTACCACCACAACTACCACCAAAAAACCCCACTACCACCACTACAGCCACGGCCACCACCACAACCACGACCACCACAACCACTATCACCACAACAACCACTAACACCACAACCACTACCACCACCACAACCACTACCACCACTACAACCACGACCACCACAACCACTATCACCACAACAACCACGACCACCACAATCACTACCACCACAACAACCACTAACACCACAACCACTACCACCACAACAACCACTTACACCACAACCACCACAACCACTACCACCACAACAACCACTAAAACCACAACCACTACCACCACAACAACCACTACCACTACAAACACGGCCACCACCACAACCACTACCACCACAACTACTACCACCACTACCACAACCACTAACACCACAACCACTACCACCACAACAACCACTAACACCACTACCACCACAACAACCACGACCACCACAACCACCACTACAACCACGACCACCACAACCACTACCACCACAACAACCACGACCACCACAACCACCACCACAACCACTACCACCACTAACACCACTACCACCACCACTAACACCACAACAACCACTAACACCACAACCACTACCACCACTACCACAACAACCACTACCACCACAACAACCACTACCACCACTAACACCACAACCACTACCACCACAACCACCACTAACACCACAACAACCACTAACACCACAACAACCACTACCACCACAACAACCACCACAACCACTACCACCACAACAACCACGACCACCACAACCACTACCACCACCACAACCACTACCACCACCACAACCACTAACACAACAACCACTACCACCACAACAACCACTAACACCACTAACACCACAACTACTACCACCACCACTAACACCACCACCACCGCCGCCCTCTGAGCCCTGGAGCGGTGGCGTGCGGGCGGGGGGAGTTGTCACGCGGTCGCCTGGCAACGGTGACGCCACGGGCCGTGACCGCCAGCAGGAAGGAGGCTGCGACGGCGTCGGCCGGTCCACTCAACACATTCACCAACAGCACTGTTGTGTGGCCTCGTTATAAAACAAAAATAGGCGACTTTTCGGGCAATGGCCCTGCTTCATAGCACACCACACACCACGTGCTGTGATGGACCAATTCAACGTGGAACGTTGGGGCGACGTTGGTCCAACGGCACGTTTACTGGAAATGGTGATTTCCCGAAACGTCGCATATATTTATGTATTTAAGGCCACAGTGTTTCGCAAAAACGAATTATATATTTTTTTAAACGGTCGCACGGGTCACAAGGTCCAAAACGCCAAGCTGTCAGCAACAAACAGCACGATGAAAGTTGTAATGCTGTGTCATAAGAGCGTGGGTTCAAGGGACGATGATGATGGGAGAGGGAACGTGCAGCGGTCAGAGGGAAAACAGAATGAGAGGCGTCGTGACCTGCAGTGTGTGGTGAGCGAAGTGGGTGGTTGAGTGGGTGAATGTGAGAGTGGGTGGGTGAGTAGGTGAGTGGGTAGGAGAGTGGGTGGGTGAGTAGGTGAGTAGGTAGGTGAGTGGGTAGGAGAGTGGGTGAGTGAGTAGGTGAGTGGGTAGGTGGGTGGGTGAGTAGGTGAGTATGTAGGAGAGTGGGTGAGTAGGTAGCAGAGTGGATGGATGAGTAGGTGAGTGAGTAGGAGAGTGGGGGGGTGAGTAGGTGAGTAGGTAGGTGAGTGGGTAGGAGAGTGGGTGAGTAGGTAGGAGAGTGGGTGGGTGAGTAGGTGAGTGGGTGAGTGGGTAGGTGAGTGGGTAGGAGAGTGGGTGAGTAGGTAGGAGATTGAGTGGGTGAGTAGGTGAGTGGGTGAGTGGGTAGGTGAGTGGGTGGATGAGTGGGTGATTGGATGGATGGTCGCGGGTTGCCTCAGTGGCCCGCGATCACAAATGTCGATCACAAATCTCAAGGTCAAATCACAAGGTCCAAAACGCCAAGCTGTCAGCAACAAACAGCACGATGAAAGTTGTAATGCTGTCATAAGAGCGTGGGTTCAAGGGACGATGATGATGGGAGAGGGAACGTGCAGCGGTCAGAGGGAAAACAGAATGAGAAGCGTCGTGACCTGCAGTGTGTGGTGAGCGAAGTGGGTGGTTGAGTGGGTGAATGTGAGAGTGGGTGGGTGAGTAGGTGAGTGGGTAGGAGAGTGGGTGGGTGAGTAGGTAGGTGAGTGGGTAGGAGAGTGGGTGGGTGAGTAGGTGAGTGGGTAGGAGAGTGGGTGGGTGAGTAGGTAGGTGAGTAGGTAGGAGAGTGGGTGAGTAGGTGAGTGGGTAGGAGAGTGGGTGGGTGAGTAGGTAGGTGAGTGGGTAGGAGAGTGGGTGAGTAGGTAGGAGAGTGGGTGGGTGAGTAGGTGAGTGGGTAGGAGAGTGGGTGGGTGAGTGGGTGAGTGGGTAGGAGAGTGGGTAGGAGAGTGGGTGAATAGGTAGGAGAGTGGATGGGTGAGTAGGTGAGTGGGTAGGAGAGTGGGTGGGTGAGTAGGTGAGTAGGTAGGTGAGTGGGTAGGAGAGTGGGTGAGTAGGTAGGAGAGTGGGTGGGTGAGTAGGTGAGTGGGTAGGAGAGTGGGTGGGTGAGTAGGTGAGTAGGTAGGTGAGTGGGTAGGAGAGTGGGTGGGTGAGTAGGTAGGTGAGTGGGTAGGAGAGTGGGTGGGTGAGTAGGTGAGTGGGTAGGAGAGTGGGTGGGTGAGTGGGTAGGAGAGTGGGTGGGTGAGTAGGTGAGTAGGTAGGTGAGTGGGTAGGAGAGTGGGTGGGTGAGTAGGTGAGTGGGTAGGTGGGTGGGTGAGTAGGTGAGTAGGTAGGAGAGTGGGTGAGTAGGTAGCAGAGTGGATGGGTGAGTAGGTGAGTGGGTGGGTGAGTAGGTGAGTAGGTAGGTGAGTGGGTAGGAGAGTGGGTGAGTAGGTAGGAGAGTGGGTGGGTGAGTAGGTGAGTGGGTAGGTGGGTGAGTAGGTGAGTTGGTGATTGGGTAGGTGAGTGGGTAGGAGAGTGGGTGGGTGAGTAGGTGAGTAGGTAGGTGAGTGGGTTGGAGAGTGGGTGAGTAGGTAGGAGAGTGGGTGGGTGAGTGGGTGAGTGGGTAGGTGAGTGGGTAGGAGAGTGGGTGAGTAGGTAGGAGATTGGGTGGGTGAGTAGGTGAGTGGGTAGGTGAGTGGGTGAGTGGGTAGGTGAGTGGGTGGATAAGTGGGTGAGTAGGTGGATGAGTGGGTAGGAGAGTGGGTGGGTGAGTAGGTGAGTGGGTAGGTGAGTGGGTGAGTGGGTAGGTGAGTGGGTGGATAAGTGGGTGAGTAGGTGGATGAGTGGGTAGGAGAGTGGGTGGGTGAGTAGGTGAGTGGGTAGGTGAGTGGGTAGGTGAGTGGGTGGATAAGTGGGTGCGTAGGTGGATGAGTGGGTAGGAGAGTGGGTGGGTGAGTAGGTGAGTGGGTAGGTGAGTGGGTGGATGAGTGTGTGATTGGATGGATGGTTGCGGGTTGCCTCAGTGGCCCGCGATCACAAATGTCGATCACAAATCTCAAGGTCAAATCACAAGGTCCAAAACGCCAAGCTGTCAGCAACAAACAGCACGATGAAAGTTGTAATGCTGTCATAAGAGCGTGGGTTCAAGGGACGATGATGATGGGAGAGGGAACGTGCAGCGGTCAGAGGGAAAACAGAATGAGAGGCGTCGTGACCTGCAGTGTGTGGTGAGCGAAGTGGGTGGTTGAGTGGGTGAATGTGAGAGTGGGTGGGTGAGTAGGTGAGTGGGTAGGAGAGTGGGTGGGTGAGTAGGTAGGTGAGTGGGTAGGAGAGTGGGTGGGTGAGTAGGTGAGTGGGTAGGAGAGTGGGTGAGTGGGTAGGAGAGTGGGTGGGTGAGTAAGTGAGTAGGTAGGTGAGTGGGTAGGAGAGTGGGTGAGTAGGTAGGAGAGTGGGTGGGTGAGTAGGTGAGTGGGTAGGTGGGTGGGTGAGTAGGTGAGTAGGTAGGAGAGTGGGTGAGTAGGTAGCAGAGTGGATGGGTGAGTAGGTGAGTGGGTAGGAAAGTGGGTGGGTGAGTAGGTGAGTAGGCAGGTGAGTGGGTAGGACAGTGGGTGAGTAGGTAGGAGAGTGGGTGGGTGAGTGGGTAGGTGGGTGGGTAGGTGAGTTTGTGATTGGGTAGGTGAGTGGATAGGAGAGTGGGTGGGTGAGTAGGTAGGTGAGTGGGTAGGAGAGTGGCTGAGTAGGTAGGAGAGTGGGTGGGTGAGTAGGCGAGTGGGTAGATGAGTGGGTAGGAGAGTGGGTGAGTAGGTAGGAGATTGGGTGGGTGAGTAGGTGAGTGGGTAGGTGAGTGGGTGAGTGGGTAGGTGAGTGGGTGGATGAGTGGGTGAGTAGGTAGGTGAGTGGGTAGGAGTGTGGGTGGGTGAGTAGGTGAGTGGGTAGGTGAGTGGGTGGATGAGTGGGTGGATGAGTGTGTGAGTGGGTGGATGAGTGTGTGATTGGATGGATGGTCGCGGGTTGCCTCAGTGGCCCGCGATCACAAATGTCGATCACAAATCTCTATTTAACTCCATCAAAAAATTAACCTGCAGCGCCACACCTATTACCATCATTGGGGGAAAAAACGGTGATCCAATCTCCAACCCCCAGGAACAGGTTTGCAGATTTGCTGAGCATTTCTGTGAGGTCCTGGGGAAGGGAAAATCCCTCAGCCAGGAAAACATCGTGGCACAAAGTGAGGATGACCCTGCTGAGGCTGCGGTGCCTCAAATATTGGAAGAAGTCACCCCCAGTGAGTGGCTGGCTGAAGTGCCATATCTGTTGAGGAAGTACTGAAGGCGATCCGAAGTCTGAGACCAGGAAAGGCAGCGGGCAGAGATGATCTCTCAAGCGAAATGCTGAGGGAGGGTGGCGTTTGTGCACAGACTGCCCTATATGACATCATAACAACAGTCTGGACCACTGGATGGGTTCCGCAGGATTGGAAGGATGCCCTGGTGGTCCCCCTCTTTAAGAAGGGGGACCGCACAGACTGTAACAACTACAGGGGCATCTCACTCCTCAGTGTGCCGGGAAAGGTCCTGGCAGGGATTATTCAACATCGCCTTGCCAGGCACGCTGAGGAGAGGCTTGCGGAGCCCCATTGCGGTTTCAGAAAAGGGCGGTCCTGCACAGATGCCATATTCTCTGTCCGTCTGCTACAGCAGAGGTGTAGGGAATTCCAGCAAGACCTACATCTCTGCTTTACTGACCTTCTCAAGGCCTATGATACCATCAGTAGGCCTGGGCTCTGGGTTGTTTTTCGTGCTTTTGGAGTACCTGACCCTCTGCTCACGATCATTAAGGACCTCCATGATGGTGAGCGGGCCCGGGTAAAACTACGTGGCTGGGAGTCAGAGCCATTCCCTGTACACCTTGGGGTGCGACAGGATGTCCTCTGGCTCCCACATTATACATATATTTTGACCACGTAGTTCGTGATGCCTTCAATAGCTGTACCGGGGGAATCTCCATATGGTACAGATATAATGGGAGTCTGATGGATGCCCGGGTGCGGTCAAGGGATGGCTCCCTATTGCTCAACCACATTATGTATGCCGATGATTTGGTAATAGCTGCTCATTCAGAGGAGGAGTTGGAGACGCTGCTGCTGAGACTGGAGCGTGCAACTAAGAGATGGGGCCTTACCATCAGCCCCACCAAAACTAAGCACCTACCTGGGTATTTTGTAACATCGAACACTCCACCCCCACAACTCATAATCGGTGATGGGGCAGTTGTGGAGAGAGTGGAGAGTTTCCCATACCTGGGCAGTGTGCTTATGACCGGCTCCAGTTTAACAGCAGAGGTCTCACTCCGAATGAGTCGAGCGGCAATATCTTTTCATCGGTTGCGTAACGCTGTGTGGAAGCTACCTGGTCTGTCGCTCCGCACTAATCTTCAGGTCTTCTTGACCACGGTCATTCCCTCCCTTCTCTACGCTTGCGAAACGTGGACCCCCCTAATGGAACATCTTCGCCGGTTAGAAACATTTAGGCTGGCCTGCCTACGATCCATCCTGGGTTTAACCAGGCTGGATTGTGTGAGGAGCTCACGAATCCTTGAAAGATCTGGGCAAGGTCCCATCGGTGAGCTCCTCCGGCAGGCAAGGCTGCGATGGCTGGGTCATGTAGCCCGCATGCCCAGCCACCGCATGCCGAAACAGCTTTTGTTCGGCCGGATCGAGGGGGCTAAACGGGCGCGGCACGGGCTAGAGAAGAGATGGAGTGATGTGGTACAGGAGGAAGTGGAGCTGAGTGGACTTGCCGATGACTGGTACCAGCGGTGTCAAGATCGGCCTCTGTGGAGGAGGCTCGTGAAGGACGCTACTGGGCAGTTGGAGGCAGTCGCCCTCCAACAACAACGGAGGGCGGAGGAACGACGCTCACAACAACGAACGAAGCGCCGGGTGGCTAAAGCACAGCAGGTTGGCACAGTAGGGGGCACAGGTGGTGCATCAGCCAGTCATCTCAGTCAGTCGACCCGTGGCACCTGGGTCTGCCCCGTGACCTCCTGCCAGCGGGCGTTCGACACTTCACGTGGCCTCAAGGTGCACATGGCCTGGCACAAGCGTTGTGGTGACGTCACCGCCACTTAGTGGCGAATGGGCGGTTGTTGTTGATTGGATGAGTGGGTGAGTTGTTGTGACCAGGTCACTCTGGCAGAGAAGACTCCGCCTTAGCCTCTCGAAGTCTCGCCTGGTCGCAGCAACTCGCCTCGAACTCTCCTCGCTATCCTCCCCCTCTCGGTACTTTCAATGTCGCTGTTGAACTAAACAAGATGGCGACCCCCTCAAGGATTCGAACTAAACAAAATGGCGTCACTTAGACGCTAAACAAGATGGCGGCACGCGCCCATCGTTTGAACTAAGCAAGATGGCGGTGCTCTTACACCGTTTGAACTAAGCAAGATGGCGGCGCTCGCACACCGTTTAAACTAAGCAAGATGGCGAAGCCCTCCACAGTTTTGTTTGAACTAAACAAGATGGCGACGACCTCAGGACCTCTCTTGCCCTCTACGTGCTTTGAAAAAGGGCCATTGTCCAAAACGTTGCCCAACATATTCCTGTTTTATATGGCCACAATTGTTGTTACTGACGAACGTGTTGCGTTGTTTTTGTTAATAGTGCTCATGTACCACCGCCAACTCGGTTTCGTAGTGTCAACACCAGATGCAACTCGTATCGCACGTCATGTCATCCGCCTGCGTGACGTCTTTAGTGGGGGGTTGTTCATGTGACGTCACTCGCTGTTGACTGCTCGAGCCCAACGCCGTGGGGCTTGAACCCCAACAACAACAAGAACGCCGCAGCCGCCAGCCGTCACAAGCAGCATCGCGGAGGAGAGAACAGCGACTACGACGACGACAAAAACAACCACCACCGCGACGAGCAGGGCAGAGAACACGGCGGCCGCAAAGAGGCGAGGCTTGTGGGGAGAGCAGCCATGCCGTGGTACTTCCCGTGGCCGGATTCGATCAAAAAGCGCGCGTGCCGCTACCTCCTGCAGCTCTACGTGGGCCACCTCCTTGAGGAGAAGCTCACGCTGCAGCAGCTCAGCGTGGACCTCTACGGCGGCACGGGCGCCCTGCGCCACGTCGCGCTCGACGTGTGGGTACGTGACGCGCGCTGGGGACACCCGCGGTGACGGTGCGGTTGAGGGTGAGGATGGCGGTGAGGGTCAGGTGAAGGGTTACGGGGACTGTGAGGATGGGGTGAGGTGAGGGTGAGGGTTGTGTGAGGATTAGGTGAGGGTTAGGTGGGGGTTAGAATGAGGGTGAGGATGGCGTGAGGGTAGGGATGTGGTGAGTGTGGGTCGGGTGAGTATGAGGATGGGGTGAGAGTGAGGGTGGGAATGGGGTGAGGGTAGGGTGAGGGTAAATCTGTGGATGGATTGAGTGTGGGTGAGTTGAGTGTGAAAATGGATTGAGTGTGAGGTGAGAGTGGAGTATGTGGTGATGGGGAGAAGTGGCTTCCTGGTGGTCATCGTAGGTGGGGGTGAAAGTGGAGAAAGCAGAGATGAGGTGGTGAAGGAAAGACATTTAAGGCGGCTTTATTATTCAGAGTCGTAGAGGTTGGAGACGGTCGTGGTGGTAGTCTGGCCTGTGGGTGATTGAATCCTGATACACGAGATCCACGTTGTATCTTAGTGTCCATCATCAGAGGTGTCCATTACATGGACGTCACGACTCCCCCAATATCATAGGCAGGACACAGTTACATTCGAGCTGTGATGTTGTCACCCATTCTCACGACTACTGCTGACTCCATACAGCCTGATAGTCTCATGTCGCATCAATGAATGGACCTCGGTGGAAATATAATTGAACAAATGTCAGTGTCTCTCCACGACTCCACCCCTTGTCTCTCGTAGTAACCACAAGGGGGCATTCCTTTGTGCTGGGCACTTTCGAGTATTTTTGTTGTTGTTTAAACTCGGAGCTCGCACATTAGTCGTGGTGAACAGAATGATTTGAATAATTCTTGAATTATTCATTGTACCCACTGCGACCCTATCATCCCCAAAATGCATTGCAGATGAGAGATAATTGCACTTCAGAATAGTATTTTACAGTCATTGTTGCATATATACATAGATACCTAGTGGTATCCCAAACTTTCACAGCTGCTTATATCTCTCCACTCACTCACTCCACTCACTCACTCTACTCAGTCCACTCACTCACTCCACTCACTCTACTCACTCCACTCACTCACTCCACTCACTCCACTCACTCCACTCACTCACTCCACTCACTCACTCCACTCACTGCACTCACTCACTCCACTCTACTCACTCACTCCACTCACTCACTCCACTCACTCACTCTACTCCCCCCCCCCCCCCGCTGCTGGTCCGTCATGGTCCCCACCCGCTCCTGGTCCATCATGGCCCATGCACCTCCTACGTACATCGTGCTCATTTTTATGCTAATTCCTTTGTCAAGCGTTTTGCTTCCTCCCACACAGCTTAAAGGACGCGACCTGGGCTTGGCTGTTTTCACTCCAACGCTGCCCTTCACCTGATGAAGGCCACTTGTGTTGTGGCCGAAACGTCGTGATTTTTGTTATTTTATTTTTTACCTACATGACTTTACCGAATAGAACCAAAGAGTACGTAGGGGAGTAGTTGCGGTGTTGCCTTGCAATTTCTTATTACCCAGGTTCAGCTCCTGGACATTTACATCAGTGACAAGTGGAATTGAAACCTAATCTGGCTCTCCCCTATATTGACTCGGCTTTAAGTAATAGTTTGTTTTATCGACAGCTCGTCTTTCATTGAAATATTACAAAGCGCTATGCATGTGAACATTTTGACGCCCGATTCCTGTTCGAGCTGTTTGAGTATTTGCACTGGGAGGGCAGGCTGACGGCAATCGGCGCGCTCTGCATGAGAACGTGAGACCCTGTTTTTTTGTGGTTGGTTGTGCGCCTTTGATGCATCCGAGCAGGGTTCTTCACCTGGCGGGACTGCGAAGCCTGCGTGGAGTGGTCCGCCGGGCTGCGGCCGTCTCGAGACCTAACGAGACGAGAGATGAATGAGATGAAAGATAAAACAAGGGACGGAGGAGATGAGAGAGCCGTAGACGAGAGTCGCATTTATTGATGTGAAAGCGACATAGAAACAAGAGAACAAGACGAGAAACCTGGGGACGAGAGGCCCAGATTAGTGGCCGCATGTACAGGACATATCACAAACATGGGCGCTGACAAAATGCAACAAATGGTGAAAAGGGCGCCACGGAACACGGAGACGTGCGTGCTTGTAATTACTCTTGAGAGACAGGAAGAGGCACATAGGTTGGAAACCATGTGCCTGTTAGGCGCATCACAGTGACTGTTAGGAAAGCTGAGCGGGCTTCGGCAGGACAACGTCGCTCGTGGGGATTGTGGCCGGTGGTCGAGACGAGTGGCGGAGTGACAGCTCGAGGAGGGAACTTGCCATCATGAGGCCTTGAGGGATGTTGATGGCTTCGCGAGGCCTTTATGCAGCAGTGGACGGATAATGGCCAATAATGATGTCCAGGCGTATGATGTCATGACACTGCGTAACGTCACAACAGCTGTATATGTGACATGATGCCGCGTAGCCTGCTAGTTGTATTTTGTCCCACCAGAAAATGCAGGGCAACCCATCTATTGATGCCTCAATGACCCCCCCTTCCCCACTGGTCATTGAATATTGTGAAAGCGATGGCTCCATATCATCAGGAGGAAGCTGCTAAATAGTTTCATACTTTTATTGAGAGTGGTAGGAATCATGTGGAGAGTTTAAAATAAAATGTTGTTTTCCCATATTTATCCATAGTATTGTAAGTGGAGTGTTTATGAATAGATGTTGGCATCTGGTTAAAGAGGCTTGCCTTAGCAGTGCTGGCTTGGTGCCCTGACGGATGCCTGTCACCACACTGAGCCGCTCAGCCTCCTCTTTCGAAGATTTTCTTGTTTTAACACTGCACTCTGCTTATTGTTTAAACTACGTACAGTAATCCCTCGGTTAACCGTGGCATCGGTTGACGTTTTTTCGGTTAAAGTTTTGCCTCCCATAGGACCCCCCCAATGGTTTTTACTTACGTAAACATTCTGCCTCACGGTACCGTGTTACGTTATTGGACTCGGGGCGCCAGATTCGGCCAATCCGAGCGTTCTTAAGTGGGGCTGAGCCATGCCCTCAACCAATCAGCGACGTCCATTTGTGAGCGTTTAGACTTCGACTGCCTTTGTTTACATCACGATTTATTTTCTGGGCAGTGAAAACAGCCCTCTTGCCGACTCATGTTATTCCTGTATTCGATTAACAGCTATTTCGGTTCAACATGTTAATCGAGGGACCACTGCACTCTGCTTGTTTAAACTCTGTGCTCTTGCTTAATTTGGGCAGCGCTTTGCACCAGTGTCGTATTTTACTTTTCAGGGTTCGATCCCAGGAAGGATGACTCAAATGTTTTTATATCAGTGGCTTGAAACCTGACGGCCGGAGACAGACCAATATTTAGGCTGTCACAGGAATGTGGAATTTCCATCTCCAGGGATGATTACCGCTCAGCACTCCATTGAATAGGGAGGTACTGACTGTAAAAATTGTGTCATTGGGCCGGATGCATGCAGTATACGGAAACAGCAATATTGGAGTTGATGTGGGAGTTGATTGGTAGCCAGTGAAGGGAGCTGAGTGTTGGAATTATCCGGGCTAGGGCTGAACGATTAATCTACAGTATTTCAAATCGAAATCGCAATTTAAAACAATGCGATTAGCAAATCGCAAAGGTTGCGATTTTTTCAGATTTGAAAAGTCCTATTGCTTATTGCAATTGGTAAAAATTTTATTGTTACAACTTCATTCATTTCTTTGTTTGATTGTTCTATTTCAATTTAGACATTTTAATAAATACATGTTTGGAAGAAATTAATCTCTTTTAAGTTCTCATCCTTGCATTAGAATAGAAAGAGCAGTTAATATTTTGATGGTATCAATCACATGTTTTAAATGTATTACACAATGAATATTGAACTAAAGCTTGACTTAAAAAAATGTAATCGTAAATCAAATCGCAATATCTGTCAGAAAAATCGCAATTAGATATTTTCCCCAAATCGTTCAGCCCTAATCCGGGCCTCCTTAAAGGCGCAGGGTCGAGAAGTCACCTCGATTACAAACAGATTCACTCGTGCACACACGCACGTTTAAGCACACAAAACATATAAACTCGTATATAACAACAACCGCCATTCGCCACTAAGTGGCGGTTACGTCACCACGGCGCTTTGTGCATAGGCATGAACCAAAAGTTATATGTAAACAATTAGTCACTCTTATGTATTCGCACGTACATACCCACACAAGGTGAACATGCCCATGCACATGCAGTCACTCGCTGGCAGGTCTCTGATTCCGTAGAGGCAGTGTGATGGTATGAATGCTCGCATCGCATGTGACGTGCGTTGCGAGTGAAGCGGCTGCTGACAGCCGCACGAATTAAACCCTGGGTGTGTATGTATGTAGAACTTCTTTTTCACCGTATGTAGCCAACCGTGCTAATCGGAGGTCCGTGGGAAGGATAACAAACGATGGGTCTCTCTCTGAGTCTATAGGTCTTTGTGTGAGTATGTATGTAGAACTTATTTTGCACCGTACGTAGCCAACTGTGCTAATCGGAGGTGCGGGGGGAGGACAACAAACTATGGGTCTGTGTGAGTCTACGGGTCTCTGTCTGAATCTATGGGTTTCTGTGTGAGTCTGGGCTTCTGTGTGAGTCTGGGTTTCTGTGTGAGTCTACGGGTCTCTGTCTGAATCTACGGGTTTCTGTGTGAGTCTGGGCTTCTGTGTGAGTCTGGGTTTCTGTGTGAGTCTATGGGTCACTGTGTGAGTCTATGTATGTATTTTGAACTTCTTACGCACCGTATGTAGCCAACCGTGCTAATCAAAGTGTGGGGTGTGGCGACATGCCTGAGGTCCGGCACGGTGGTGGCAAGGGTTGATGGATCACTCAGGCCCCCAACTTTACAACACAGCATATTCCAAAGCTCGAATACTTATTGAGCAAGAATTATACAGATTGCCTTGCTGCCTTATCTGTGCAGAAGTATTCATAGGGCTAATTACATTTCTAAATACCATTTATAGATCCTCAAAGAAACTCCAAAACGAGATGTAGTTCAAGTTTGACCACCGCCCACCCATACTAAAGGGGAAGTGACTCAGTAAATATTTCCCACTGAACTTAAATAGTTGGGCTGCTTTCTTTCGAGAGCCACAATCTTGAGGTGATAAGGTGTGGTTGAGTTTACATGAAGCTTATGAAAACTCCAAAACCCTCTGGTTGTCATAACAGTGAGTGGATTCATGAACCCACGTTTGTTTGTGTCCCTATGGGTGTTATCCCCTAGCTAAAGTGCAGCAAGTTGGCACAGCAGGGGGCACAACTGGAAACCTGGGTCTGTCCTGTAACCTCCTGTCAGGGAGCCTTCAAAACATCACGCAGCTTCAAAGTGCTCCCGGCATGGCATAGGCGCCGTGGTGACGTCATCGCCACTTAGGGGGCGAATGGCGGCTGTTGTTGATATCCCCTAATGTGTGTGAGGTTGTGTTGGGTATATTCCAGTTTCCTCCCACATGTAAAATTATCTTTAAAACGAAATTGGTCCAACCTCCCAATGCAGGACACTCCTGAAAAACAGTGTTGAAACCCTGCATATATAAACTCAAACTACAAACTCAACTATTTTAGTTACCAGGTCACGCACACTAAGCTATTAGCTATTTTTCAGAGGCAATCTGACCACACATGATAGCCAATGGAAGTGGCTTGTCATCATGCATGGGAATTTATAATAGCCATATAATCTAAACACGCGTTTCTAAACGTGGAGTGAAAAACCGGAGGCCCTGGAGAAAAATCCATGCAACCACTATGGGGATCTGGATCGAACCCAGATCGAACCCATGTTCTCCTGCATAGCAGGCAAGGGAGATAACATCTCAACCACAGAGGTGATTGTGAAAGCGTGGTCTCGGTCTAGCATGGTAGGCACGTGCTTTTGAGTCCTTTCGATTCAAAAGTGTGTGACAGTGACACTCAGAAAAGGGAAGTGTGATTTTGCTAACGTGCTCAGAGGCCGTGGGTTAATGCTGACATCAGCACAGATGGCGGTGTGTGCCCGTGACATTGCGGTCTGCACACTGCACCAACATCTCAGCCACCCAAGTGTGATTTCTAGAAATGATAAACATCAACACTCAGTCAGTTTTTATATTAGTCCAGTGTGGATCTTTCCTAGGTTTGCTCAGCTTAAAGTGAGCACGTGGTGTTGTTGTGTATTCAACGGCAGCACTGGGAAAATGAAAGTGGTGGGATGTTGTGCTATTATCCCTCCCCCTTTATATGCCTTTCCTGCCTACTGGACATCTATGAAAAAGAGCTTTATAGCTCATCTGATTCCTCCAGTATAATTAATATTTTGAATCTGATATTCTGATTCTAATAGGTGCTCACTCACTTCACTTACGCTGACAGTAAAGGGAAATCGAGGACAGTGTGTTTCTGTCTTTGTGTGCTTGTGTATCAATTGTTCGTGTGTATATATGTGTGATACGAACCCGGCGACCAGAGTTCGATTTCTGCTTATGGCCAACACCTTTCACGATTATTTGAACCGGTTCTGGGCCTCCCGTAGGTCGACTTAACCGCAAATGAGTACCTGGTTGGTGTGTAAACATCTCCACTAGGGAGACAAAGGCAGCAGGTGTCTTTGTCTACCTATATGGGTGTATGTGTTAATTGTACCAGTGTGCAAATTTGTGTATGAGTGTCTTTACTTGTCCATGTGTTTGTGTGTTCCTGCATCTGCCTGTTTACATAGGTTCCCATATTAGTGTGCATCCCTGTAAGTGGGGAGCGGTATTGTAGTGGTTAGCGCACTGTGCTACGGACCCGGCCACCCGAGCTCGATTCCCGCTCACGGCCAACATGAGCGGCGATTATCTGAATCTGGGCCTGGTGTGCAGGCTGGCGTAGTGTTGGCCACCCCTTGTGTGCTGTGCCTCCCTTTATAGGTGTTCGCTAACAGCGCTTGCTCCAACGGTCTGTTAAGTTTGTATAGGGGTCTTTTTCAGTGTTTGTGAGTGTGTGTATATATACGTGTGTGTGCCTGTGTGGTGGGTGTGCTTGCGTCTTCATCTTGTGTGTGTGTGTTTGTATGGCGGTGGCATTTTAAGTCGAGCGGAATTATCTTTTCATCAACTGTAACACTGTGAAAACTACCTGGCCTGTCGCTCCACAAAATCTTTGGGTCTTCTCAGCCACAGTCATGACCTACCTCCCTTCTCTTTGCTTGCATAAGGCAGAGAAGCGACGCTCAAAAAGAGTGAAGTGCAGGCGGCTAAAGCACAGCAGGTTGGCACAGTAGGGAGCTAGAATCTGCCAGTCATCTCAGTCAACCCGTGACACCTGGGTCTGTCCCGTGACCTTCTGTCAGTGAGCCTTTGACACTTCACATGACCTCGAAGCGCACCTAACCTGGCGCAAGCGCTGTGGTGATGTCACTGCCACTTAGTGGTCAATGCGGGCTGTTGTGTTTGTGCCCCCGTGTATTTCTCAGTCCCTTAATGAGATGCTGGACTCGGTGAATGCTCCCCTGGAGATCACCGATGGCTACATCGAATCCATCTCCGTGTCCATCCCCTGGTCGGCCCTGCTGCTTGAGAACTCCACAGTGGAGGTGCGGGGTTTGCGCCTCACACTCAGGCCCAAGGCACCCACCGGTAAGTTCTCCCACATGAGTGCATGTGTATTATGTGCGTGTGTACGTTAACGGTGGTGTCGTGGTTAACGCACGACGCTGCAAACCCGGCAACGCGAGTTCCGTTCCCATTCACAGCCAAAAAACAACAGCGAATGTTTGAACCCTCTTGGTTGAATCGTCCTCGAATGACTGCCACGTGTAATGTGCAACCATTGCCTCTAGGGAGAAAAAGGTGGCTGGGCATAGGCCTATGTCCGGCCACCCCCTCGTGTGCCGTGATGGCTTGAATTGGGGCTCAGGAACCGCAATTCTCCCAATGTTTTATTTAAGTTTTAGGAGTGTCAGAGTCGTCGTTGTTGTGTGTGTGCTCGTAGGGAGCGGTGGTGTAGCGGTTAGCGCGCTGTGCTACGAACTTGGCATCCCTAGTATGATTCCTGCTCACGGCCAAGACCAGTGACGATTATCTGAACAAGCCCTTAGCCTACTCTGGGTCGGATCAGCCTTAAATAAGTACCTGATACGATGTGTAAACATCCCCACTAGGGAGACAAAGGTGGCCGGGCATGGTGCTGGCCACCCATCCCCTTGTGTGCTGTGCCGGCCTTCATAGGTGCTCGCTAACAGCGCTTGCACCAACAGTCTGTTCAGGTTATATGGGGGGGCGGGGGATCATTGTTTTTGTTATGTGTGTGCTTGTAGTATCGGTGGTGGAGTCTCTCTACTGGTCCACGTGCATGACCAGCAGCATGCAGCTGGCGCAGGAGTGCCTGAAGCAGCAGCCGGGAGACGACCAGCCAGACTGCGCCACACAGCAGTTTGAGGGCCTTGAGGTCTTCGCTCAGACCATTGACACCGGTACAACAACATCCGCCATTTGCTAATTTAATTGGGATGGCATCGCCAGGGTACTTGTGCCAGGCTCGGTGGACATTGAGGCCACACACCTGTACACACCCACTAGCCATGACACCCTAGTTTCTGGTAGGGTTGTTAAACAGTAACTGGTAACCGATTCCCGGTGGGAATACCCACGCTTTGCCCCACCACACGTGACCTGCCAATCAACTGACTGGTGAACCTATTTGCACTGCTGGGCGGGTGGACAGAGGCCGTGGGGGCGGATTTAAGAAACTTAACCCATTATGTCAGCTGCTGCGCTCAGAGGTGAAATGACACCGGCGACCTCTGAGTTGCAAGTCCAATGTGCTAACCGTTACACCACTGTGGCAGCTCGCTTTGATTCTCAATTTAAACGGTTAAACACACTGTGTTTTTTTCTCCACGTTTCTATTATGCGCGGCAAAGCAACGAACGGTTTTATTGCATCTACCGCCATTACACGAAAATGATTTTGGCAGCCCTGATAAATAGATTAAGTTAATTCCGCCCAAGCACGCACACTCGCACACTCACGTGGGTGAGTGCAGCTGTTGGAATACTTGCTTCTGGGATTCGTGACGCAGTCTGACAAACCACGCGTCTCCAGAAACCCGACCACGGGTAAACAGCACAGAGCCTTCACCCCCCCTCACCTCCAAAGAAGCAGCCGCCGCTGCGATAACGCGACGACCGGCATAAACACTGAGCTAGGCGGCCGCCACCACCACCTGCCTCTCAGAATTCTTTGCACGGTGCCAGTTACAAGGACCCTGCAAAAAACACTAGGAGCAACATAAATGCGTATTTTTTTAAAGGAGCACATTAAAATGTCATGGCCAGACAAATGTATGCAGTGCATAATACATTTAGAGAGGTAGTGAGAAAGCAAGATACTGAATATGATGTTTTGACTGGGAATATTGTGGGTACTAGAAACCGGGGAAGATGGAGAATTAAGTACTTAAGCAGTCTTAACAATTGGATGCAACTGAGAGTATCTAATGCAAAGTTGTTGAGTTATATCATGAACAGAGATAAATGCAAGACGGCCATGATCGCCGACGCATTTCAGAAGGAATGCCGGTGTATAGAGCGAAAGAGATAGGGTGCCTCATTCTGGCTCTGTGATTCCCAAGTGTTTCATCGAAGCCCTAAGAATTGTAAATAAACCTTTGGCTGGCCAAGATGTTTAACCCACGATGCTTTAACCACAGCCCAGTTCTTAACCTCGTGGGAAATTCCCCCGACATGTTTAGGAGTCGGAAGAGTTGTAAATGTAGATCTTGGATGGTGGTCGACTCAGTCCATCATCCCTCTGGGGTCAATACAATGGGTTTTATTTTGTTTGTAGTCAACAGTGGTTGTACTCGGAATAGTTTCCATTGGTTACCGAGGTGGGGACTGGTTTATAGATTAGTCTCTGCCAGAGAAGTGCGGAATTTCCACCAGTGGCTCAGAACTGCCAACGAAGATGAACACCACCTTTGGTGAGGTGCGAGGTGTGGTTCAGTGTGGGGACATGTGGAGCTGGTTGTGTGCTGTGTGTGTGGTGTAGCGTAGTGAGATTTGGTGTTGGTGACAAGGTGTGGTGTTGTTTGTGTGGTGTAGTGTGGTAAGATTTGGTGTTTGTAGCGAGATGTGTAGTTGGGTGTTGTAGTGTGGTGTGCAGTGTTATGTAAATGTGTACTGTGATTTTGATGGCGTGGTGTAGTGTGACGTGGAGTGAGTATGGGTGAGGTGTGGTGCTGGTGGCGTAGCGTGGTGAGATGTGGTGCGGTGAGTCGTGGTGGTTCTGATGCGGTCGCCCTGTGTCCCCGCGCCCCAGTGCTGCGACGAGTCAAGTTGGCCTTCCTCGACACGGTGGTGCGCGTGGAGCACGTGAGGGAGAACGCCAAGAGCGGCGTCGCGCTCGAGCTGCGCATCAAACGGTGCGTAGGGCCGGTGTGTGAGATGCGTGTGTGTGTCTGTGATGTGTGCGTGATGTGCGCGAGATGTGTGTGTGAGATGTGTGTGTGTGAGACGTGTGTGTGTGTGAGACGTGTGCGTGTGTGTGTGGGAGACGTGTATGTGTGATGTATGTCCTTGTGTAAGATGTGTCCATGTATGTGAGATGTGTGTTTTTTGTGGGTTAGTGTACGGTGTGGAGCTTGGGTGCCTATGCGCTGTTTATGTTTCCGTTGCCCAACCCAAACTTTCCCTGGCGCCTCCACTCTGCCTCCGTGCTGCTCTATTTCCACGTTTTCCCCGACCTCGTTGGTTTTTGTTCACCACTGCATTACCTGGCTTAACCCCCCGTGCCATCTCACAACTCCCCGCCTGACCTCCGTGTCATCCGCACGCCTCTTCAACGCCAATGCCTCTCCCGACACCTGTCCCGCATCTTGTCTGCCACCGGGGACTCCCCCGGGACCACGTCGTTCATTGGACCCCCAGGTCCTCTGAGACTGCCGCTAACTTTTGCGGGTGCTGCCCCGGCCGTGCCTGGAACTCGTTTGTGATTGGTGGAGGTTGTTTCCTGGAGGTGACAGTGGGTGCCGGTGACCAGGCCCAGCGGTGTCGCTGTTCACAACTTATTGCTGACTTATATTCAGATTCATGGTTTTAATCCGGCAGGCCGCCCTAGTTATTACTGCGGTGTTAACCGTGAAATACTTATGCACCACCGGCTTCACTGTGTACGTTAAATATCCCCTGACGTCATTCTAATAGAGGAGGCCATTGTGTTCTGCCGTCATGGTCGAAAATTAACCAAAATAGAAAAATTACCTGCAATTTACTCAATCGGGATTACACATAGCAACATCACCTCCGGTTCTGAAACTGCTGTAGACTATGCCTGTGAAATATCATACCATTCTCTTTTTTTATGCCTTTGCCTGACAAGAATGATGGCGGTAATATCAAATGTGTGAATTGTTGATTTGTTGCTCTGAGCTTGGCCTTTCTAGGCTACAGGCTGTGCCTTGCCAAACGTCTTCTTGCACTCATCCCCTCAAACAAACCCCTGGTGTGTGCTTGTGATTTCTGCTCACGGCCAACACCAGTGACGATTGCTTGAACCAGTCCTGGTCCTCCCCTAGGTTGACTCAGCCTCAAATTAGTTCCTGGTGCGGTGTGTAAACATCGCCACTAGGGAGACAAAGGCGGCCAAGCGTGGTGTTCTCCACTCATCCCCTATTGTGCTGTCGGCCTTCGTAGGTGCTCACTAACAGCACTTGCTCCAACAGCCTTTGAAGGCTATACGGGGGATATTTTTCTTTGTATGTGTGTATATGATTAGATATTTAATTACTGCCATGTTTAGTGAATTACAATTGTGGAGATTACTCTTAAGGTGTCAGCCCAAGTTTGCGGGTGGATAACGGTGGGCAGCGTTGACTACTGTAGCGGGTCGGCTCGTGTGAAGTATATATTTGTCCATATTGTGACGTGTCTGTATGTGGGGGAGCCGTAGTGAAGTGGCTAGCGACACTACATTACGAACCCAGCAACTCGGGTTCAATACCCGCTCACTACTAACATGGGTGACGAATATCCCAAACCAGTCTTGAGCTTCCCCTAGGTCAAGTATCCCTTAAACCAGTACCTAGTGCGGTGCGTAAACATCATCACCTGGTAGACCGACGGGACCAGGCGTGGTACTAGCCACAGCAATCCCGCCTCGCACCACGCAGGCCTTCACAGAACAGCACTCGCCCCAACAGTCCGCTTGAAGGCTACTCGGCGGGCTCGTCGTGTTTGCGCGCGAGCAGCATGGATTACTGCGACGAGGCGGCATGCGAGGAGGTGGGGGACCTGGGCTCCGGCGGCGTGCTGGGCGAGCACATCGACCTGCACCACCCGGCCGCCTTCGCGCGCAAGACGCTGCGCCTCGTGGACGTCGACGTCTTCTGCCAGGAGATCCCGGCGGAAGCCCGGACGCCGCCCCGCACGCCGCCCTCGCACCAGGTGTGCAGCCACAACGCACGCTCGCCAGGCTCGTTACAAGGAGACGAAAGATCCCCCTCCCCCGTGCAGCCTGGAACAGACTGTTGTTGTGAGTGCTGTTACTGAGTAGCACCGCCTATGAAGGCTGGCACGGCTACACGAGGGGGTGGGTGGCCAGCACCAAGCCCGGCCGCCATTGTCTCCCAAGCGGCGATGTTTTACTACACACGGCACCGGGTACTCATTTGAGGCTATGTCGATCTAGGGAGGTCCAGCACCGGTTCAGGTAATCGTCACTGGTGTTGGGCGTATGCCGGAATTGAACTCTGGTTGCCGGGTTCGTAGCGCAGCACGCAAACCGCCAATTCACCACCCATGCAACCTACCCAGCTCAATATAGATTGAAAACTAATTTCTTTGGAACTGCTTCTGGTGTTTAGTTTGTTGGCCTTCCCCCGCACCTCCGATGAGCACGGTTGGCTACGTATGGTGCGAGAGAAGTTCAACATACAGGCACAACCAGAAGCTCACTGTGGCTATTCTGATATGCCGGCTTGCCGCACGATACGTGCATCGGTATCCACGTTTGCTTGTCATGCCGACACTCGGTTCGACGTCGCCGTCGAGCGGATTTACGGTGTTAATCGCGCGACAGCGTCGCGAATAATCTCGTTCGCCGGCATGCGATCCGTCTCCCCTACCGCCAGGACACGGAGCCCAAGCTGTCGCCGTCGTGGAACCCGCGCATCGTGTCCGAGCCACACCCGCAGTTCTCGCTGTCTCCCACGGGGAGCGCGGCAGGGCTACGCAGCGAGCCCGTGGACGACGACGCCGCCGCCCCCCTCATCACGCCGCCGCCACCCCTGCAGGTGGCGAGCTGCGCCGGCGCGGTGGAGGTCAACGTTCAGCTGAAGCAGAACGAGGCTCTGCCTGGGCCGAAGGTGAGGGTCGCGAACCAACCCCTCGTCCCCCCCCCCCCCCCCCCCCCCGTCATACAAGCGGCCCACCCAAGTGGCGAAACTAATACTCCTCTGTTGTGGCCTCCCGATGCCGTAAAAACAATTGTGTGCATGTTACGCAAATGATTAACGGTTACGTGGAACTGGCAAGAAGGCCATGGCGGGATGGGAAAAGTGATTTGTGGTGGAAAATAATTCACCAATAATTAAGGTATGTTATCTTGTTACACTGTTTCTTACACTATTTACCTTGTTAAACTCCTTTATTTTGTTACACTATTTTATGTTGGTACACGAATCGATCTATCTAAATAGATTTACCTTGTTAACACTTTGGACCTTGTAAGTTACAACCAATCTAGCAGCAATCCATCAGCCAGTTCAAGGAGACAGTAGATAGACCCTGTCGCTGCGATCCACACAGCATTCAACTATCACACGTTTCAACACTGTTGCTTTGTCTCTGCAGCCAGACGAAAACATCTTCTGGCTCTTATTAAACCGGTTTGCCTGCATGGTTGCCTTGGTGACATCACAGCACCGAATTGAGAACCTGTATCAGGAAGAACATTCACGCAAACTCTTGTTTCCACCCGATGGTGCTGGTTGTAACCTCCATTCGTCGGCCAAAAATTGTTCTCCCTTTTCATTATAATCGATTTAGCTGAAAAACCAAATCAATTGCGATCTTTTCCCACGTGACAACTTGCTTTGTTTGGTCTTGTCAGGAGGTGGAGGGTTACAGCTCAAATTTGACCATTACAGCTACACGGTCGGACCTAAACAGAAACCAATTACGAATCTGAAACTAAAGTAATTCACCAAGGCTGGTCAGAGCGTCCTTGTCCTGCGGCATCGCGTCTTGCAGTGTGCATCCCTTCCTATTGGCGGCCGTGAGCCGGTGGTGGTGGAAATGACGCAGCGCTGAACTGTGTGGCCACTCTCCATACAGCAGTGGTTCTCAACCTTTGTTGGCTACTGCTGTACCCTCGTTGAATTTAGTTTCAACCGAGTAACCCCCCTTGCCTGACCCATCATGGTTCTGAGAAATAAATGCATGAATAATGAACATCGATTTTTTTAACCATTTGTCCTTTTGTGAGGTATCCTAACCAACTAAGCAACTGCAAACGAATAAAAAAATAGACGGACGCTCTGCACGCATGACGTAATGTTTTCGTGCTCGCTGGTTATTCTTGGAAACCAAATTGTTTATTTTCAGTGAGTTTTAAAAAGTATTTTATATCCTTCTAGGGTACCATTTGTATTTAAATTTTATAGTTATTTTCTCTTAGCATATTCATACATGATTATTCCCTAATGCCTCTCATGTACGATATAATCTCACACATTTATAAATCACCTCACGTACCCCCCAGTAGAGAACCACTGCTCCACACGGCACAACCACCAATGAGTTCCCACAAACCGGAGCTTGTTTGTGTCCCAGTCACGGGTTGATGCGGCCGCCATGCATGGCATGTTGATCAAATAAGTGTACATTGTGGTCAAGTCAACAGTGCCATATCTACATAACCTGGCCCCCACCATGCAAATGTGGAATTTCCACCACTGAGTCCAGGACTATCAATAGAGATGAGTGCCACTCTGTTGCTTGGTTTAGCTGAAAGACGCTTTGAATCCCACTTCACGAGTATAAACGTGCACACACGGACACACGGACGCACATTTTACAAACCTACATCATCCCCATGTCCCTGCGTGTCTTGCATGTGTCTGTGTCCCCGCATCCCCCGCGTCTCCACGTGTCTGGCAATACGTAGTTCTGGCCACATCGCCATCGCTACCTCATCCTGTGTTGCCGTGCCGGCCACGTTAATAGGCGGTCGTTGTCTGTGCTCGATGTTTGTCGCAGCTGGAGGTGAAGGCGAGCATGGGCTCGCTGAACGTGTTCGCGTCCCCAAGGCAAGGCCACCTGCTGCTCGACCTCTTCTACGTGCTCTGGGGCCCAGGTACCGGCAGTGTCGGGTGGCCACGTCATTTTGCAGCGGTGTTTGTCCATGCGCGCGCGGCTCGCAAACTAGAGGCCGGCCCGGCGGGAGCAGACGCTCCCTATCGGAGCTCTTGCTGCCCTGCTGCGGGAAGAGGAGGCTGAGGGGGGAGGCCGGGTCCTTCCCAGTGCCTACCCCTGGAGGTAGCTGATCGCTACCTCCAGGGGTAGGCACTGGGAAGGGAGCTGGCCTTGCACCTCGCAGCTGTGAGGGACCTGATGGACTGGAGACGGAGGGTGAATGCCACCATACGCTATATAGCCATGTATGTTGAATTTTATGCAGCTCAACACACATTTTTTTTTCCTTGGATGGCTCGGATCGGCCAGCTGATTTGATTGCCGTTATTCTCACGTCAGTGCAACCATGCTGTCGTTGTGTGCTCACCGCTGTAGCAGTGTCTCACCGGAGTACGCGGTTGTCAGTTCGTAGTAGCCTCGGACGGAGAACCCTTGCCGCTCCATCAGACAGAACAGTCATGCCAATGCCAACAGAGACTCGCTGTTCCTCTCCATTCACAGCCATTCGCCAGCATTGGAAATTCCACATTCTTGTACAGGGGACTTGCCTCCTTGTCGGACAAATTACTGCTGATGTCACACTAAGTATTGCCCTATGCATTGACCCCCCAGAAGAATAATGATAACATTGCCAAGCTGAGCCAACCCGTGACTGTGACGTTCTGATTGCTAGGCAGGCTTTCTGCCATTCGGCTCCTTAGTCGGATCACATGTGGTTCATCGGCAACACAGACCTCTTACATATGGGTTCCTCAGTTGGGGTTTGTTTAAACAAGGGAAACACTGAGCCAATTTTGCCGTTACCGATTCCCCATCACCAGGACCATGTGACCTCTGAACCCAGTGGTACTCGGTAGCTTATTGTTATAGGCGAGAACCATCCTCAAACACCGCTGTAGGTTCCCCTACATAAGGATTATGGGTAGCGCATGCATGTTTGTGCATGGGGCACTCGTGTCATGGCTAGCGCTGTGAACGCAAGTTCCAAGTTTATTTTTGTTGAACTAGTTGAGAAGGAAATGGTACCGATTGTCTAATTTTCAAGAGGGACCCTGGGACAATAGTCTGGCAGTAGGAGATTGATGATTCCCTTGTGTAATTCCAGTCGGGAAGTTTGCGAGTAAATTTGTAATTTAGCAAACTTGGACCGTGGTGCCGGCACACAGTGGCCTACTCTTGCGAATGACGTCATCAGTGTCCACTGCGAAGCAGACGGCGCGAGGTATTATATTTTTCTGGTTATTACACCCACATTATTAATTGGGCCCACCGCTGGAGTCGAACCCTGAACCTCAGCCATTGAGGCTGCTCTCTCTGGGAGCCAGGGGCTGTTGCTGCTGCTGCCGGCGCAGAGCACGGGGGTCCGTCGGCACCGCGCCTTGCCAGTCACGTGACCGGGCCGGTTCTCGCGGCTCTGGGCCCCGTGGATAACAGTTGAATTTATTTTGCGCCAACACAGATGGCGGCTGCCTGCGGGAGACGCTTGGCAGGAGCCGCCCCATGCAGTCGGTGGACATGCGCCGCATCGAGTCCCAGCTGCACCGGCAGTTGGCGGAGCGGCAAGGGGAGCACGTGGGGCGGCACGTGGGGCGCGGGGGTGCTCAGGACGACGCAGCCGGCCTCACTCACAGGATGGCGCCGGCGTGTAGGGGTGAGCCTCGACGTTGCGCACGTGCGCACGCTTACACGCGCAACAAAACGCACTCGAGTCATACGTGCGGTCGTCGCGGACGCTTCGGAGATAGTTATGTTGTAAGAGCCACCACCCGGCAAATCCAAATTATTATTTGGTTTCCATTCATCGGGAAGTTGGAGAACAGCTCTCGGCAATCAAATGTAGCAGCAGTTAGATTCGACGTGTCACTTGAAAACTGTGTCAAGCATCTTCAGGATGGAATGCGGGAAGTCAGAGTGACCGCATCACCTGACCAGACTTCTTAACCCTTTCCCATTCAGAGATGTCTGCAAGTTGCAGAGTGGGTGTCCTGTTTACTGCTGAGTCTCAGGCACCCTACCCACAGGATAACTGCTGTGAACTTTCTGCAAAATGCGAATACGAATGTGGTTGGGGATGGTGCCAGCCATACCGCCCCCTCGTGTGTCACACCATTCTTAATAGGTGCTCGCCAACGGTCCTACCCTGAGTGTTTACCATGCCCCTCGGGGGGGTGTCTGTGCGCAGAGGATGAGTTTTTCTCGATGGCGGACATGTCGGGCAGTGTGGGGTCCCTGCCTCCACTCGGGGAGCCCCCCGAGGTCGACCTGGACACGTCCTTCAGCAGCAGCACCAGCGTGAGAGTCGCGGGGACATGCACAGCGACATGTGGAGACACGCGGGGGACACGCGGGGACACGAACACCGACATGTGGATACACACGAGGACACGGGGACATGCACACCGAGAAGCGGGGACCCAGGTACACGTGGGGACATGGGCACATACGCATGGAGACATGCGGGGAGACGGGGACACGCACAGACACACATATTTGGATTACACAGAGCAGCATTCACTGCCCTCCTTCTGGCAGACTCGTGCTTTATTGCAGGCCAGGAGACGAGTCACCTTGTGCCGGACAGGGATAGTTGTCATTAGGGGGTGCACTTACAAATGTTTCGCATAGGATGAACAGCCCTTACATGGGGACAGATCTGGGTGTTGTGATGGAGGTTTAGATATGGCCTCTGTAATGTTGTTTGATTATATGTTGCACTATTGTATTGTACATCTGAATACTTTTTGCATTAAGTCCTCTGCATATGAGGCTGCCAGAGGCAGATGCCAACGGCGGACATTGACAACCGTATTGTACCAATGAGTCCTGATGAGGACAGAACCTGACTCCAGCTGTCTTTCTCTCACTGTTGCCTATTGTTAGGATGGTCACATTTTCCTCACTCTGTCATTGACAAATGACCACATTCAGTTATTTTAAGCTGGTAGCATGGATAAGACTGAGAGTGGTTGCACATACAATGCTCCACATCTGTGGGTACAATAATTCCCTGGGTTGCGGAATACCCGACTTACGTAAAATCCGACCTTTCGGAAATGCTCCCATAAATCATGTAAGAAAACAATTCAATATGCGGACATGTTTGCGTTAGTTACCTCAGCATAAGTAGTGCAGCACGGTGAGGTTGTGGGTGAATTCTGCGGAGCGAGGCGTAAGGCGGGCAGCATATTCCCCAAGGCGGTGGTGTATAGCCGCTCTGCACTGTCAGTCACGCTGTTACATTGTTACCGTGCGTATACCCACCACATCGTCTTGTAACTTTCTAACTAGATTTAAAGCTTTCGTGACTGCAGGAATTCCTATTTGGCTATTTTGGTAAAGTCACATAGAAAGAAAATAAATGAAATACTAATAGAATACGACGTTTCGATTGCAACACAAGCAACCAACATCGGGTAAGAATGAATGAGAAAACAAACATAGTAAACTTAGAAATATAATACAATACAACACAGAGAGCCGGCTAACACAACAGTCAACACCCTACCTGGTTGATTACGTTCTTCCAAAGATTGCTAAATTTGAGAGAGAGACAAAACACAGACACGGCGGCACATAGACTGGCATACAAGCAGAGAGAGACACACACAGAGGCACAGAGAGGGACGCACACATCGACAAACAGAAAGACAACGCGTCTGTGTCGCCTTAAATGGAGAGGGAAGGGGAGGTTGGGGCAGAGAGAGAGGGGGGGGATTGGGGTAGTGAACAATGAGATAATCTTGATTTGAAGCTTTCGTGACTGCAGGAATCCATACTCATTGGTTCTTTCGGTAAAGTCACGTAGGTAAAAATAAAATAAAATAAAACAAATCACGACATTTTGATCGCAACACAAGCAAACTTTATCAGGTGGGACAATCGCAGCAAAAAAATGCTGTAGTCGGCGGGAGAGCTGCCGTGGCAAGAGGTAATATAGGTAAGAGAGGGGAGAGGAGGGAAGGGGGGAGAGAGAGAGAGAGGGGAGGGTGTGGGGTAGGGGGAGGGGCCGCGTGAGCGCTAGGGGAAGAGGACGTGAGGTTGGGGGGGCGGGAAGTGGGCAGCGCTAGAAGCGGGAAGGTGGTGGAAGAACAGAAAGAGGACGTGAGGCTGGGGGGGACATGGACGGGGCTAGAAGTGGGCGGGGCTTGCAGTAAATTGGCAGGTACGATGGAAACAACACCAAGTTAAGGCATTACCTGGTTGATAACATTCTTCCAATGATTGTTCAATTTGTATTTATCTTCTTTGTTGAAGTTTTGTCTGTTCATATATCTGGATGGCTTCATGGACAAACCTTTGATAGTAGCCTGAAGGTTTGCAGAGTACCTTGGTCTCGGAAAAAAAAACATTTTAATGCGAGCCCACAGCATTATAACAATGATCAGCTACGGCAGAGGTATTGGTTCTGCCATGTTTCAGATCTGCCTTGTGTTCGCGAACACGGTCCGAGACATGTCGTTTCATTTCCCTAATGTAACTGCTACCGCAGGTACAACTCAGTTTGTAGACTCCAGGGTATTGCATGTCAGGAATGACCTCCTTCACAGATGGGATTAGATCACGGATTTTGTGTACTGTATTGAATCGGACCTGGATCTTGTGTTTGTTTAAGATTTTGGAAATCTTTTTGGTAACACCTGCTATGTATGGTAAAGTGATGGTTTTGATTGTTTCTCCATGGTTGGAGAAACAGCTTTGCGGATAATGCGGTCCAAGTACCCATTCATCTTGAAGGCTTGGTGTACGTGCTCCAGTTCACTGGCTAGGTGGTGTTGGTCGGAGATGCAGTGGCCCCTATGGTGTAGTGTATTGATGAGGGAATTCTTTTGTGCCGGATGGTGGTGGGAATTCAGGTTTTAGATAGGAATCTGTGTGGGTGGCTTTCCTGTAGACAGAGTGTCCCAACGAACCGTCAGGCCTCTTCTCAAACAGAACATCCAGGAATGGTAGCTTACCATTCTTCTCCACTTCCATTGTGAATTTGATGGATGGGTGTATGGAATTGATGTGGTTGAGAAATTAGTTCAATGCTGGCAGGCCATGTGGCCAAATGACGAAAGTGTCATCTACCTATCTCTTCCACAAGGAAGGACGTAGGGTGGATGTCTGGATGGCATCTGTTTCAAATTTCTCCATGAAAATATTCACTATCACTGGTGATAAGGGGGAACCCATGGGCGTACCTTCATTTTGTTTGTAGAAAGTACCATTCCAGGTGAAGTAAGTGTTGGTAAGGCAATGCTTAACCAAAGTTGGTACATCATGATTCAGTCCATGTTGGACTAAGTCTTCAATTATTGCTAAGGTGTCAGGTACAGGAACTTTGGTGAACAGAGAAACTACATCAAAGCTGACAAGCAAATCATCAGGAGACAGTGAGATGCCCTTGATTAGAGATACCAAGTCAACTGAGTTACGTACTGCTGAGGTAGTCTTACCCGTGAATGGAAGCAAGGTCTCGGACAGAAATCGGGCCAGTTTCTAGGTAGGTGAGTTGATAGTGGAAACGATGGGCCGAAGCAGAGTACCTTTGTAGAGTAGTAGTTAGTGACGTCATGTCACGCTCGCCCTCTGGTACGATGATGTCACGGATGGTGATGTCATGCACAGGGGGCGGGATGGTGACGTCATGTCCCCCTGGGGGATTTAAGCTGGAACTCGTCACGTGTTCAGGGTTGTCTGGAGAGTCCGGGAACGTGAAGGGTGGAAGTTGGGACCCAGGATAGGGGGAAATTGGCACCAGGCTAGGGTTGCCTGTGGGTGTGCTAGGGACCTCCCCCGTACCCTTCCCCCGGGGGAGCGATGGGACCCCGGGGTAGGGGGAAATTGGCACCAGGCTAGGGTAGCCTGCAGTTATGCTAGGGAATCGCCAGTACCTTTCCCCTGGGGTGTGGAGTGTAGGCAGTGAGTGTGCAGTACACGGAGTCGTGTGTGAAGAAAGGTCTTGAATAAAAAAAACTGGCGCAAGCCCCTACATGAAGATCTGCCTCCAAGTCATCATTTACGCCTCAACACCTTTATGGATGTTTGGAAGACACTAGAATCTGGGTGGTCAAGCAGCAGAGGGTTTTAGGGAGAGCCGCTTGAATCGTTCGATTAGAGAAGTCGAATTGTTGATAGTGTTGGTTTTTGTAGCCAGGCAGTTGGTAGGATCCTTGTTCATTTTGGTGTAACTGCCATCATTAAGAAGGTCCTGGATTTTGTTGGTATGTGGTTTTATCCATGATGACAGTAGCATTGCCCTTGTCGGCTGAGAGGATGACTATCTCCTCTCTCTTTTTCAATTTGGCGAGTTCAGAGCGCTCGTCTTTGCTGATGTTACTAATGGGTTTCTTAGCTTTTTTAAGGATGGTGGCAATTTCAGATCTTGCTACATAGCTGGGATGTGTCCCAAGCCTTTGAGGGCTACATCTACCTGGGCAATTATATAATCTAATGGGATGTGTTTGGGGGTGACAGCAAAATTCAGCCTTCTCGCTAGTACCGATTTTAGGCTATCGGAGATTGTGCTGTTACTCTGATTGATAACAGTCTTGTTAACATCCAGCTTTCTGTGTGGCACTGGTTTCTTTTTTGACAAGTTGTTGAATTTAGCAATGAGGTTAACCTTGCATTTGGAGGACATTGTTGCGACAGAAGAAGCAGTCATGTTATCTACAAGGTTCCAATCAGATGTGGACATTTTTCTGTTAATGTTAGGTGTGATTGCAGGAGACATTTGTCTAAATGGTCAAGTTCAAGACGGAGTAGTCTTATCCTCTCTGAGATTAGAGATAGGCTAGCTCTGAATAAGATCCGTTTAGAATTAGGAGAAGTGACAGAAGCAGATGTGAGTGTAAATGTGGTCGGTATTACCTTGTTGTCGTGGCATCGCTTGACTCGATCATGTGAGCCTTGTCCTGTAGTCTGTTAAAAGCTCTAACAGATGTGTGAAAACCCTCCCTGTAGAGGTGGTTCAATCTTGAACAATGACAGAGTTGTGTGGAATTCCTGCCCATAGCGGCCGGAGGAGAGACAATTGACTTATAAACAAACAAGCACAGAACAATAAGAGAGTTGTGTGAAATTCCTGCCCATAGCGGCTGGAGGAGAGACAATGGACTTATAAATAAACAAGCACGGCAACATTTAGTGAGAGAAATAGGACGTTTGAGAAAACAAATTTAGTCAAATTAGGAAGTGTAATGCAATGTAACACAGAGTGGGTTAACACAGAGTTAACGCATAGCCTGGCTGATTACGTTCTTCCAAAGATTGCTAAATTAGAAGTTAAGTGTGAAACAAACGAGCACGGCAAAATTGTAACTTTCTATTGCTAGTTTTCTTCGTTTTAAGTTTATTTCATGAGTGAGTTACTGTATGTACTTTATTTAACACAATTACATTTTTATTGCTTATGGTCTCAGCCAACAGCGATTGGAGAAGTCTAGACCTTGCATAATTCACAATAAACAAACAGTCGAAAGTGACTGCTTTCTGTTAACAATTCAAATGTTTCGTGGTGTTCATAAACAATTGGATACAGTATACAGTTAGGGAAAAAAGTATTTGATCCCCTGCTGATTTTGTACGTTTGCCCACTGACAACGAAATGATCAGTCTATAATTTTAATGGTAGGTTTATTTGAACAGTGAGAGACAGAATAACAATAAAAAAATCCAGAAAAACGCATGTCAAAAATGTTACAAATGGATTAGCATTTTAATGAGGGAAATAAGTATTTGACCCCTCTGCAAAACATGACTTAGTACTTTGTGGCAAAACCCTTGTTGGCAAGGGTCTTTGCAGATCTTCTCCAAGTCATTAAGGTTTCGAGGCTGACTTTTGGCAACTCGAACCTTCAGCTCCCTCCACAGATTTTCTATGGGATTAATGTCTGGAGACTGGCTAGGCCACTCCAGGACCTTAATGTGCTTCTTCTTGAGCCACTCCTTTGGTGCCTTGGCCGTGTGTTTTGGGTCATTGTCATGCTGGAATACCCATCCACGACCCATTTTCAATGCCCTGGCTGAGGGAAGGAGGTTCTCACCCAAGATTTGACGGTACATGGCCCCGTCCATCGTCCCTTTGATGCGGTGAAGTTGTCCTGTCCCCTTAGCAGAAAAACACCCCCAAAGCATAATGTTTCCACCTCCATGTTTGACGGTGGGGATGGTGTTCTTGGGGTCATAGGCAGCATTCCTCCTCCTCCAAACACGGCGAGTTGAATTGATGCCAAAGAGCTCCATTTTGGTCTCATCTGACCACAACACTTTCACCCAGTTGTCCTCTGAATCATTCAGATGTTAATTGGCAAACTTCAGACGGTCATGTATATGTGCTTTCTTGAGCAGGGGGACCTTGCGGGCACTGCAGGATTTCAGTCCTTCACGGCGTAGTGTGTTACCAATTGTTTTCTTGGTGACTATGGTCCCAGCTGCCTTGAGATCATTGACAAGATCCTCCCGTGTAGTTCTGGGCTGATTACTCACCGTTCTCATGATCATTTCAACTCCACGAGGTGAGATCTTGCATGGAGCCCCAGGCCGAGGGAGGTTGACAGTTCTTTTGTGTTTCTTCCATTTGCGAATAATCGCACCAACTGTTGTCACCTTCTCACCAAGCTGCTTGGCAATGGTCTTGTAGCCCATTCCAGCCTTGTGTAGGTCTACAATCTTGTCCCTGACATCCTTGGAGAGCTCTTTGGTCTTGGCCATGGTGGAGAGTTTGGAATCTGATTGATTGCTTCTGTGGACAGGTGTCTTTTATACAGGTAACAAGCTGAGATTAGGAGCACTTCCTTTAAGAGTGTGCTCCTAATTTCAGCTCGTTACCTGTATTAAAGACACCTGGGAGCCAGAAATCTTTCTGATTGAGAGGGGGTCAAATACTTATTTCCCTCATTAAAATGCAAATCAATTTATAACATTTTTTACATGCGTTTTTCTGGATTTTATTGTTGTTAGTCTGTCTCTCACTGTTCAAATAAACCTACCATTAAAATTATTGACTGATCATTTCTTTGTAAGTGGGCAAAACGTACAAAATTAGCAGGGGATCAAGTACTTTTTTCCCTCACTGTATGTTCCATTAGTTTAATAATGGGTAGTGTTAGGGCTGATATTCGATGAAATGAAAGAATCGGGAAGTGCAGAGCGTACGTACAGCGACACGATACAGTACAGGTAGCGATATAAAACTGAGGACAGCGCGATGCAGTACTGAGAGAAAACGAACTCGGAATTGGGTAGTAGGGAGGCACAACTATTTCTATATATGGGATTTTATTATTGATTTTGGGGGAAAATTGTTCTGTTTCCGACATACGGAAAATTCATGTTATGGATCATTCTCGGGAACCTAACCCTACCTTAACCCGAGGACTGCCTGTATTGTTAAGTCTGTAGGTCTATGAGGCTTGATGTCTCTGTGCTCTCTCTGCTCCCTGTGCTATCTGTGCTCCCTGTGTTCCGTCTTCTCTCTCTGTGCTCTCTGCACTCTGTGCTGTCTGTGTGCTTTGTGTGTCCTATCTCTCTGTGTGCTCTCTGTGTACTCTCTCTGTGCTCTCTGTGTGGTCTCTCTTTGCTCTCTCTCTGTGCTCTCTTTGCTCTCTTTCTGTGCTCTCTCCCTATGCTCTCTCTCTCTCTCTGTGCTCTATCTCTGTGCTCTGTGTGCGCAGGGAGGCCGGCAGTGGGGGGTGGCGCAGCAGCCGCTGAGGGTCCGCGACGGAGACACGAGGCACAGCACACGTACGGCACACACACAGCGCATGCACACACAGCACACACACAGCTCATGCACAGCACACACAGCGCACACACAACGCACACACAGCTCACACACGCAGCGTGCACACACACACACAGCTCACACACGTGTATGGCATCACAGGGACACAACACGAACTAGAGAGAACACCACAGAGACACAGCACGAACTAGGCAGGGTGACAATTACCACGTCTCCCACCAATATCAGAGAGCGTCCATGGAGGGACTGCAAATCAAAGCACCAACTATGGAGGCTGCCTCAGCTCCTTGCACGAGCCCCGAGTCCCCTATCAGGGGGCTGTAATACACCATGATAACCACACAAACACTGTGTCTCTGTCTGTCTGTGTCCCTGTGTATCTGTCTCTCTGCTGCATCAGTCTCGTCTACTTTTCTAAGCGTCTTTGTATTTTTTCTGTCTCTCTCTTGCCTGCCTTTCTCTGTGTCTCTCTCCTCCTGGGAGGCGACAATAAAGCATAGTACCCGCTCACACACACTTTCCGCGTCTCTGTGATTCGATCTCCGTGTATTTCTGTATCTGCTTCTGCGTAATACGTCTCTGTCCGTCTCTTTCCCAGCGTACCGCAGTCGCGCGTTGGTACACACACACACGCGCCATCTCTGTGTGTCTCTTCCTGTTGTCACCTCTGCCAGCGCACAGCAGCGTGCCCCTGACAGACGACCAGTCCCTCAAGCCTGAGCTGGTGCTGCACCTGGAGCTGAGCAGCGCCTCGGCCACGGTGCTGCACATTGACCCGCTGCCCAACACCGTGGGCGGGGACCAGGGCGCGGGGGGAGAGGGGTTGGGGGATGGTGCCCTCCAACCCCCCGAGGGCCCTCTCGCCGCCATGTCGCGCCAGTTCTTCCGGGAGATGGAGGAGTTCGGCGGGAAAGACTTTGCGCAGCTGAGAGAAAAGTTTGCAAAGGCGTGCCCGCATGACCACTTCAGGTACTGGCGGCTATGAGACCTTATGACAGGAGATGGCCGATGATGGTGCTCATTAGAAGGAACCATACCACACCTATGCTTTTGTCTCTCCGTTCGCTCCCAGTTCAAACCTGGGCATGTATGTGTGTTGAACTTCTTTAGCACCGTACGCAGCTAACCATGCTAATCGAAGGTGCGGGGGAAGAACAACAAACTAAACACAAAAAGCAGTTCTAAAGAAATGAGTTTTCAATTTAGAGTTAAAGTGCATAGCTCCAGTGGCTTCCTTAATATTGGAAGGAAGAGCGTTCTAGATGGCTGCAGAAGCGCATCTGAAAGTGCGATGCAGTGACTGTCTTTGTTCGATGGCCAGCCAAAAGCCGCTCTGAGGATGACCGATGTTCGTGTGATGATTTTCTTGGGCTTGCTTCACCCTACACCAACGAGTTGATTAAAAAAACGCAATCCTCTGAGCTCTAAAATCTACTGATTTTGCCCTACGCAATCCCCCAGGCTCCAGACTTTCATCCTGGGGTGATAGGACTTTTGTCTGCACAGCACCCAGCCTCTGGAATCCACTGCCCTTCTCTCTAGTTTTACAACTCGTCCCATTCCTTCTTTCTCTGCCCGGTTCCTTCTCACTTTTCTCTTCCACCTTTACATCCATTGAGCTCTGAGATCCATTGCCGATGTGCACCCTATAAATATAAATTGTTATTTTTACTTTTGTAACCTCAGGTGCTACCACTTCTTGCTGTGGCCCATGGGCATTGTTATTGATGACGGTGGTGGCGGTGGTGGTGGTGCTGGGGCATTGTTTATTAGGGATGGACTGATCTCACGATTGATATCAATCCTCTTTCATGTGGCATGTGAAAATTGAACAGACTGTAATTGTCATACTATATTAAAAAACAATGTTTGGCTGACTGGCTGGAGGCCATGGCCCACCTAGCATGTAGAGGGGGGGAGGGAGTGTGCAAGTGGTGGGCACACAGGTGGAGGCATGTGATGGGCGGGTGTGGGTACCTATGGGAATCACGAGTGGGCGGTGCGGAGGGGGTGGGGGTCTTGGGGGTGCCCTCATGTGGAGGGATGTACAAGGAGGGGCCCGCAGGTGGGATGGGGTGACTGGGGGGTATGCCGGTTTGGGAGTGTGAGATCCTGGGGGTTGTCACGTGAGAAGGGGGCACCCAAGGGTGGAGAGATGAGGACATTAGGGTTGGGGGAGGACCGTCGGAGGGAGGGAGGGGAGAGCTGCTCGTACTCGTATTATTTTGTAAACCATTCTAGGGTAGCTAAGTGGAGTCCAATTGTTCCACCAGAATACTGTGTTGTATTGGGCAGTCATCGGTGATATAACTCATGGTTTGCTGTTTCATGGGTTCCTTGATCTTCCATTTATGGATGAAACGTCCCCACCTTCCAAGCGTTATTGGGACACAGCTGAGAGTGGTCCCCCACTGTCGTTGGAACAAAGAGAAACCGGGCTGTTCCTGCGTCGGGTATTCGGTTAACCTTCTTTTTTGGGACGCCTGTCCCCACGCCTCGCATCACTGAGTGACGGGGTCATTTTCGGCCTACAGAGGAGTTGAGGCACGTGTCCAAAATGGATGACTTGATTTTAGATGGTAGGATGGTGTGATTTTATGTCATTGTGCAGAGGGAGATTTGGATTTTCCAAGATCTTGTAATACCTTGTACCGCACCTCCGATTGACATGTTTGGATATGTACGGTGCGAAACAAGTTCAACATACATACAAAAATACTCGCTAAGTGTTGTGGCATCGCGTCTGATGTTCGATAGCGGGATGTTCGCGAGTCACTGCAGCGTATATTTGAGAGAGCTGCTCACCACACGCGGCAGCGCAGCCAGCATTGATTTGCATCAACGAGCCCGACGTGAGAGCTGTTGTTCCAGACCTGAGCCTGCGTTTGTGTCCAAAAGGTCCCAGCGCAGCATGCCCTGGGAATTCCCTGCCAGCTTTTGGATGACGTTGACCCTGAATTTCACGTTATTGCCAGTGGCTTCGGTGTTGGTGATAGCAGAGCGTGGAGGGGGGCGTACAGCCCCTAAACGTTGCTGTGCGATCACAAGACGGTCACAACCAACACAGGTCTCGTCCTACTCAGAACTGGAATTTAGCCAAACACGCACGTGGGTACGCATGCACGTGAACACCGCACGTCGTTCCAACCCCGTGCCCTGCCCCTCCCCGCTCCCAGGCTGGTGGGCACTTCGGTGCGCACGACGGTGAAGCAGCACGTGGGCGTGGCGGGGCGGCAGCAGGAGGCCAAGGTGTCGGTGGGCTCACTCGAGGTGCTGGAGTGTCTGTTTGAGACGCAGGACCCGGCCAGCCTACTGGTGAACATCAACGAGCCGCAGTACACCGAGGTGCGCACACGAGCACGCACGCACGCACGCGAACATGTGAGCACATGCCTGCACTCATGTCTTTGTGTGTGTCTGCGAGCCTGGAGTACTGCACTGGGCTTGGCAGAAGCGCCGTGGTGACGTCACTGTCACTTATTGGCGAATGGTGGCTGTTTTTGTTGGTGTTGGATGCATGTGCGAAAATATGTGAGTGTGTGAGTGACTGGTGGTATTGGTGAATGTGAAATATGTGAGTGTGTGTGACTGGGTGCATGGGTAAGAGTAAGTATTTGTGAGTGAGTTACTGGGGGTATGGGTAAGCGTGAGTGAGTGTGTCTGGAGTATGTGTGACTGGAAGAATGGGTAAGAGTGAGTGACTGGGGCTATGGGTGAGTGTGAGTATTTGGAGTGTGTGTGTGACTGGGAGCAGGGGTGAGAGTGATTTTATGTATCTTCTGCCCATGTGTGTGCGTGTGCACAGGTGCTGGCGTTTGAGTATGGGGATGAGGGACTAGAGCAAGGGGGGTCTGAACCATCCCCTTGCCTGCGCGTATTGTACAATAGCCTGCAGCAGACGTCCGTGCAGGTACACATAGCACACCTCCAGAGAGGTACACACATACCACTCCTCCACATACTCAACAATAATAAACCGCCATATGCCACGAAATTACGGTGATATCACCACGACATATGTGCAAGGATAGGTGCACTTTGAGGATACATGATTTGTAGAAGGCTCTCTGGCAGGAGGTCACGGGTCAGACCCAGGTGCCATGGGTTGACTGGCTGGCAGATGCATCACCTGTACTCCCTACTGTGCCAACTTGCTGCTGCCCGACCCACTCGGGCATTAGTCATTCAAAAGGATGTCTCTCTTTCAATGGGCCACTTTTGTCAGTACTTGGGACAGGAGGTAATATAAGTCATCTGACTCATCAGCCTTACCTACATCCCTCCACTGATATTCATCTCCAGTGGGGGCTAAAGTCACCACCACCATTCCTCGCCTCCCGATGATGCGGAGGTTCAGTCTTATGGCTCTGCCAAATGGGGTTGGCATTGAGACGTCATCAACGCCTTTCCCCCCCCCCCCCCCCTCCTCCGGGGCCTCCGGCACAAGCGAAGTTTGATCTGTTGCATGTGGTTTTGTAGTAATTAGATGAAAGGTGTAGGAGTCACCAGCCCCTCGTTCCCGTCCAGAGGCCCCATAGGCCACTTTAACAGCTGTCCACGCCTTGAGGGTAACAGTTGATTAGTATCAGCCTTCACCCAGTGGCATTGCTCACAGCCACCACAGCGGGTGGTAGATGGCTTTTACAACACAAATATGGCTAAATCATTATATTGCCTTAACTCAAATCTATTTTGAAATCGCTTGTGCGTGTGCGCATATGTGCAGGGTGTGGAGAGCAGTAGCATAGCGGTTAGCACGCTGCGCTACGAGCATGATGATCCGAATTTGAGTCCCGCTCACGGCCAACACCAGTGACGATTATCTGACTTGGTTCTGGGCATCCCCTGCGTCGAATAAGCCTCAAATGCGTACCTGGTGCGGTGTGTAAACATCGCAACTGGGGAGACAAAGGGGGCCGAGCGTGGCTACACACCCCCTTGTGTGCCTTGCCGGTCTTCATGGGTGCTCACTAACAGCATTTGCCCCAACAGTCTGTTTAAGACTATACGGGGGATCTTTGTCCTTGTGTGTGTGTGTGTAGGGTGGGCGGGCCAGAGGCTCCACCCCAGCTCCCAAGGCGACCCTCACGGTCGACCTGGGCCGTGCGAAGTGTGAATTCGACATCAGTGTCGTCGACCGATTGAGCTCCGTGCTGCACCCGCAGCCCACACAGAGCGGGGAGACAATGAGCTCTCACATGTACATGTCCTACAACCCATTGACCAGCATGGTGAGAGCCCCCACACACACACGCGTTCTACAACTCATGTCCCACACACACATCCTACAACCCATTCACCAGCATAGTGAGGCCCCGTAGACAGCTGCACTGAGCACACCACCGTCATCTGTCCAATGCGTTCAGAGCAGGGGGGCTCCTAATAGTGGGTCCGTGGCCCTCATTATGGGCTCCGAACTTCATGAGGAGTGCCGCTCCAACTCTGAACGCTGCCTGCCTGTCCTGTCCGGTTCCCGTCTCGCCTCCCGCGCAGACGCGCGCCTTCACGCAGGTGCTGATGGACGACGAGGCCTCCGCGGCCGCCGAGCGGCGCACGACGCTGGTGGCTCGTGCCCCGTCTCTCCGTCTCGCCGTGCGCTTCCCCATCCCGGACCTACGGCCGCTGCAGGAGCGGGGGCCGTGGTTCCGCAAGTCGCTGCGGCCCGAGGTGCTGCGCATCGACCTCACCGAGCTGGACCTGCAAGCAGAGCTGGGCGGCGGCGCGGCCGTGGGGGTCGGCTCTGCCGACCGGCGGCACTATCACCTGCAGTTCCGCGAGCTGCACGGTGACGCTCGCACGAACGCGTGCGGTTCGCTCGGGTGTGGTCCCGGCCACCCACCCCCTCGTACGCCGTTCCAGGCTTCATAGGTGTTCACTAACCGTACTTGCCCCAACGGTCTGTGAAGGCTATAGGGGGATCTTTGTCTTTTGTGGGGCGTGGTGGTGGTGGCGCAGCGGTAAGTGTGCTGCGCTACAACCTGGCGACCCTGGATGGATTCCCACGATAATCGTAACACCAGGATGTGGTGCTGGCCACCCTCCGCTTCGTGTGCCGTGTTGGCCTTTGTAGGTGCTTGCTTCTTACAGCACTTACCCCACCAGTCTGTTGAGGCTATACGGGGGATCTTTGTCATTGTGCGTGTATATGGGTGTAGGTATATTTGTTTAAGTGGAGAGCAGCACTGTAGTGTGTTTAACACGTAGGCTTTTGCGACCAATATCCGTAATAGAGGTTTTTAGGGTTCGATTGCATAAATATATAAATGTATTGTTATAACTCGCCACCACCCGACACAGCCAACTAGGAAGTAATTGATGAAGCTAGTTGTAATTACTGGCGAAACGTCGTACTCGGTTTGTAAATGTTGTGGCTTGGCTCTCCAACACACCGGTGTGCTGTACTAGTGACGAATTGGCACGTTCTGTTTACGTGACAAACCTTACTAGTTGGCTGTGTCGGGTGGTGGCGGGTTTTAACGACACATTTATATATTTACACGATCTAACCCAAAAACCTCTATTTTGGAAGTAGTGTAGTGGTTAGCACACTGTGCAACAAACCGGGCAACCCCAGTTTGATTCCTGTTTGCGGCTAATGGATTAGCTAGGATTGGAATCTTTCCTCTCCTACCAATACCGAGGGGAAATCTGTCAAACGAGCTCCCTAGCTCATCGGATTACTCCAGTCGAAATGAAGATTCTGATAAATAGATTTTCTGATTCTGAAATGAGTGACGTTCAGTCCTGTGAGTTGCAGATGCTATGGCTGCGTTGGTTTCCACTCCTGATCTTGCCAGAATCCTGTTCTCCCCAGATTGAGTGAGGAGCTCGCAGATCCTTGAAAAATCTGGACACAGTCCAAATGAGCTTCTCCAGCAGGTGTGCATGCGTTAGCTGGGTCATGTTTCTTTTTTGCAGCCACTGCATGCCCGACCAGCTACTGTTCAGCTGGGTAGAATGGACTAAACGTGCACTGCATCGGCTAGGGAGAAGACGGGCTGCTGTGGTTTAGGAGAATATGGAGCTGATTGGTTAGCCAACGACTGGTATCAGCGGTGTAAAGATGGGTATCTGTGGTGGAGGCTCGTGATAGGCGCTACTGGGCGGTTGGATGCAGTTTCCGTTGACTGGCAATTTCAGGGTCTTCATTTGCCTCTGCAGGAGGCTGGTGAAAGATGCTACTGAGCTATCAGCTGCAGCCACCCTCCAGCAACACCTTTGAGGAGCAGTGCTCACAACAATGAGCAGAGTATCATGTGACTACAACTTTAAATTCGCTCTGTGGAAGACAAAAAAATGCTTTCACATGGTGCCATAAAGACAATAACATTGATGCATGGAATCAATCTTGCACCGTTCAACTGCAAGGGTTTACTGATGGCGTTCATGCGGTTTGTCCGTTGTGTGCAGGCTTGTTTGAGGAGGGTGGAATGCGCCCGCCGGTCCCGTTCCTACGCGTGTCCCCTCCAGAGGCCGACCTCAACTCAAGCTCAGAGCACGCGCGCTTTGACTGGCCACGGTACAGCTCGGGTTCATGGGGTCACGGGTCATGGGGTTTTGGGGTCGGGAGTGCAAAAAGAGGAAAAATTACACCATGAGATTTACACAGCAGTAAATGGATGTATTGGCGGTACACCGGTGCAGCCTAACAACACATTGGTTATCATAAAACAGTGACGATGCCGCTGTTGCCCTTGAGTGAGCTGCAGGACTCTCCATCATATGTTGTCTCAGATTCAGCAGCTGCTTTCCCATTTTAACATATGATGACACCACGAGTCGTAATCTTTTTATGCCACCGTCCACAAAGAAATGAATGCGGAAATGAACGAGGAACCGTCTGACCAAGTTCAGGGCACGAGGAGTCAAATCTGCCTTGGAACACGGAGCAGCCAATCATCATCAGGCTTGGTGCTGCTATACGGCAACAGACTCTGTGAAGCTTCGTGTTCAGCCGCTCACATAACGTTCGTCTTCCGACTGCTTCGACATCACGAGAATTGATTTTAATTCGCACCACCACCACCACCCCACAATATTTTCTGACCGGGGTTGCGAATTGCGGGAAAATAAATCATTATTGCGCAAAAATTTGCTGCTTTTTTTCATACCACGCACCACCGGTGTGCCGCCAATACGTTCAAATGTCATTCTTGTCTAATTTTCTTTCTGTCCTTCCAGCAAACACTTCAGGCTGATATGGCTCAAACATATTAGTTGAACAATTTGATCCATGGTTGGTAATGGAGATATTGGCACATCTTTGCAAACAAATTGGATAAAAAAAAATATCATTAGTTGACACGTGAATCTGTCCCCAATGTCCTCTCCCTGTTCAAATGAACAATGGGGCAGCACTTATCTCTGTTATAGAGGCGTTGACCTAGTGGTGGAAAGTCTGCCTTGTATGTATGATGAACTTCTTTCCCACGGTACATCGCTAACCATGCTAATGATTTGAAAGTGCATAGCTCCAGTGACTTCCTAATATTGGAAGGAAGAGTGTTCCTGATAGCCGCAGAAGTGCATCTGAAAGCGTGCGATGTAGTAACCATCCTTCTCATGAGTTGACTCGGTAGATTTTTAAGGGAGTATTGTTCCAGTTGCAGGATAGGGGCAACTGCACTGCCATATAATCCATGACAATCTTGATTTGATGCTTTCGTGACTGCAGGAATCCATACTCTTTGGTTCATTCGGTAAAGTCACGTAGGTATAAAATGAAATAAATCACAACGTTATGATCGCAACACAAGCGGTCGTCCTCAGGTGGAATTTTTTTTGTATCCAGCAGTGGAACTGCTGAACCAGCAAGAGAGCTGTTACAACAAGGTTCAGCAGTTGTGTTAATGGGGGCATGATACTCTTATGCGGCGACAGAAGCTCATTCATGTTAATCTCCCTCCCTAATCCCGCTCTCCCTAATCTCCCCCATTAACACAACTGACGTGCTTGCGTCCGTGGATGGAATTCCTTTCCAGCTCAGACCCCGCTTGCTTGCCCATCGCCACATATATACAGTGAGGGAAAAAAGTATATGATCCCCTGCTGATTTTGTACGTTTGCCCACTGATAAAGAAATGATCAACCTACCATTAAATTATAGACTGATCATTTCTTTGTCAGTGGGCAAACGTACAAAATCAGCAGGGGATCATATACTTTTTTTCCCTTACTGTAACCTCCTTGTTGTAACAGCTCTCTCGCTGGTTCAGCAGTTCCACTGCTGGATTATATTTTTTCCGCCTGAGGACGACCGCTTGTGTTGCGATCGAAACGTCGTGATTTATTTTATTTATACCTACTTGACTTTCCCGAAAGAACTAAATACATGACAAGTACAACAGCAAATGTTTGCGTGTACAAAGAAGACGTGAATGTAACGATGAGAACCACTTTGTGGGCTGCCTTCCCGCACCTCAGGGGGTGTCACCCGCGATAAGCCACTTTCATCTCATCTCCAACATGTTTTAAAGTGTACCCCCAGTGGCAGCTGTTCCTGTACAGCACCAAGTGACTGGGATACAAGTCCAACAATAGGGGGAGATAATTTTTTTTTGTGCACAGGTAAAACCCATTGGACAATAAATCCTCTTTTTCGATGGGGACCTGGTTACGGAAACCTGGTTAGAATTATAAAACAAAAACAACGGTACACGGTCAGGTTGTGAATGACAAGGTCGTGCATCAACTCGGTACAAACAGAACGAAGAATACAAGGCTGGTAGAATGCCTCACATGCACAAAATATTTGGTGCCAAACAGATTTCGGTGGGGTGATTTACAGGTCATATTTTTTCTTGGTAAATTTTGACCATGACACCGGCACACGATCATCTACTCATTTCAAATGAAGTCATGGGACCGTTGACGTCCACCATTAAGCAGAGTGAGTAGTGTATTTATGTTTAATACACACTGCATTAATAGCCTGGGCAGGCTGCCGGATTCAAACCGCGCTACAGCCGGGCCACAATTAGATGAAACTCGAGATGGGTGAGGCTGACCAGGGGGAGCAGTAGTGTAATGGTTAGCGCGCTCTACAACAAACCCAGAGACCTGAGTCCGATTCCTGCTCACGGTCAACAACAGTGACTATTATCTGAATTGGTCATAGGCCTCCCCTAGGTGAACTTAGACTCAAATTAGTACCTGGTGTGATGTATAAACATTGCCACGAGGGAGACAAAGGCGGCCGAACGTGGTGATGGCCACCCACCCCCTCGCGTGTCGTTTCGGCCTTCGTAGGGTGCTACTTGCTAACAGCACTTGCCGCAACAGTCTGTCAAGGCTATGCGGGGGATCTTTGTACGTGTGTGAGTGTGTATGCAGGGATGCTACTGCGCAGTTTACAGGCAGCCGCCTTCCTCCACCACCAGCGGATGAGGGCGGAGGAGCGGCACTTACAACGAGCAGAGCATCAGGCAGCTCGTGTCATAGATTAGGGTTAGGAATTAGGGGTGTGTGTTTATCATACGCCACAGTGCCGGCCTTCATCAGTGCTACTCACTACTAGCAGCACTTGCCTCCAACAGTCTGTGAAGTCTACTTGTGGGGATATTTTTCTTTGGTGTGTGTCTCCCCCCCGCGCAGGGTGGTGCTGAGCGTGAACTCGCAGGCGGAGCGCTCCGTGCTGGAGCCGACTCTGGATATGGCCGACGAGCCCCCGCAGGGTTCCCTGGATGATGCCTGCACCCTCAACGGCTCCGCTGAGCCGTCACCGTTCTCCTCGCGCCGCGTCATGTTCGATAACGAGGAGGTGCGCCCTGCGGTGTGCCGTCGCCAGCGCCTGCGAGACGCGCAGGGAGTGGCTGCCTCCGGTGCTGGCCAAAGACAAAGATCCCCCGTATAGCCTTAACAGACTGTAGGGGCAAATGCTGTTAACGGTACACGAGGGGGTGGGTGGCCAGCACCACGCCCGACCGCCTTTGTCTCCCCAGTGGCGATGTTTACACACTGCACCAGGTAATCATATCAGGCTGAGTCGACTTACGGGAGGCCTAGGACCAGTTCAGATAATCGTCACTGGTGTTGGCCGTGAGTGGGACTCGAACCCGGGTCGCAGAGTTCAGAGCGCTGCGCACTAACCGCTACACTACCGCTCCCCACACACACACACACACGAAGACAAAGATCCTCCATGTAGCCTTAACAGGCTATTGGGGCAAGTGCTGTTCGCGAGCACCTATGAAGGCCGGCACAGCACACGAGGGGGTGGGTGGCCAACAGTTTATGTTGGTGGTGCCATCTAATCAAAAAACCTTTATTATGAATTATTTGGACCCTTGTCTCAGTATGATTCCAAGTATGTATTTTTAGCTTCTTTCGCACCATACGTAGCTAACCATGCTTTTTGGAGGTGCGGAGGGGACAACAAACTAAACACAAAAAAAGTAAAAAAAAATGAGTTTTCAATCTAGATGATGATTTAAAAGTGCGCAGCTCCCAGTGGCTCCCTAATACCGGAAGGAAGAGCGTTCCAGACGACCGCAGAAGCGCATCCTAAAGCGCGCGATGCCGTGACCGTCTTTGTTCGATGGCCAGACAATATGTATTGCATGGCTCGAAGAGGAACATACTTGATCGGTGCATTCTGCCTGCTATGCCGTACGGTTCAGAAACGAGTGGTCATTATTAAAATAAATGGACAAAATATTGCAAAGTGCTCCAACAGTTAGGGAGCTATCCGTGCTTGAAATTGCGTTGAAAGACAGAAAAAAAATTTGAATTGGAGACATACATACGGGCTAAAATACACCATTAAATCTGTTGAGAAGTCTGTAAGTAGGCTTGAGCAGAACGCATCCGTGAGGACATCAGTCGAAGAGATGGAATGATGAAATCGTCTCTTGTGCACGTGCTTAGTGAATTATGACGTCGCAGGATCGTGAGAGATGGAGATGGCGGGAGCGAAGCCTTCATCTAGCAGTAGATTGATCACAGCTGATGTATTGTATGTGCGAGTTTACATGTCTTGGATCCGTGCTGATCGGTGTTCTCATGAGCCAAGAATGCTTGCTGCTGCTGCCATGTCTATCCCACAATGCACTCTTGAGATGCAGCAGTGATGTGACCTCAGCATTGCCCCCAGTAAAGGGGAGTTACGGTAGCGAGATGTTCAGTTTAACACGTAGGCTTTCGCGACCAATATTATTCATAATAAAGGTTTTTGGGTTGGATCGCATTATTTATAAATGTGTCGTAACCCTCCACCACCCGACACGGCCAATCAGCAAAAAAAGTGTCACGTTGACAAAAGACAAATAATTCACTACTTTAGCCCACCGGTGTGTTGAAGAGTGAATCCACAACATTTACAGTTTGAGTATGACGTTTCGCTGGTAAATACATCCAGCATCATCGGGCAGTTTGCCAGAATGGTAAAGCCCTCGCTTGCTCCCGGTTTTAAATAGAGCAGCAGGGTGACGTCATCATTTAACTCATATCAGGTGCAGTGATTTGAGACGGAGGGGGGGGTATTGTAATTATATAATCGATTAGTAATCAGTCAATGGTTATAATTAGTAATTAATTGTAGATTAGTAATTAGTTGTAATGTGTGTTAGTGATTATATGCTATGTTAGTAATCCGTTTATTAGTATGTGTTTCCCCTATAAGGAATTGTAATGTGCATTCATATTATTAGCTCCCTCGGCAAAGCCACGCTGAAGGGAAACAACAAAACAACAAATATATATTTTATTATTTTATTGCTTCCCTCCAACGCGACTCCACCGAAAGAGCCAAGAACATGAATTACTGCAGTCACGAAAGCTTTAAATCAAAATGTAATGTGTATTATTTAATAATACGCTTCCAGGCCGCACTAAGCCTGTAGCTGTCAGAGCGATTAAAGTTATTTTTATTCCTCTCAATTTCAATGGATTCTATAATTAGTCTTATTATGAGCGAGATATTAACTACCTCGTCTGGTTTACAGGAGATTGTGGGTTCGACCCTGACGCCTGCTGTGTATTTGGAGTTTGCATGTTCTCCTCATGGTCATGTGGATTTTTTTCCAGGTCCTCCCAAGTTTTTCCCTCCACATTTATAAACATGCATTTAGAGTATTTGGCTGCCTTACGTTTCCACGTGATAAGCCACTTTGTTGAGCAATCATTTGTGGCCAGGTCGCTTCGGAAAAAGACCTATATAGCTCGGTGGGCCTTACCTGGTAAAATAAAAAATAGTTTAGTTTAGTAAAGCCTTGGCCTGCGTGTCCTGCATGCGTAGATGGTGATGCCGGGGGATGCTGCGGAAATGCTGGAGTTCCAGGAGAAGGCGATGGGTGACTCTCACTTCGTGCTGGAGCTCACGCTGCCCAACCTCAACGTGATGCTGCCCAGCAAAGCATTCTACGAGCGCCTCTACAACCGGTAGAGACGACACAGCGCGTGGCTCAGCGGAGGATGCAATGCAACAAGACAGACACTCCCCCTATCGTAGATGTGCCCGTGTGCCCGCGTGTCAGTGTGTCCACATATCCATATGCACGTGTGTCCACGTGTCGGTGTGCACGTGTGTCCACGTATCGGTGTGCACGTGTGTCCACGTATCGGTGTGCCCATGTGCCCACGTGTCGTGTGTCGGGGTGCCCGTGTGTCTATGTGTGGGGAGCGATAGTGTAGCGGTTAGCGCGCTGCTGTGCTATGAACCTGGCGACGCGGGTTCGATTCCCGCTCACGGCCAACACCAGTGACGATTATCTGAACCGGTCCCGGGCCTCCCCTAGGTCAACTCAGCCTCAAATGAGTACCTGGTGCGGTGTGTAAACATTGCCACTAGGGAGACAAAGGCGGTCGGGCGTGGTGCTGGCCACCCACCACCTCGTGTACCGTTCCGGCCTTCATGCGTGCTCGCTAACAGCACTTCCCCCTACAGTCTGTTAAGGCTATATGGGGGATCTTTGTTTTGTCTTTGTGTGTCTATGTGTCCCTGTGCCATGTGGCCACATGTCCGTGTTCCTCTTTCTCCATGTGCACATGCACACATGTGCCCGGGTGTCGGTCATGGGCACAGGGCAGCAGGAAAGGTTTCGTTGGCTGGATCATGTAGCCTGCATGTCCAGCCACCCACCGCATGCTCTAATAGCTTTTGTTTGGTCAGATAGAGGAGGCTAAACGGGTGTGGCACGGGCTAGAGAAAAGATGGACTGATATGGAGGATATGGAGGATGTGGAGCTGAGTGGACTTGCCAATGACCGGTACCAATGGTGTCAAGATCAGCCTCTGGAGGAGGTTTGTGAAGGACGCTACTGGGCAGTTGGAGGCAGTCGCCCTCCAACAACAACTGAGGGGGCAGAGGAGCCACCCTCACAACAATGAGAGGAGCGCCAGGCGGTTCAAACACAGCATGTTGGTACAGTAAGGGGCACAGGTGGTGTATCTACTTTTCATCTCAGTCAACCCATAGCATCTTGGGTTTGTCCCGTGACCTCCGGCAAGCGAGCCTTCAACACTTCACGTGGCCTCAGTGCACGTAGCCCAGCACAAGCGCCGCGGTGATGTCACCGCCACTTAATGGCGAATGACAGCGGTTGTCGACGTCGTTTTTGTTGTTGTCTATCGCCAGCATCAACAACAACCTGCTGCTGTGGGAGCCGGCGGCGCCGCTGCCGTTGGAGACGGTGGAGAGCGCGGTGCTGGGCCCCGGCGGGGGTGGCCCGCCGGGCCTGTCAGTGGCGAGCCAGCTCATCAGCTCCTCCTTCAATCACGACGCGTTCCTGCTCTGCAAGTCGGGCATGCACGACGGTACCCGCCCCGTCCACGGCCCCAGCGCTGGGGTCACGTTAACACTGTGGCACTGCCCCCTAGCCCAGATCTAAACACTCGGGCGGCAGTAGCCCAACTTACGTCTCTCCCCCTTTTACGTCGTCTCGCAAATACGCGGTCATTTATTTGCTTATTTAAATGGTGTTATTGGCGACACAGTGCCAATAACTATACGCTGATCGCCATTGGACGGGAAACAGAAACTCCGCGAAAGGCAACTTTGAATTCGGTGCGGCGGGACCGTGCATAGGTAATTGGACTCGCTGCCCCAGCCAAGTGGGGGACCACGCGCAGGGACATGAGGATTATTTACATGGGGAGGGAGAAGGGGAACGGGGAAAGGTAACTAACATATTGAAAAAAATCCAAGGGTGCGCCGTCATCACTTTATTTTAACACCACTGCCTGATTTGCATCGTCCTCAACCCCACACTTCCATCGCTGACAGCATCATCATCCGTCCTTTCTCCTATCCGTCGCATCTCAGCCTTCGCCTCCAACCTACCCTATTACATGAACTAATTAGCATCGCGTATGTACTGTAGAGCTGACCTGGCAGAGTCCCCTCACGTGCCTTGCCCGCGTTCCTCACACAGGTGACTCGGAGTCGGGCTCCGAGGACGACGATGACCTGGGGGGGTTTATGGGGGGGGGCGATGCCACGTGGCGTCACCCGCGACGGAGGAGAGCGGGCGGCATGGGTGGCCTGGGCCTCGTGGATGCCGGCGGAGCAGTGGGACCAGGAGGAGGTGGAGGAGGCGGCGGCGGTGGTCGTCGCAAGCAGAGTTTATTCTCCATGCTCGTCAACATCGGCCGCGGGCGTGTCACGGCACACACCGCCACCAAGGCGAGCGTGCGTGTGTGTACGTAGATAGGTTCGTGTGTGTCTGCGTGCGAGGGTGTGCGCGTGTTTTTGTGTTCGAATGTGTGCCTGTTTGAGTCTGGATAAGCATGTGAGCCTTTGTGTGTGTGCTTATTTTTTGTGTCTTGTGTGCACCTGTTTGGCTGGCAAAAACAACCTCCCAACCTGCTCGGTGGTTGCCAGTTCACAACGCTGGTGTGCTGTGAGCAATCCCTTAGGGGGGAAACCTGATTCTAATTGGCTGTTACCCTTATGACATGCTTGCAGCAGTCACAGCGGCCAATGATAGCTCTGAACGGGTGTGAGAGGGGCAGGTAACTCTACCTTCAACTAAATCGCGATAAAAACACGAAGAGCTCAAACTCGGCTTGTTCTGCAGGTAACATTAGGAAACCACTGCACCTGACTATGTGGAATGTTTGAACAGGGGAGAGGCTGCCAATCCTTTGTCAGGAGCTGGACCAGTACCACCTAGACCTTTGGAATACAGGAGGTCCAGTGGGCTGGTTCTTACTCCAATCACCATGAAGGGTGGACTCTACTCCACTTGGGGTGGAAAACTGCTAAACAACAGGGAGTTGCTCTTCTTCTGAACAAAGTAATGAAGGGGGCGTGGGAGCGTGGCGGCGAGGTGTGGGAAGCTGTGAGTGCCAGGCTGCTGTGGGTTTGCCTCCCAATCAACGGGATGCGAGCACCATATTGGTCACGATAACCATCAGTGGAGGGATGCAGACAAGGCTAATGAGTCAGATGCCTTCTATGTGTGTGTGTATATAGCAGTAGTGTAACTGTTATCGCGCTATGCTACGAACCCAGTGACCAGAGTTCAAATCCCGCTCACGACCAACACCAGTGATGGTTATCTGAACTAGTCCTGGGCCTCCCCCTGGTCGACTCAGCCTCAAATGAGTACCTAGTGCGGCGTGAAACATCGCCACTCGGGAGATACAGGCGGCCGGGCGTGGCGCTGGCCACCCACCCCCTGGTGTGCCTTGCCGGTCTTCATAGGTGCTTACTTACAGCACTTGCCCCAACAGTCTGTTACAGGCTATATGGGGGATCTTTGTTTTTTTTTATTTGTGTTTGTGTTTATAGTGTGTATATATTGTGTTTGTATATATAGTATATATAATGTGTGTATTTAGTGTGTGTGCATATAGTATATATAGTGTTGACTTAAAGCTTTCGTGACTGCAGGAATTCATATTCTTTGGGTCTTTCGGTAAAGCCACGTAGATAGAAAAATAATAAAATTAATAATAAAAATAATAACAATATCACGACGTTTCGATCGCAACACAAGCAATCGTCATCAGGTGAAAAATATAGCGGGAGAGCTGCTGAGGCATTCTTTCCTGCCTCAGCAGCTCTCCCACTATATTTTTCACCTGATGACGATTGCTTGTGTTGCGATCGAAACGTCGTGATATTGTTATTATTTTTATAAATAATTTTATAATTTTTCTATCTACGTGGCTTTACCGAAAGACCCAAAGAATATATATAGTGTTTGTGTGTATATATAGTATATATAGTGTGCGTATATAATGTGGTTGTATATTGTTTGTGTGCTGCGTCCTCCCCCAGGACGAGGAGGGCCGTGTGGCGTGTGGCCGGCACGGCGAGGTGAGCGTGGACGTGGAGGGCACCAGCGTGTTCAGCGTGGTGCAGCACGCCGGCCGGCCCGACTTGCGCTACGTGTGCATGCAGGCCAACCGCGTGGGCCTGCATCACCGTGGTACTTCCGCCCCCTCTCCTCGCCTCGCCCACCCGCCCCCTCGCTCACCCCCGGGGCTCGTGCCGGTCGTCGGAAGGAGCGCTAGACTCACGGTCGTAAGGTCACGAGGTCGGGGGGCGACTTTGTCCCGCAGACCTCTGCGGTTGTTAAAATGATGACCGTAAAATGAATCTTGACAGCTGTGAAGTGAGTGCGTGGGTTGACACGTGAACACGTGTGAATGATTCTTGTCCTACTCTCAATACCAGATGCTGAGAGAGACTGGTGCATGCTTTTATTTCATCGAGACTTGATTATTGCAATGCCCTGTTTAGTCGTGCTACTGGGAATGTTTTAAATCGGTTGCAGCTTGTCCAAAACTCTGCTGTCCGGGGTTTTGCATAGGGTGAGGAAATGTGGGCACATCACACCTACTCCTCGTTCCATGCCTTGGCTTCCAGTCAAATACAAAATTTTATTTAAAGTTGTCCTGGCCTCCAAGGTCTTGAAAGAGTTAGGCTCCATTATATCTCGGTGATCTGCTGAAACCGTATACTCCTGTCCGGCAACTTTGATCCATCAAATCTGGGCACCTGAGTGTACCAAGGACAAATCTGCGTCCAATGGGTGATGCTCGAGCGTTCTGTAGTCGGTCACCTCGTTTGTGGAATGTCTGGCCCCAGTTCCTTAGGGATGCTCCGTCAGTCGAGGTTTTTAGGGCTCGTCTGAAAACACTTTTAGTTTCTCTTGCGTACCCGTCTGTGTTGGGTGGTTTTCCTCGTCGTTTTAATGTTGATCGTTTTACTGGGATTGTGTAGTAAAGCGCTGTGAGTTATTGTGTGAATGATACTATACTGAACTGAGTTTTACCTACTATTCGAGCTTGGGGCACCTCTACAGCAAAGGGGCATTTGGAACCCACAATTACAATTCCCTGACTTGTAGCCAAAATCCAGAATTGGAGATAAATATATTTTATTTAAATAAGTATATGCTTCTAAATTGTACGGATAAAATATTACAGATAATTAAATATGACAGCGCCCTTTTTGGATTTGGCCACATAGTGATCTAGCCACGTGTTTTGTTGTAAGATCCTCCGCCATCCAGCATAGCCAAACACATTAAATTGTCACGTCTATAAGCATGTAGCGAGCACATTATCATTGTTTCAGCTCACTGGTAAGTTGAGGAATAATTCTCACAACCAAATTGACAGATGGGGTACAAATTTTCACTTGAAACTGCGTCACGCGTCTTCAGGTAGAAAATAGGAAGTCAGTGTTAGCTGCGATTAATTCCATATTTCCTGTACCCCCCCCTCCCAGCCAGCGTAGAGAATACCCAAAACCCCCCTCGCGGCAGAATGGAAGCCGCCCCACGCTCCCCACCTCCAGGCATGGAGCAGACCATCTACCGCTCAGAGGAGGGGGTGTTGGGGCGCGCCACAGGACCAGTGGGCACTGGCGGTGACTCTCTGAACATGCTGGCCCTGGCCATCAAGATCAGCGCTGACCCCAATATGGAGAAGCTGAAGGTGCGAGTCGTGTGCACTTGCATGCGAGCACACACCTGTAGCACACTGATGCCGCAAACAAACACAGGTATCCATCCCCCTTAACAGACTTTTCGGGCAAGTGCTGTTAGCAGCGGCTTTTCGCTAGTCATCAAAAAAAGTTGGTCACCGTGTCACGTGCTTTCAGATGCGCTTCTGCGGCCTTCTGGAATGCTCTTCCCACCGAGAATAGGAAGCCACAGGAGCTATGCACTTTTAAATCATCTAGATTAAAAACAAATATTTTTAGAACTGCTTTTTGTGTTTTTTTTTCCCTTCCTCTGCACCTCCGATTAGCACGGTTGGCTACGTACAGTGCGAAAGAAGTTCAACATAAGTGCATATGAAGGCCGGCATTACCACGCCAGTGGCGATGTTTACACACCACACCAGGTAGTCACTTGAGGCTGAGTCGACCTAGGGAGAGGCCCAGGACTTGTTCAGTTAATTGTCACTTGTGGCCGGATGTTAAAACACCGAATAGATACCTATTGCAAGGCATCAAGTATGCATGTGTTCAACATCTTAACACCTGTTTTATTTCCAGAAAGGGTAAAGCCTATTCTTATTTTGTTCATCATTTTTTACACTTGCAGCACACACAGCACACACATACATTTGGCACACACATGCATACGTACATACTTACACACATGAACCATTTGGTTTGAGCACCTAATAAAAATGGCATGACACACTCATGATTATTGCTGGTTGTGATGATGACGATGATGGTTTTGATAATGATGAGATGAATCATATTAATGGTGGTCATGATGACGTTCATGATGATGGTGTTGATGATGTTAATGGTCGTGATGATGACGGTGTATGCAGGAGTTCTTGGTAGCCGTGGGGCTGCGTGGAGCCACTCTGCGCTACCGTCCGTCGCTCGCCGGGCAGAGCTGGCACGAGCAGGTGGAGTCACTCGCACGCAGAGGCCCAGACACAGAGATGGACGCAGACGGTGATAATGATTTACTGATGTTGATTTGTGTTTCTGATAGAGCGCCCTGCGACGTGCTAGGGTGGCTTAGAGTGCATTACATCTGACACCTCATCTCAAATGTTTTAAAGGGTTACCGCCAGCACCTGGCCTGCAAACGGGGCACAATCTGGCAGTAGGACGATGATCCCTGCTATGTGTAATCCCAATTGGGTAAATTCCGGACGATGTTTTAGTTACAAAATTAATCCCTGATGCTGGTCCAGAATACCTTGCTCTTGTGAATGCGTCAGGGGATTTTTAACGTCCACTGCGAAGTAGATGGCACATAGTATTATCATGGTTATTACACCCCTATTATTATTACATCCGTGATAACCACCTGAACTAACCATGGGCGTTCACTGGATTCGAATCGTGAACGTCTGCAGCAAGAGGGGGTGGGTGGCCAGCACCACGGCCGACCGCCTTTGTCTCCCCAGTGACGATGTTTACACACCGCACCAGTCACTTATTTGTAGCTGAGTCAACCTAGGGGAAGCCCAGGACCGGTTTAGATAATCGTCACTGGTGTTGGTCGTGAGCGAGAATCAAACTCGTGTCACCTGGTTTGTAGTGCAGCACGCTAACCGCTACACTACCGCTCCACTCTATACTGACACACAGACACGCATGCACAGACATGCACCCACACACCCATACACAGGCACAGGGCAGCGAGTCTCGCGCGTTGCCCAATGTCTCGACACCAACGTGGCAGTCGGTCACCGCGGCGAGGTTTTCGTGGCCGCTCGGTCCCCAACGCCCGCCGGGCCCGAGCGGAGCGAGCGGTTAGCGCCGCTGCCTCCGCGGCCCCCCGCTGCTCGCGTGCCGCTACCGACCGGGAGACTCGAGCAGGCGCTGTACGTGCGGCGCTGTGTCACGCGCGGTGCAGGTGCTGGACTTCCTGGACGTGCGGGATGAGACGGTGCTGGGCTACTCGGCACCCGACGTCATCACGGTGCTGCACGCGCACTTGTGGAGTTGCGCTGTGGACTACAGGTGAAGATGCACCTAACCTTTGAGTGTGTGTGCATGTGTGCCTGAGCGTGTGTGCGTCTGCGTGTGTGCATGTAGAGAGCGGTAGTGTAGAGGGAAGCGCACTGCGCTATAAACCCGGCGACCCGAGTTCGATTCCCGCTCATGGCCAATACCAGCGACGATTATTTGAGCCAGTCCTGGCCCTGCTCTAAGTCGACACAAATTAGTACCTGGTGTTGTGCATAAAATCATTGCCACTGAGGAGCCAAAGATGGCCAGGAGTGGTGCTCGTCACCCACCCCCTCGTGTACAATGCCGGCCTTCATAGGTTCTCGCTAACAGCACTTGTCCCTACGGTCTGTTAAGGCTACACGGGGATCTTTGTTTTTGTATACAATTAATGCAAACAGTAGGGGGCGGATGTGGAGTGGTTGGCACATTCATCTATGAACCCGGCGACTTGGGTTTGATTTCTTATCATGGGGAAATATGAGTGGCAAGCGACATTTGAACTGAACTTGGGCCTAACCTAGGTCATCTCAGCCAAAATGAGTATCTGCTGCGGTGCTTGTCCCACTGTTTTATACAACAGTTTGAAGTCGAGTTGCATGTGGGTGCTGTCTGTAGACCCACATAGCCGTGTGGTTGCATTGTGTGTATGTGTTTATTGATTTGTCTTTTCCTACACAGGCCCCAGTACCTTCCTCTCCGGGCGATGATCACGGCTGAGACGTTTAGCGTTTCCAGCAACATCATCGTCGACACATCTACCTCGTTACTACGGTAAACCTGTTGAGCTCCGTCTTCCCCTCCCCGCTCTGTCCTCCTGCTTCACATGCCCTGTCACTACGTGTCACAATATGTCACAGCGCGTCACAACTTCCCGCTCGCTCACTTCGTTGCTCAACACGACGTCAAGCGGCTCCCAGCGTGCACCACCGCATGTTGCAACGCATCCGGGGCCATGGCATGCCTTCCACATCAATGGAGGAGTGGGGGGGGGGACTCCAATGTGGTTTACATCTTGGAGGCGAGATGTTAGCTACCTCGCCTGGTATAGGGAGAACATGGGTTTGATCCTGACCCTGATGCCTGTAAAATTTGGAATTTGTATGTTCTCCTCATGGTCGCTTGGATTTTTTCCAGGTCCTCTCGTTTTTTCCTTCCACGTTTAGAAACGTGCGTTTAGAGTATTTGGTCGCTATAAATTTCCACATGATAAGCCACTTCATTGAGCTTCCATTTGTGGCCAGGTCACTTCTCAAAAGAGGTATACAGCTCGGTGGGTGTCACCTTGTAAAATAAAAATGTGTTATAGTTTTAGTGTTTATCTTATCGTTAATAAAACTTGAAACTTGTGTTGGACATCTCACATACAAAAATAATAACAGCTGTGTGATGGACAGTAGTGTCCTTTTAACCGAGTGAACGAAACCTAATGAGAGGTGTCTGGTACCGTGGGGCCCATATGGGCGTTGGTCTTGGCAGGTTCATCATCGACGACTCGGCGCTCTACCTCTCGGAAAAGATCAACGCCTCCTCTGTGGACCTCCGAAAAAGTAAGCGGAGAACCAGAGATGGCAACGGCAGCAGCACGCGGAACCAGGGGCTCGTAACGGTGGCCGTCGCAGCTCTCGTAGACTCTTAACACGGCGAGTGTCGCACACTTGCAACGTTACCGCTGTGCATCTCTCTTGTGAGAAGATAGCCACAATGAGGTGGCCGGGTGGCTCCCTGAGCTCATAATGGCCCTGTTAGTGCTGCTGCTTTAACGTTGCTTTTCGTGTTGGCTGCGTGCGGTGCGAAAGAAGTTCAACATACTTTTCTGAGCTCCCGGCTCTAAAATAAATTTATTGCAATTGTTCCCGCGGTGTCTCTTCGTCCGATGAAGGGTTGTTTTTGTTCGCAACTCTCAAGAGCGAGAGGCGTAACGTCACGCACCGTCAGTTCGCGGACTTTACCGTCCACTCGCTTTGGCAGTTCCGGCAGCGCTGGAGTGCGAGCGGCTTAACGAGCGGACGCCCCTTGTCTCGTGTGTCAGACTACGTGTGCGTGCTGGACATGGGCCTCCTGGAGCTCCAGATCACCACCAGGAGCCCCTCCAAGGACTCCGCCACCATGGTTTGTGCGTGCAGTCACGGGGATCCCCCGAGTTCCCCTGAGGTTTTACAAGTTACGTCACCCAAGGACACCTGTGGCATTTCCAAAGTGTCGTACTCTGATACCCAAATCTTTTTGCGATGGAACGTGTTTTACGTTTCTTTTTGGGATGCTGCCACGGTACGATGGTTTGCACGCTGAACCTGCAATCCAGAGGTTGCCGGTTTCATCTGGATAAGTTGATTAAATTTACCTTGGCCTCTGTTCACCCATCAGTGTAAATAGGTACACTCCAGTTAGTTGCAAGTTGCGTGTGCTGGAGTAAATTGTGTGCACTTTCGCCTTTTCCAAGAAATTTGGCCAGCATTGAAGAGTAGGCCAAAAATACCATCTCGAGGGTATTTTTATCTGTATATTATAGTATGTGCTTGCATGCATAGTGATTATCGCGCTGCGCTACGAACCCGGCGACCCGAGTTCAATTCTGCTCACGGTTAACATCACTGACAAGTAGTTCAACCGGTCCCCTAGGTTGACTCAGCCTTTAATATTAGGTACTTGGGTGCAGCGTGCAAACAATACCAATGGGAAGGCAAGGTGGCGGCCAGGCGTGGTTCTAGCCACACCTCCCCCATCGTGTGCCGTACCGGCCTTCATAGGTGCTCGTTGACGACAGCACTTGCTCCTACAGTCTGTTAAGGCTACACGGGGGGGATCATTGTCATTGGCCATGGGTTTGTCCGGTCTTAATAGGTGCTCTTTAATAGCACTTCTGTGACGGCTGTCTGTCTGTGTGTGCGGGGGCTGGTTTCTAAAACACCTGCGCTGAAATAAGACGTGATTGCTGGCCATCCTACAATCCGAAGTTGGGTTTAGCCAGGCTGTTGAGGCTACATGTGGTGTCATTGTCGTTGGTTCTGTACGTGCGTGTGCAGACGCAGCCCAAGTTCGAGCTGTGCTGCTCCAACGACATCATCCACGTGCGCACGTGCGCCGACTCGTGCGCCGCTCTCATGAGGCTCATCCAGTATTTCGCCGGCGACGGGGACCTCGCCCCCCCACAGCGGCTGGAAGACCCCTCCGACCGGGCCCCCTCAAGCGTGCGTGTGTGCGTGCGTGTTTGTGGGCACGGGTATACGGGGAGCGGTGGCGCAGCAGTTTAGCGCCACTGCGCCACGGGCCCGGCGGCCCGAGTTCGATTCCCGCTCACTACCAACACCAGTGACAAATTTCTGAACCGGTCCTGGGCTTCCCCGAGATTGACTCAGCCTGAAATGAGTACCTGGTGCAGTGTGTAAACATTAGCGCGGGGGGAGACGAAGGCGGTCAGACGTGGTGTTGGCCACCCACCCCTCGTGTGCTGTGCCAGCTTTCATATGTGCTCGCTAACAGAACTTGCCCCAACAGTCTATTACAGGCTATATGGGGTGGGGGGGGGTCTTTGTCATCAGGCATGGGTATTCCCGGTCTTAATAGGTGCTTGTTAATAGCACTTGTATGGCGACTATATGTCTGTGTGTGCAAGGGCTGATTTCTGGAACACCTTCGCTGGATTAAAACGCGATTGCTGGCTTGCCGACAATCCACCGTGGGTTTAGCCAGGCTGGATGCTCGAGAAACCTTAGTCAATGTACCATCTGAGGGATCCTCCAGCAGGCGAGGATGTGGTGGCTGGGTCATGTCGTTCGCATGTGTTCTTGTTTGAGGGGTTAAACACACCGAGGGTGCTCTAGAGGGAGCTACGCAAGCATGGCACGGCTCTGGTTAGACACTGCCTCACCAACACTTACTTTACCTGGAATGGAACATTCTTCAAACAAGTTGAAGGTACCCAAATGAGTTATCCCTTATCTCCAGTTGTAGCCACTGTTTTCATGGAAAAAATTGAGACAGATGCCATCCAGGCATCCACTCTCCGTCCGTCCTTGTTTAAGATGTACGGAGATGACACGTTCGTCATCTGGCCATGGCCTACCAGCTCTGAACCAATTCCTTAACCACATCAATTTCATACACCCAGTCATAAAATTCACCATGGAGGTGGAAAAGGATGGCAAGTTACCATTCTTGGATGTTTTAATCGAAAAGAGACCAGATGGCTCAATGGGACACTGTCTACAGGAAAGCCACCCATACGGATACCTACCTAAAACCTGACTTCCACCACCATCCATCCCAGAAGAATTCCCTCATCAAAACTCTACACCATAGAGCTCGATGTATTTCTGACCATCACCACCTAGCCAGTGAACTGGAACACATACACCAAGCCCTCAAGATGAATGGATATTCAGACTACACAATCTGTAAAGCTATCACCCCAGCCGTTGGGAAAGAACCATCTGAGGACCCAATCAAAACTATCACCTTGCCATACATAGCAGGGGTCACCAAAAAGATTTCCAAAATCATGAGCAAACACAAGATCCAGGTTCGATTTAACACAGTACATAAAATTCGTGATCTGATCCCATCTGTGAAGGATGTGATCCCTGACATGCAATACCCCAGTGTCTACAAACTAAGCTGTTGCTGCGGCAGTAGTTATATTGGGGAAACTCGGCGACATGTCTCGGACTGTGTTCGTGAACATAAGGCAAATCTGAAACACGGTAGGACCAATACCTCAGCCGTGGCTAATCATTGTCTTAATGCGGTGAGCTCACACGAAATTGATTTCTCCAAGGCGAAGGTACTCTGCAAACCCACTGCCTATCCACAAAGAATCGTTCATGAAGCCATCCAGATATATAGACACAGACACAATTTCAACCAAGAAGATGGGTACACATTGAGCAATCATTGGAAGGACGTTATTAACCAGTATGAGTCATAACTGGCTGATATTTCCATCCTACCTTCTGATGTTAGCAGTTCACACTAACACAGCTGTCGTTGCTCGTGTCCTCGAGGTGGTGGCGGCTCTGCGATCTTACATTGACATGCTAATCTCTGATTTTACATTAACCTGTTAAATGTCTCACACTAACACAGCCGCCATTGCTCATGTCCTCGATGTGGCGGCTCTGCGATCTTACATTGACCTGCTAATCTCTGATTTTACATTAACAGGTTAAACGTCTCACACTAACACAGCCCCCGTTGCTCGTGTCCTCGAGGTGGTGGCGGCTCTGCGATCTTACATTGACATGCTAATCTCTGATTTTACATTAACCTGTTAAATGTCTCACACTAACACAGCCGCCATTGCTCATGTCCTCGATGTGGCGGCTCTGCGATCTTACATTGACCTGCTAATCTCTGATTTTACATTAACAGGTTAAACATCTCACACTAACACAGCCCCCGTTGCTCGTGTCCTCGAGGTGGCGGCGGCTCTGCGATCTTACATTGACATGCTAATCTCTCACAATACAATGGCCACCTTCGCACCCTCGTCATGGAGGTAGCTCTCCGATCTTACATTTACATGCAAATTTTTTACTTTACCATCACTAGCTCCGCCCACTTCGTTTATGACCCTTGGGCTACACCCATTTCAAACCTTTAAAACAACCTGCCTCAACAGCTTTCCCCCTCTTTTTTCTCCTGATGACGATTGCTTGTGTTGTGATCGAAACGTGATATTTGTATTATTTTGTATTCACTTAATTTTTATTATTTTTCTATCTACGTGACTTTACCGACAGACCCAAAGAAAATGCTCACAACAGGCTGTCAGATCAGTCTGGTAGAAACCAAAGCCTGGTGTCTGCGTGTTTCCATGTCCACGTGTGCGTACCTGGCGCTTGTGTGTGCAGCTGGACAGCCAAAGCCCTGTCGCAGCTCCATGCGCCGCTGCGCCTGATTCTGATCGATCGTCTCTCAGTGACCTCATGGTCGATGCCATGGAGGAGTCAGAGCCAGCAGGGTCTCCCCCCAACGTCCACACAAACGGTGCGCAACCGTGTGTTTAACTTGTCACATTTGTCACTACCTTGTAACAGAATAATATAAAGTTGGCCAGCGCTTCTCAAACTCTGGGTCATGGGGTCACAAAACGTATTTGAAAGTCAAGGAAGGTTCGTTTCTCTCTCCATGTGATTTTCATGTCTCTTCATCTTTCCCCTCCTTGGATGTCTCGCTGCCCTAGTCTTTCCTTTGTCTCTCTTTGCTCAATTCTCCCCCCACGTCTCCTCACTTCTCTCTCTGTGTTTCACCTCTCACCCTGTGGCTTTCTCAGTGACTTCTTTCCTCTCACATCTCTTTCTTTGCGTGTCAACATGTCTTTCCTCCTGTTTTTCTTTTGCCTCATGTCTCCTCCAGTGCCTTTCCTCTTGTCTCGTCAATGTCTCCTCTCGTCTCGCTGTGTCTGCTCTTGTCTCACTGCATCTCTCGCCTTCCTTGCATTTCTCCTCACTTGGTTCGCAGTTGCCTTGTTCTCCGTTTATTGCTTTTCGTCGCCTGCGTATGCCCTTCCCCCGCGCAGGCTTCGACGACTCGACGCAGCCGCAGTCGGGCGAGGAGCCGGTGTCCGACCTCTTCCTCTTCCCGGACGAGAACGGCTCGGCGGCATCGCGGGCCGCCGGCGGCGGTGCCGCCCCCCCCACAGCGGGGCGACCGTCGCACGCGCGGCCATCGCACAAGAAGACCCCGCTCGCTCGTCGCGCCGGCCCCGGCCTCGCCCCTCCCGCTCCCGCGCTCGGATTCGCATTTGGGTCCGGGTCGCCGACGCAGACCACTGGCGCTTCGGCGGCGGCGGCCACCCCCTCCTCCTCGTCGTCCTCGTGCTGCTCCTCGTCATCCGCGTCACCCGTACCGCCCCCTCGCGTCAGGGCTCGGCCGCCCCCAGTGGTCGGCCTGACGGAAACGGGACGCGGCGGTGGCGGCGGTAGCAGTGGCGCCAGGAGGGACGAGGGCAGAGATGATGACGGAGCCGCGGCCGGTGGCGGCGATGGAGATGACGGCGGCGATGGAGACGGTGACGATGATGACGACCTCCCGGACGATGACGAGTTCTGCATCCTGGAGGCCCCAGGGATTGGGATTCCGGTACGGAGCGATGGGGGCTCATCATCTTCGTCGTGCGCAGCCATTGTGTGTGTGTGTCTGGGCACGGTGGTGCAAACCTGTCGGCCAGCGCTAGCGAGGTGGGGGTTGGTGGATCACAGAGGGAGATCGCTGAGTGCTGTGAGACGTCCAACCAGCTTGGTTGCAGCAAGTGGGCTTGTGATGCATCTGGGGAGAATCTTGAATGCAAGCCCCTTGTGTAACACTCGAAACCCTCCTCAACAGCCGATTGCAGAACCCTCCTGACAGGCGCTGCATGTGTGTACTTACATGCGTATGCATTGGTTTGTGTGTGTTTATGCCAGGGTATAAATTACATTTTGCGAATATTTTATATGATGACCTTTTCCAAAAATAGAAAGTTTTCAATAGGGAAAAATAAATCAATATATTTTCTGCGATTGACTCAAGCATACTAAATATACACTGTAAAATCTAAATCAGTAGTTTGCTTAACGATGATGAATCTTTTTAGCGTTATTTCCACAACTTTTCCATGGCAACGGAATTGTAGCATAAATACGCAGGTGAATAAATTGGCAACATCAGGAAGGATATGTTTTACCCTTTCTTACAATAAAAAAGGTGTTAAGATGTTCAAACACCAAGTAGAAACCTTTGGCGAGGAATCATGTCTGCATTAATTAACCACGTACTTGTAGTGAACATGTAAACAAAAAACATGCTCTGATAATGTATGCATTAAATTTTGATTTAAAGCTTTCGTGACTGCAGTAATTCATATTCTTAGTTTTTTCGGTAAAGTCACGTTGAAGAGAAACAACAAAATAATAAAATATATATAAAACAATAAAAAATTCTCACGACGTTTCGACCATAACTCAAACGGTCGTCTTCAGGTGTGTTGGTTCGCATAAATTTCGTCTCCCCCCTCCTCTTTTCAGAATATAGATGGACTAGTCCTGGGTAAACTGCCAAATCGTTGCGCGTGGCGCTAACGTTTTTTATAAATAAATGAATGCGCCGTTTAAAAATAAATTTATGCGAACCAACACACCTGAAGATGACCGTTTGAGTTATGGTCGAAACGTCGTGAGAATTTTTAATTGTTTTATATATATTTTATTATTTTGTTGTTTCTCTTCAATGTGACTTTACCGAAAAAACTAAGAATAAAAATGTATGCTTTGTCTTTGAATCTGATTGGTCTACACCAGAGACAGCCTTCTTTAGGACCTCGTCTCACCAGTGTCAGACCAGAGAATGCCAAAAGGCGAACAGTCGGCAAACATTTTCTTGGTTCTTTCGGTAAAGTCACGTAGAAGGGAAACAGTAAAAGAATACAAATATTTTTTATTATTATTTTATTGTTTCCCTTCTACGTGACTTTACCGAAAGAACCAAGAATATGAATCCCTGAGTCACGAAAGCTTTAAATCAAAATTTAGTCGGCAAACAGTCGGCATTCTCTGTGGTTAATGCAGACATGATTCCTTGAAAAAGGTTTATATTTGGTGTTCTTGGTTCTTTCGGTAAAGTCACATAGATAGAAAATAAAAATAAAGCAAACATAAATTGAAAATAATAAAAGCAAAAAATCCACGACGTTTTGATCGCAACACAAGCGGTCTTCATCAGGCGGAGAGAAAAGAGGGGGCAAGCCTCCAAATGCAACTGTTTATAAGGGCTTCCAAAGTAAGTGGGTGGGGGACTTTACCAAAAGAACCAAGAATATTAATTTTTTAAGTAAAAATTTGTATTTGGTGTTTAAACATCTTAACACCTCTTTATTGGGAGAACGGGTAAAACATATTCTTATTTTTTCATACTTTGATACTGCCCAAAAAGGTTCCATGTTGGAAGAATATGTCTTGAGAAAATTGAAAATATTCACAGCAGTACTCTTCATGGGCCAGGAATCCAAATAAATAGCTTTTCACTTTGTCCAAAAAACAGTCATTACGCTGTGATATTTGTGTTTGTACAATCCCAAATCAAAGAATAACACAATGATTTACGATGTCACCACAGGCAATGCGAGCTTGAACCATTGGCAAGTTAAAAATTGTACCCCTTACAGAGCAATGGGAACCACAGAGATTGATAACGATACCCGCAGAGACCTGCAGAGAGGAATTCTCTGTAGGTTAGTGGCCTGTGTAAAGCTACATTCGGGGATCTCTACAATGTAGAATTTGTAGTGCACAAAGTTTTCGGGTTACCCCCTTCGAGTGACAGAGCGAGAAGGATTAATGGGTGTGGATCACCGCTGACAAGCACTGGGAAGATGGCCAGACCCGGCGCCAACAACCATTACCCAGGCTTTGTGGTCAACCCCATTAACGGGTGTTTGTACATGTGGGATTGAAACTGGAGTTACCGTAGAAAACTTAAACGTGCGAGGGAGGTCACAATAAATCTAAAACAATTAAGCAAGCTCTGCGGTCCTATAATTGGGATGTGTGGCGCGCATGTGGGGCATGTGGCACGTGTGGTGCGTGTGTGTTGCACGTGTGGTGCGCGTGTGTTGCGCATGTCTTGCGCGTATGATGCATGTGGCAGGCGCGCGACGGCGAGCCCGTGGTGAAGCGGCTCGTGGAGGACACCATCGAGCTGCGGGACGAACATTTCTCACGGCCGCTGGGCCGTGCGGACGTGCTGCGGCCGCCCGCGCGCTTCCCCGTCCCGCTGGCGCGCTACACGCTGCGCGAGGTCTCCGTCACGTGGCACCTCTACGGCGGGCGTGACTTCGGGCCCGCGCTCTCCTACTCCACGGCAGTGCACGCGTACGGGTGGGACGCACGCACTGTCGCCCACGCGGCCTCGTAGCGAACAATGTATCATCTTACCTATAAAAGGCATTTTTTGTCTGTGTGTCCGTCTGTCTGTTATGTCTCTGTGTGGACGCACACTTGCGAAGGATTTGGCTCGCGAACCATGGGGGGTACCACGCTGTAAGCCCCGTGGTGAGCCAGCGCTATTCCGTTTTCCCATCCGTCAACTTTAAAGTAGTTAAATTAATAATTTAGTGTTATTTGTTATTATTTAATTTTTTCTTCACTCCGCTCCGAGCAACACAGCACGCATTTGCGCATGCGCGAAACGCTGCCCGGGGATTGCCCCTAGCAACGCACACACGATCGGCAAAAATTATCATTCGCCTTAAAAATGCTTAAAAAATACACAAAGCGCTGAGGTGAATTCTCCACAGTGTGATGTCCTCTTCTCCCCCCCCCCCCCACCCCAATGCGTACAGTTACTACTACAGAGTCTGGAGATATTAATATTATAGCGCTTATTATTGTAGCGCGGGCGGGGGTAGCAGCCCAGCCTGCAAGGTGCCACCTCGGCCGGCTGGGCAATCTAGGCGAGGCCACGGGCTTTACGCGGGACTAGGCCTCACCACAGCAATTTTAAGTACTAATTTATTGCTTCGTTTGCTAAACTAAAAAATAAGTTTGCTAATCTTACAATAGTAATGTTTGTGTGTAGACAGCTAGTATTTCAATATTAAGTTGCTAAATGTTAAATTATTTTCGTGTGTTTTTACGAAGCAGCGCCAGTGTACTGGCAGTCTGTAATGTGGCCTGTTGCCTGCTTATTCATTTACGTCAGTTCACTGCCAGTCTATTGTCTACACTGTTACTATTGCGTTAGGGCAGGATGAGTGTATGCCAGTCTATAATCTGCTGCCTGCTTCTTTACCTCGCTCACTGTGCTGCCAGTCTTTCATGTCGACTGTAGTATCCTGCTTTTTAAGCTGCTGACCGTATTGCCAGCTTATTATGTCGACTGTAGCAATGCTTATGTACTTGAGTCAGCGTACTGGCAGGCTATAATCTAGACTGTAGCCTGCTTCTTAACTTACCTGTGCGTACTGCAGCTCTATAATGTAGACTTATTATAGCTTCTTCAATGCGTTTCTATTGTTTGGTTTGCACACGTCACGCTATTTACTGATATGTAGTACTGCGATGCTGATTACTATATTATACTGTTAAATACGTTGGACTTTCTTAGCTACAGCCGATTACATTTCGTCTATCATTTTGTTACATTGGTGCGAAAATCAACCATTTGAAATTTGTGTCCTGCACCTTTTCTTTCCACCCAAGCGGGCAGCACTCAGGGAGGTTCAATGCCCCAACTTTTGTTGAGCTTGCTGTTCTTACGGTGGGTGAGGAACATGGTAAGAGAGACATTGTGCTTCGATACCAAGACAACACCATAAAAGATTTCCTGAGACAAACAGAGCATATGATGCCCTACAATACCACATTTTACTGTCGCAAGGCCAAGATGGGTACCACATCTAGATTCCTCAAATTATCAAAGCTACAGGACAAAGACATCCTCACAAACTCTCTCCTCTAAAGACTTTTATTCCTTCGTGATCATGGACAGAGAAGGAGGAAACCACGTATTACGGTGCGCCAACCTCTTTCACCAGTGTGTTGTCAATGAGTATGCCAAAATTGAGAGTGAGCGCCTTCTTTACATTCAACTGAATCAAAACCGCCTGCGTATACACCAGTATGCTCATCTCAGGGACGCTATCAATGCCGACGGATATGCAAACACTCAGAATGTGGGCAGATTAGTTATTTTGCCTTCATCCTTCACAGCTGGACCAATATACATGCATGAAAAGACTCAGGATGCCATGATGCACATCAGCCAAAATGGCAGGCCCGATTACTCTTTATAACCTTCACTTGCAATACGAGATGGAAGGAGATCCAGGTTGAGCTTTATCCAAACCAAAAGCCAATAGACAGACATGACATCTTAGCAAGGGTCTTTAAACTCAAAGTTGATGACCTCATTTGGTTTATTACGACTAACGAAGGCACCGTCTTTGGAAAGACAAGCGGTAACTTGCACACCATTGAGTGCGAAAAATATCGTCTTCCTCATGCTTACATTTTGCTATGGCTGAGGGAAAAAATTCATGCAAGTGACATTGACACATTTATCAGTGCTGAGCTACCTGACCCCCATCAAGACCCTGCCCTATTTGATGTGGTCTGCATGAAAATGGTCCATGGCCCATGTGGGCAGTTCAATCCAAATTCACCATCTGTGCAAGACCGCAGGTGTACCAAGAAGTATCCACGAAACTTCTTGAGAGACTCATTCGGGCCATGATGCCTATCTATATCGTCGCAGAAATACTGAGCATGGTGGATTTGAAACAATGCTCAGACCTGGCACTAACTCTGAAATGAATGTTGACAACCAGTGGATCGTTCCCAACTGCCCTCTTCTGTGCAAGATCTTCGAGGCATACTTTATTGTGGAATTCTGCAATTATGTGAAAGCCATCAAATATGTTTGCCAATACATCAACAAAGGCTTTGAAATGGCTGTCTTTGCCTTATAAAACAGAGGGGCAAAGTGTGCATGAGCTCAAACTTTTTTTCCAAGGAATATACATCAGCAAAATTGAGGCCATTTGCTGAATTATTGGCTTCCCCATCCATGAGCATTCCTCCACAGTCGTCCATTTGGCACTTCACCTCAAAAAAGGTCAATGCATCTACTTCACCGAAGGAAATACCCAACAACAAGCCCTGGCTCCACAAGATACTACCCTGATGGCGTTCTTTGGTTTGTGCCAAAGTGACCCATTTGCTGACAATCTGCTCTACCATTCAGTTCCCTCCTACGATACATGGACTGCTAAAAAAAATTGGAAGTGACGTGCTGCTGACGGTGAATCTGATGCCTTACGAAGAGTCTACACAGTTCATCCCAATAATCAGGAGTGATACTTTCTCAGAATGCTTCTCAATGTTCTCAAAGGGCCCAAATCTTTCCGAGACCTCAAAACAGTGCAAGGAGTTGTCTGTCAAACATACAGGGAAGCTTGCAATCTTCGTGGGATTCTTGAGGATGATCAGCATCTTGATTAAGCTCTGACAGAAGCATCTGTTAGTCCCCTTCCCAACTGAGATTGCTCTTCTGCATACATCTTCAAGTTTGCAGCCGATCTAACCCCATGGGACTCTGGCAAAAATACAAAGAGGCCATAAGTGAGGGCACCCTCCACAGAGTTCAACGAGAAAATCCAAATCTCGACGTCAACTTTTCTTATGTCATCTTCAACCAGGCCCTCATCCTCCTCGAGGACAAACTGCACTCCATTGGGGGAAAATACCTCACGTCTATGGGACTACCAACGCCCTACAGGGACAACCTGCATGCCCTTGCTCAAGAGATCCTATGTGAAATATCCTATGATGGTTTACGGCTTCTTGAATTTATTGAGGAAAATTAAGCAAAGCTAATGGATGCACAAAGAGAAGCCTACACAAAAATGTTAGAAGACATTGAGACTAAAAATGGAGGCATTTTTTTCCTTGATGCACCTGCCGGTATCTGGGAAGACCTTTGTTCTCAACCTGCTCCTCGCTAAGGTTCGCCAGAGGGAGAAAATTGCTCTAGCTGTGGCATCATCGGGGATTGCTGTGTAAGTCAATGTGTGTGTGTGAGTCAATGTATGTGTTTGAATCCATATGTGTGTGCGTGTAGGTCGATGTGTGTGTGGGTCGATGTGTGTGTGTCTTTTTCGCCCGAGCAACGCCGGGTACTTCCCGCCAGTAGGTAATATTCTTTGGGTCTTTCGGTAAAGTCACGTAGATGGTTCAAAGAAAATAACAAAAAACTACGATGTTTCGATCACAACACAAGCGATCGTCATCAGGATCGCTTGTGTTGTGATCGAAACGTCGTAGTTTTTGTTATTTTCTTTGAACCATCTACGTGACTTTACCAAAAGACCCAAAGAATATGAATTCCTGCAGTAACGAAACCTTTAAGTCAAGATTTATCATAGATAATGTTCGGGACAATGGGGTGCTTTGTCATAGCGCATACTTAGACAAGCCAGAGCTTTACCCCATGGGGCCTGATAACAATATATTTGATGACCAGTTTTCCATTCGTTTTGGAATAGTTCTAAAATATTATCTTGAGTAGCAGACCCCATGGTGTAAAATGCAGTCTCCAACTCTTATCCACTCTGTCTCTCCGCTCTTTCTGTTTATGTGCTATGTGAAAATGTCCACTGCCCTAAACGTCGCTTGCTAATATTTTTTTCTGTTAAGGCCGTTGTGTTGTTGATGAACGTGTTGACTTCATTGTTTAATTGTGCCTGTGCACCACTACCAACGCAGTGTTGTCTCCAAGTACCGTGTTCCGGGTTCACGAGTCGATGCAGTGATGTTACTCGTGCTTTAGCGGCATCCCTGACCATCAACCTTAAAGTATTTTTTTTAACAAGGCTACGATACACAGCACAGGTCTAGGTCTGCAAGACGCAGGAGTCTTATTTGTGTTGCATCTTCATTTAAATACGGGGAGGGAGCTTCTGTTTTATTGTTTTTGGTAACTCAGGTGACTCTCTTACATTCCCACCTGGTTACACAAAATACATTTTAAAATCTTCTGGGTTCTTTCGGTAGAGTCACGTAGAATGGGAATAAAATAATAAAAATAATAATAGTAACAATAAAATTCTCACGACGTTTCGGCCACAACCAAGTAGCCTTCCTCAGGTGAAGAAACAGAACTGTCCGGAAGACGGCGCTTGAGTGAACACTGCCAAGCATGGACAGCGTCTTTTAAGCTGTGTGGGAGGAACAGAGCGCCTTGACAAAGGAGTTAACATATAAATTAGCATGTAACTGGGGGATTAGCATGATGTTGGTGTGAGGGATTAGCACCACGGAGAGCGACGAGCTATGTTCAGACGGACGAGGGGAGGGGGGAGAGGAGTTTACATATAAATTAGCATGTAACTGGGGGACTAGCATAATGTTAGTGTGAGGGATTAGCAGCAGTTTACATATCAACAGTAAATTAGCATGTAACTGGGGGATTAGCATGATGTTAGTATGAGGGATTAACACCACGGAGAACGACGAGCTTGTGTTCAGACGGACGAGTCCATCTATGTTCGGAACGGAGGAGGGGGGGGGGGAAGAGGAGGAAACAGCCACGGTGCGCTGCTCTGTCCTGTGTTGCGTTATAACTATGCTATAAACTGGACTACTATACAATACAATATTATACCTTCCAATCTAAACTACATTGTATAATATCATATCCATAGACAAATCCCACCCTTGAATTATACAATGCGTTACTATACACTACCCTATACTTTAGACTATAAAATATTAGACTTGTAGTATTACACTGTATTATTCTATTAACCCTACTGTATACCACACTGCTGTATATTCACTATACAATTACCGTACTATATATTGCCTTATGAATTATGTTAAGCATTACACTGTTATACTATTTATTATACAAATGCTATAAACTATACTATTGACCGTTGTGTGATAGGTACTAATAGGCAGTGCCAGCGAATGGACTGCGGTCTGAACGTCACCGTAAAATACAATCAATCAAGAACCGAAATGGTTGATAACGTCTTTCCAATGGTTACTAGGCCAGAATCCATCTTCTCGGTTGATATTGTCTCTGTGTATATGTGGATAGCGTCATGAACGAATCTCTCATGGTAGCCGGATGGCTTGTAGAGAACCTCCGTCTTGGAGAAGCCAATGTCATGTTGGCCCACTGAATTATCACAGTGATCTGCCACGGCTGAGGTGTTCATTCTACCGTGTTTCTGAATTATCACAGTGATCTGCCACGGCTGAGGTGTTCATTCTACCGTGTTTCAAGTCTGCTTTATGTTCACGGATGCGGTCCGAGATATGTCGTTTGGTTTCTCCAATGTAGCTGCTACCACAGAGGCAACTTAGTTTGTAGATGCCCGGGTACTGTGTCTGGAACCACATCTTTTACAGACGGAATAAGATCACGGATTTTATGTACTGTGTTGAATCGGACCTGGATCTTGTGTTTATTCAGGATTTTGGAGATCTTTTTTGTGACCCCCGCAATGTAGGGTAAGGTGATGGTTTTGAATGGCTCCTCAAGAGGATCCTTCTTCATGGTTGGAGTGATGGCTTTGCGGATTGTGTAGTCGGAGTAACCATTAGCCTTGAGAGCTTGGTGTACGTGCTTGAGTTCACTAGCAATGTGTTCCTGGTCGGAAATGCACTGGGCTCTATGGTATAGAGTCTTGATGAGGGAATTCTTCTGGGATGGATGGTGGTGGGAATCCGGTTTTAAGTAAGCATCCGTATGGGTAGCTTTCGTGTAGTCAGAGTGGGTCATTGAACCATCAGGTTTCCTTTTAATTAGGACATCCAAAAAGGGTAACTTGCCATCTTTTTCGACTTCCATGGTAAATCTTATGGCTGGGTGTATGGAATTGATGTGGTCGAGGAATTGGTCTCGAGCAGGCCGGCCATGTGGCCAGATGACAAAAGTGTCATCCACGTACCTCTTCCAAAAGGTCGGGCGTAGAGTGGCAGTCTGGATGGCGTCAGTCTCAAATTTTTCCATGAAAACGTTGGATACAACCGGCGATAGGGGGGAGCCCATTGGGGTGCCCTCGGTTTGTTTGTAGAACGTTCCATTCCAGGTGAAGTATGTGTTGGTTAAGCAGTGTCTCACCAGGGGGGGTACATCAGTATGCAGTCCTTGATGAACCAAGTCTTCAATGATTGCGATGGTGTCAGGTACAGGAACTTTGAATAGGGAAACCACATCAAAACTAACAAGCAGGTCGTCTGGGGACAGGGAAATACCCTTGATTGTCGAAACCAGGTGAGTAGAGTTTAGAACCGCAGAGGTGGTTTTTCCAGTAAAAGGCCGAAGGATTTCAGACAGAAAACGAGCCAGTTTGTAGGTGGGGGAGTTGATAGTAGAGACGATGGGACGAAGAGGTGTATCTTCTTTATGTATCTTTGGAAGGCCATATAATCTCGGTGGCCTGACCACAGAAGGTTTCAATGAGAACTGTTTGGTTTGACCAATTAATGCTGTTGAATCAGAAATGATTTTGTTGGTTTTAGTAACGAGGCTGTTGGTGGAGTCTCTTCTTATTTTAGTGTAGCTGCCATCGTTGAGTAGTTCCTGAATTTTGTTGTTATATTCTATTTTGTCCATGATGACAGTGGCATTGCCCTTGTCAGCTGAGAGAATGACAATGTCATCTCTCTTTTTTAATTGAGATAATTTAAAGCGTTCATCTTTGCTGATGTTGCTAGCTTTCAATTGAAATTTACATTTGAAAACTTAAGCGAGACAGTCTAGGAGCTGAGAGAATGACAATGTCATCTCTCTTTTTTAATTGAGATAATTTAAAGCGTTCATCTTTGCTGATGTTGCTAGCTTTCAATTGAAATTTACATTTGAAAACTTAAGCGAGACAGTCTAGGAGCAGCAGCAGAGAAGCGGGCGACCCCCCATCGAGCAGAGCTCGACTTGGGGCCCCGACAGAAGCCCCGACAGAAATTGCTGGGTCAGGGGGCGTTGGTGGATGATGCCGGCCGTGCTCACTCCGCTCCTGCCCGTGCTCCCCCCACCCCCCACCCCTGTAGACACAAGACGGGGGGCGGCATTCCGAGCCCGCGGGGCTCTCCGCACCGCGCCCCCTCGGGGTCCAAGCCCCCCCGCTCATCGTGGCAGACCCACGGGGGCCCTGCACGCAACCACGACGTGCTCATGGAGGTGCAGCTCAACAAGGTAAGTAACCCCCCCCACCCCACGTGTTTCTCCCCCCTCCACTTTCCCTCCCACCCACCCACCTCCCTACGTGCCCCCCCACTGCTTGCGTCCAATTCTCATGGACTCTGACATGGCCGTTATGAACCTCCAGAGTTGCCTCCAGGGTAGACCCACACCCTCCCCCTCGTGTCAATGCCACTGGCTCCGCCTGCTCTCGGTATCCTGCCACTCTGCCACTGGTCGTGATGTTGCATCACGTCCCTCTGCCCTCCCAGGTTCGGTTCCAGCACGAGGTGTACTCCGAGCCGCTCTCTGGCATCCAGCAGCTGGGTGGTGAAGGTGGTGGTGGCGGTGGTGGCAGAACTGCTGCTGCTGCTGCTGCAGGAGGCGGTAGCTGCCCCGTGTCGGCAGCGCCGGACCAGCCCGTGTCTCGCCAGGTTTTCATCGTGCAGGACCTGGAGGTCCGGGACCGCCTCGCCTCCTCGCAGATCAACAAGTTCCTTTACCTCTACACCAGCGAGAAGATGCCACGCAAGACACACGCCAACATGGTGCGCCTGTCCACTCGCCCATCCACCCGCTAGTTCGCTCGCCCGTCCACTTAACCGTCCACTCGCCCGTCCATTCGCCCGTCCACTCGCCCGTCCACTTAACCATTCATTTGCCCATTCACTCACCCACCCACTTACCGTCCTCTCACTCAAGGCCAACAACAGTGGTGAATATATTAACCAGTCATGGGCCTCTACTAGGTCGACTCAGAATCAAATGAATACCTGGTTTTGTGTGTAAACATGAGCATTGGAGATACAAAGGCAGCTAGGCATGGTGCCGGCCACTCTCCCCATTGTGTACTGTGCCCACCTTAATAGGTGCTCACTAACTACACTTACCCCAGCATTGTGGTAAAGGCTACATGGGGGATCTTTGTTTTTGTGTGCACAGCTGACTCTGAAAGCTCTTCACCTGCGCCCAGAGAGCGGCCTCGCCACGCAGGAGTGCTGCCTCAGGGTGTCCCTCATGCCCCTACGTCTCAACATCGACCAGGTGATGTGGACTTGTCCTTCCATCTCTTGGTTTGTCTGTCCGTCCATCTGACCATCCACGGTGGCAGGATGTTAACGACCTCACCAAGTATACAGGAGGTTATAGGTTCGATCCCGACTCTGACGTCTTTATACATTATTCCCTCGCTATTCACAAACATGCGATCTGCGATTTTGGCTGTCCGTTTATCGCATCTGGAACTTTACACGACTGCGTCAAGAGAGAGAGAGAGAGAGAAGGAAAGTGTTACGATAAAATGATGAGAGAGAATATGATGCGAGAAAAATGATAAGATAAAGTGATGAGATAAAGTGATGAGGCAAAGTGATGATTTCAAGTGAGGAGACAAGATGATGAGATCAAGTGCTATGTTCCTTCCCGGTGACGCCCAGAGCGCTGCTCCCTCCGTGTACACGAACGAGTGCTCTTCCCCCCCCACCCCACCCCATGCAGGATGCTCTCTTCTTCCTCAAGGACTTCGCGTCGAGCGTTTCGGCCGCCGTGGAGCCGCCCACGCCCGACAACGCCGCCGACGGTGAGCGCATGAGTTCACCTCCTGACCCGGGGGGGTGACAACCCCGCCCCCCCCTCTGCATTTCCTCACACCCACCTCCACCTCCCTCACTTTCCTGCCACTTTTTTACTTGGCGAACGCTTTTACACGTAACTGTCACGCAGTTAGAGCGCCAGATACGTGAGAAAAATAAGTACATAAATTAGTTTATATATAATAATAGGCTTTTTCCCCTTTTTTCTGGCAACAAAACTGGAACCTTTTACAAGGAATCATGTGTGCATTAACCACAATACTTGTGGTCAAAATGCAAATAAAAAACACAGTATGATAAAAACTTTTTTTGCATTTTGACCACCAGTATTGTGGTTAATGCACACATGATTCCTTGTAAAAGGTTTCAGTTTTGTTGCCAGAAAAAAAAGGAAAAAACATTATATTTTGGTACTGGCAAAGGAGGTCTAATGATATAGTTTATATATGTCAATGTTCTATGTGAGTGGATGTCAGCCCCACGTAGCCACATAGCCACATGACAGCCTCCTCCTTCAGCACGTACAGGGCAACTCGTCTGCCCGGCACGCCCTGACGCATTGCACAGCTAGAGACGATGAGGGCCACGATCTCCTGGCTCCCCGCATTTACACGGTGGCGGGGCTGTCATGGAATACGTGCCATCGACGTTCGGAAGCGGCATACACCCCCTGGTCACTCTGGAAGCGTTTCAACCGAACCGCTTCCTACCATTGCCCTCGCCTTATTTCCTGCCACTCCCTTAATCTCATGATCAAAATATGTATTTATACTCGAGGAATCGGATGAGATATAAAGCTGTTTTGCAGATGTCCAGTAGGTCCAGGTTAGAACGTTACAACAACAAACATCTCATCGCACTGTCCCTCACCTCACCGTTTCCCTACCTCTCACCTCACCCATTGCTGCCCTCACCTCGCGCCGCCCCCCACGCTGTCCACACCTCCCCCCCCCCCCCGCCCCCCACAGGCCGCAGGTCCCCGGCGGCGGACGGAGGGACGAGCCCCGCGCGGCACCCGTCCCAGCCGGCGCCCGTCATGACGTACCCAGCGCAACCGTTCGCCCCCTCGACGCTCGGCCCCATGCCGCTCACGGACGCCCCGGCCTTCAGCGCCCCCGCTGGCGGGACTCCCTCGGAGGGCACTCCCGGTGATGGTGGGGGGGGCGCCCCTCCCGGAGAGCTTCCCATCTTCTTCAGGTTCGTGGGGGTGGCGAGAGGGCTTGGTGCCGGCAGGGGGCGGGGGTGAGAGGTTAAGGGTCAGGGTGGGTTGAGAACTGAGTGGCTGGAAAGGATTTTCCGTCAGCAACACTGAGTGGTTTACTTTAATGATGTCTGTGGGGAGTGGTAAGCGCGCGGCGCTACGAACCTAGCGACTCGGGTTTGATTCCCGCTCACGGCCAACACCGGTGATGATTATCTGAACTGGTAGCTGGGCCTCCACTAGGTCGACTGAGCCTCATATGAGTACTTAGTCGCATGTGTAAATATCACCACTAGGGAGACAAAGGCTCCGGCCGGGCGTGGTGTTGGCCACCCACCCCATCGTGTGCTGTGCCCGCCTACATCGGTACTCGATTACAGCACTTGTCTCTACAGTCTCTTGAGGCTATATGTAGGATCTTTGTCTTTTGTGCTGCAGGGAGTTTCGCTTTACTTCAGAAGTGCTGATTCGCCTCGATTACCACGGCAAGCACGTGACTATGGAGCAGGTATGGGGCACGCGCCCACAAACATTGCCACCATACGCACACTGCTGTGAGGAGGTGCCTGGTGAAGGAAATGGTTCTTTGGAGCAGAGAGAGGGTAGCGCGAGTGCTCAGTGTGGTGCCATGGAACACCTGAGAAATATAGAACAAAAGTTTTCACGAATAGTTTTACACTCGTCGACATCGAGTAGCAAACAAACTCTTAAGCGCCCCACAAAATTGTCTTGATTTAAATTCACAGTGTTTCACTTTGGTACCCCCTGATGGCTGTGGTTTTCTAAAATCTTCTCATGGCCCGTTCCTGTCTCTGAAGGCAGTTTCCCCAGTCACTCTCAACCCTGCACCTCTCACCAACACGGGGCACAACGGTGACGAGATGTTAACTACCTCGCCAGGTGTACAGGCGATTGTGGGTTCAATCTTGACCCTGACACCTGTATATTTGGAGCTTGCATGTTCTTCCCGTGGTTGCGTGGATTTTTCTCCGGGTTCTCTGGTTTTTCCCTCCACATTCAGAAACGTGATTTTAGAGTATTTGACTGCTATACATTTCCACATGATAAGCCACTTCGTTGAGCTATCATTTGTGGCCAGGTCGCTATCTTAAAAGAGCTGTACAGTTCAGCGGGCCTTACTTGGTAACATAAAAAAGTTGATAAGACTAGACCAGTTTTACTAGTTTAACTCTTGCATTACAGTCTCCCGTTGTTATGATGCATTGTGTGTTTCCATAATTTAGAAAGCGTTTGATCTGCTGCTGCTCCACCTGATGGCTTGTTGTTGTTGGAGATTTACATTACCTTGAACTTGTAGAGTGATTACATGCTTGCAGGTTTGAAGTCCAGGTGACGTTGTTGAAGCCCAGGTGATGTTGTTCTTGAAGGCCAGGTGACTTTGTTGTTGTTGAAGGCCACGTGACTTTGTTGTTAAAGGCCACATGACGTTGTTGTTGTTGAAGGCCAGGTGATGTTGTTGTTGTTGAAGTCCAGGTGACGTTTTTGGCTTCAACAGCATTGGCCATCATGGTCTCTTTATGTTGAGCTGATTGCATTTGTGTGTGGACAGGTAATTCAGATTGTAGGTATGTTATTTAAAATTGCACTGTGCGTGCATGGCTGTGTGTGCTTGTGTGCGTGATTGCATGTGCGTAATTGTGTGTGCGTGCGTACCTGTGTATGCGTGCGTGACTGTGTGTGCATGACTGTGTGTGTGTGTGCGTACATCCGTGACTGTGTGTGCGTGACTGTGTGTGTGTGTGCGTACATCCGTGACTGGGTGTGCATGACTGTGTGTGTGTGCGTACATCCGTGATTGGGTGTGCATGACTGTGTGTGTGTGTGTGTGCTTACATCCGTGACTGGGTGTGCATGACTGCTTATGGGAAGTGGTTGTGTAGCGGTTAGCGTGCTGCGATACGAGCCTGGCGACCGGGTTCCATTCCCGCTCACGGCCGACACCAGTGCCGATTAGCTAAAACGGTTTTGGGCCTCCCCTAGGTCGACTCAGCCTCAAATGAGTACCTGGTGCAGTGTGTAAACATCGTCACTGGGGAGACAAAGGCGGCCGGGCGTGGTGTTGGCCACGCACCCCCTTTTGTGCCGTGCCGGCCTTCATAGGTGCTCGCTAACAGCACTTGCCCCAACAGTCGGTTAAGGCTACACGAGGGATCTTTGTCTTTTTTTTATGCGTGCGTGTGTGCATGCATGCGATATGCAGGGAACATTTGCGGGAATCCTCATCGGGCTCGCTCAGCTCAACAACTCGGAGCTGAAACTGAAACAGCTCTGCTACCGGCACGGGTAAAGCACTGGCCCAGCTCCACTTGCCGATGTTTTAATGGACCCTTGAGTGTGTGTACAGGAATGATATTGTTTAGCCATCTGAGGAAGCCTCGCTTAGATTTGGTACTCAGGGTTCAGGACGGTGCTACATTGAGTAATGCATTGACAATGTGTGTGTGAGGGTGATAAGTGGCATGTTGGTCAGCATGCTTCGCTAGGAACCTAGGGGGATTGAGTTCAATGCCCAGCCAACGCTAAGAGCGGTGGCGAGTGTGATTAGACTCTGTTTTGGTCGAGTTGGTCTTCGATGAGTGCTGCCCTATGTACACATCAACACTCGCAGATACAACGGTGGCTAGGCATGGTGCTGACCACACACATGCATACAAAATAACTAATTCTCCTCGTAGCTTACTTGGGCCGTTGGGGCAAGTGCTGTTAGTGAGCACCTTATAAGGCCGGCATAGCATACTAGGGGGTAGGTGGCCGACACCACGCCCGGCCGCCTTTGTCTCCCCAGTATTTATGTTTGCACACCACACCAGGTACTAATTTAAGGATGAGTCAACCTAGGGGAGGCCCAGGACCAGTCTGAATTTTACCCACTGTCATTGGTCATGAGCTGTAAAAAGACTGGTCTCCAGATGTAAGACACACCACCTCCTTGCCTCAGCAGTCCATATGTCTGTACGATTAGGTTGCTGGGTGTGGAGCGTCTTGTGGCCTACGCAGCGAGCGAATGGGTCAACGACATCCGCAAGAATCAGCTGCCCGGCATCCTCGGAGGCGTGGGGCCCATGCACTCACTCGTGCAGCTGGGTGAGACGCGCGCTTGCACATGCACACGCACGCACGCGTGCATACACACTGCAGGCTTTCATATATGGTAAGTCCTCACTTAACGTGTGGTGTTTACACAATGCGTTTTCGCTACAACGCGGTTCTTCCGTTTGTGAGCACTTTTCGCACAACGCGGAACACGTGCCGTTATAACGCGGTTTCTAGCGGTCGACCACGAACTACTTCCTTGAGCTGCGCGGCTGAGCGGTCCAGTGATACAGTCCACGGAATGATACTGCGTTTCCGTACATCGTATCTCAACAAAATTTATCGTTACATTATTTACGGGGAAATAGTTTTCACTTAATGCTTTTTTCACTTAACATGGCGCGTTTCAGGAATGCATCTACCGCGTTAAACGAGGACTTACTGTACTGGCCAACACCACATCCAGTCGCCTTTGTCTCCCTCGTGGCGATGTTTACTGCACACAGCCCCAGGTACTAATTTGAGGCTGAGTCGATCTATGGGAGGCCCAGGACCAGTGTGTGTTGTGGCACCCTGCTGCCCTGTGCGTGTTACAGCGGTGTGTGTGTGTGGCGGTGTGTGGTGTGCGCGGCGGGGCGACGGCAGTGCAAGGCATGAAGGACCTCGTGTGGCTGCCCATCGAGCAGTACCGCAAGGACGGCCGCATCGTGCGCGGCATCCAGCGCGGAGCCGCCTCCTTCGGCACCTCCACCGCCATGGCCGCCCTGGAGCTCACCAACCGCCTCGTGCAGACCGTACAGGCATGCACGCACGTGCACTTCGAGGCACAAAAGACAAAGATCCCCCTATAGCCTAAACAGACTGTTGGGGTTGTTAGCGAGCAGCTATGAAGCGAGCATGGGACGCGAAGGGATGGGTGGCCAACACCATGCCCGGCCTCATTTATCTCCTGAGTGGCGATGTTTATGCACTGCACCAGGTACTCATTTTAAGGCTGGGTTGACCTAAGGGCGGCCCAGAACCGGTTCAGATAATCGTCACTGGTGTTGGCTGTGAGCGGGAATCGAACTCGGGTCGCCGGGTTTGTAGCACAGCGCGCTAACCGCTACACTACTGCTCCCCCCAGGACATACGCAGACACGTGTAGACACACAGTCACGCGCAAAGACATACATACACGCAATCCTGTCATTGTTTTAGTTATTTTCTCGTGTTGTTGGTGATGACGGTGTCTCCATGTACTTCTGCCCATGGCCGACGCGTGCGTTGCAGGCGGCTGCCGAGACGGCCTACGACATGCTGTCCCCGGGGCCCAGCGTAGCCCGCAGGCCCATCGCGGGGGCCCCCACATTCCCCCAGCATCGCGTCGCTCAGCCGCCCGCCGACCTGCGCGAGGGCGTCGCTAAGGCCTACGACGTCGTCAGGGAGGTACGTGCGCATGCGAGTACGTGCGTGTGAGTGCATGAGTGGTGTGACGGTTCACGCTGTCGATTCCTAGCCAGCGATGGCAGCGGTAGCAAGTTGTATCTGTGTTTGTGTGTATTGTATAGCTGTATTTGTGTGTGTTTGTGTGTATTGTATTTCTGGCCTGGCACAAGCGTCATGGTGACGTCACCGCCACTTAGTGGCGAATGGCGGTTGTTGTTGTATTGCTGTATTTGTGTGTGTTTAGCTCCATGTGTGCACATGGCTTCTTGCATGTGTATGCGTTTGACTTCTGGGTGTGGGTGGTGGTGTGTGTTTGTGTGCGGGGCTCTGTCTATGCTTGGTCGCTACTGTGTGTGGGCGCGGCTCCGTGCAAGTGTTTGTGTGTGGCTCTCGTGGCTGTGCACGTGTCTGTGTGTGCGTGGTTCCGTCTGTGTGTGGCTCTGTCTGTGCACGGGCATGACCGATTGCGCGTGTGTGTGTGTGTGTGACGAGGGCAGGGGGTGACGGACACCGCGCAGACGCTCTACATGGTATGCGCGCGGGAGCACGAGCAGAAGGGCGTAACGGGCGCCGTGGGTGGCGTCCTGCGGCAGATCCCGCCCACCGTGGTGAAGCCGCTAATCGTGGCGAGCGAGGCCACCGCCAATGTGCTGGGCGGCATGCGCAACCAGATCCAGCCCGACGCGCGGCGCGAGCACTCGCAGAAGTGGCGGCATGGGGATGACTAGCGGCGGCGGCGGGCGCGGGACGGCCTTGCGGGTGCGGGGGGTGGCGAGGGGGGGTGGCGACTCGCGGGGCAGGGACCAGCAGGCGCAACCAGTGGTGAATACGGAGGGACGAGTAGTTGGGATGCCGCCAGGCACGACCGGTGGGATGACGAGGAGAGGCGCAGGAACGACTGGGGGTGACCTGCTCAATCTCCATCGGCTCGCCGCAACCGTCTACGAGGCAACCTCTTGGCCTCTCGGCTGGGCCCTTCCCCATGGGGGCCGATCGGCGCGGAGTGTTCGCCTCCACTTTTACGGCCGCACAAGTGGGAGACCCCTCGACAGCGTCGCCGGAAGTTGGCCGTTACGTGCCCGCTGTCTTCGTCCGGGTTTTCCTGTGGCATCACCAACGGTTGAAATCTGTCGCGTGCCCGTGTTTTACTAAATGATGGGCCGGTGCCAAATTCACCGGCTCTTTTAGTGTGAATCGAACCATGGCCCTCCGTGCTCACCGGGTTCGGTGGTAATGGCACCGATCTATAGGCTAAAACCTGACTGCCCACAACCCGAGGTTGCTGAGAATGAGGACTGCCAGTCGACGGTCAGTAGGTGTCCCTCAGTAATTATTCACTGCTGCGGAGAATCGTGGGCAACGCAAAATAAGCGTGATCTGTGTATATTGCAACTGACTCTGAAAATAGGTGCTCGCTAACAGGCACCCGTCCTGACGGCAGTATCAGGCTGAATGGGTGAAGGAATTGGCATCTGGTGCTGCCAACCCCGATGTAGCACTCACATTCAGACTGGGGCCATGTTCGCTGATTTCGAGGCTTGCTGGGGTCAATGAACGAAACATATTTCCTCTGCCCAAATACTGAATAATATTATTAGACTAATTAAAGACAGGTGGTCAGGTTGTTTGGGTTATAGCCAGAGTGAATTGACGTTTGCTTAATCAACCAATTTGCATTCCCGTTCAACGTGCACATTGACCGTTCATTGATGTCAGAGTTTTTTGTTTTGATTGCCAAGCAATTGCCAAAATTATTACAATTTATGATTTTGGGCCATTGCATTAGCATGAAGTAGGCTACCATGAGAGCTGTGGTGATGATGATTACGACTGCGTTGGTGGTTTTGGTGATGTCACAGGGTCTTCGGTGTTTGTACTCGTGGCAGATAAGACACTGTTGTTGACACCGGTGGTGATGATGATGATGACTCAAGGGTTTGGGTTACCCTACAAGGCCTTGCTTTATGGTGTTTTGCGTGACTTCACAAAGATGCGTTAAACTGTCAAGTGTTAGTTACAGACACTTGAAATTATATTCAAGCACTATATAAATATAATTTAGTTTAAATCTGTTACCCGGAACAGCCTCCCTGAGTCTCGTAATGACATTTGTTTCGGGATTTGGGGGGAGGGGGGGGTGTCTGCTTCTGGGTGCTTTGCCAATTTTTTTTTTCTGCAAGTTTGTGTGTGGGAAGAGGCCGGAGTTCCTGGAGAAAACCCCCGCACACACACACACACGAGGAAAGAACACGCAAACATCGGCGCACTCGTGGTGAAATCAGGGACCTGCTGGGTGATGTGCCCCAATAACTCACGCTTACGGTCACAGTACTGCTCACGCTGCTCCTGTATAAGCTATATAGACGTAGCAATTAACACGCTCGTTTGTGGAGACGCTATCCGTCGCTAAGAAACGCTGCAGCGTTAACTTCTGTATGTTGCTACAACGTCTAGGCCCCTACCCCTGTTGGTGCTCGGCCCTGTGTAACGTTTATAATAAAGACTGTAACCTGGGCATGGCTCACTGTCAAGCCCCAATAGAGGCAAAGTACATACACGTCCGCCATTCTGCAGGCTTCCTTAATATAAGGTTGCGATATATTTCTTGGACGTGATACCGTGGTCATATTCCTGATCAGCTTGGCACGCGGCTTGCTATTGAATGGTTCCAGTGAGTCGACTTGGTGGATACCAGAATAAGTTAAACATTAAAACTGCAATTTTTTCTGTCGTTCAATGAAAAATAAGATGTTGCCTGTTGGTCTTCTCTCGGAAAGATAGGTTTTAGGAATGCTGACACAATAACCACGTCTTCACGAAGGTCGTTCGTTCGGACATTGATGATTCGGTCTGTCACTGAGAGCAGAAAATCACGTTTCAGTTGTGATTGGTGTTGAAGCAACATTGAGCAGGTGAAAATAATAAAGTGAAATTACTTTTTGGCATTATGATATTTATGCCATTGAAATCACAAATGTTCACATTTAAGTCTGTGTACAATACATTGTATATTTGAAAAAAGCTTAAAGGAGTTAAAGTAGCATGTGTAGAGTTCCCAAGATGTCTATGCAGTAGTAGAGGGGGTGTGCTCGCGTGGGCCCGGACACGTGGCTATCGTTGAAATAAAATGTTACACTAAACAATATACACACTTCAAAATAAATAAAAAGAGATTATAAAATACATCTTCATCCTGGTTTTAAAAACCGCAACGGCTTCCTCATCGAATGGTAGCTGCGGTGCGTTCCCCTCAGCAAGACATCTAAAAGCACGTGACAGCATAAACACCCTACACGCAGAGACACGTGACCCACAAAACCGGACTGAGTCCTCAAATTTGGACCTGGAACCCAAAACCCAGACTACGAACCCATGAACCTGGACTAGGAACCCACAACCCAGACTATGGGAGCTGATACCAAATAATGGCCTGACATTGCTAACCCTGTACTTGATATACACTCTGTCAGATGACCACGGGGTTACAATAAGGATGTGTCCACAGACACAAGTGGCCATGTTGACGAGCTGTGTGCAAAGCCCAGACTTGCAATTACCGAATTTAAGTTGACTGCTGTAGGCAATAGGTGATGGTCAACACGAATGAAGTTCATTGACTAAAACGAAGGACAACCTGGGCGTTTATAAACCGTTAGAATTAAACCCGGAGAGAGGGGAGGCTGACTTTACTCAATGAGATGTTCAAATGTAGGATAGCTCGGGTTGTGGTGAGAACTTGCCACATTTAGTTGTCCATGATAAGCGCTCCACCAACACCGCCACAAACGCGTGCTTGATAACAGAAGTCGTCGCTGTCTGGGGTTGCAAGGACGGGTTGTGGGGTGTAGGTCACCAGCATCGTGTACTACGTCTCGGGTTAAGCATAACAGACTATGCTCCTTGCCCTACAGTAGCTCCCGGATTAGCAAGAACTTAAACAAAAAATGTACCTAACATTTAAGTGAGCCAATCTTTATTGATTCTATAGATATTTCGTTTTTTGGGGGGCTTATAGGCGTAGAGAATTTCACACTGGTGTAGTTTCAGTAAACGGACCGTTTCTCTTTTTTGTGTAGGCGGTGTATAGGGGCGCCTCATAACAGTGATTGGGTTTGGGCGGCCTGGTTGTCCACAGCACGCAGCTTGACCATGTCCTGGTAGAACGGGCCCCGTTCACGAGCTCGCTAGATTTTTCAGCTGCTGCACACTGGAGCAGATCCTTGACATGCGAGGATGGTCGGTTCTGACCACCAAAGGTGTAATCTTGACTAAATTTGAAGAAAAATAATTATTTACCGAGCACTGAAACGTAGAACGACCGGTTCGCCGACGGCGAATGACGGATTGGAAACCGTGAGGATCGGAATGGGAAGATGTCTACTCCTCTGCAATGCGCGGTGCGGGAATGCGCGAGTGAGCGAGTTCCGTGAGCTGTGAGGGACGTCGTGGTGCAGCGCGTCGGAAAGTTTGAGGATGCCCTCGCGACTCTGACTGTGGCCCTAGTCGCACCAGACGATGGCTCCCTCCGGCGCTCGGGCCGGCTTGCGTAAAGCCCTGGCTGGCTCACCACTCGTGCCGGCTCGTGTACTGCTCGGGGCGGCTCGCTTATGCGTACCACTCGGTGGCCCAAGACCTCCTCCGTGACCCTCGGGTGACAGCGACATGATGAGAGGCATGCCGTCCGGTGTCCGAAGGCTGGCATGCAGGAGGTCGTGGGTTCGATTCCAACCCTGACGCCTGCTGTATATTCGGAGTTTGCGTGTCTCTCTCCCCTTCGTCGCGTGGATTTTTCTCCGTGGTCCTCCGGTTTTCCCCTCCACATTTAGAATCGTGCGCTTAGAGTATTTGGCGGCTCTAAATGTCCACATGAGAAGCCGCTTTGGTCAGCTGTCGTTTGTGGCCAGGTCGCTTCTGAAACAGAGCTACATGGCTCAGTGGGCCTTACCTGGTACAATTCAAAAAAGCTGTTTAGTTGAAGCTGTGGCTACCAGTGCTGCATCTGGGAACTGCTGCTGTTGTTGCTGCTGCTGCATATCCTGGTGCTGTCATTGCTGCTGCATCAGTTGCTGCTGACTGCAATCCACCTCAGCCCTGGGAGATGCCACCGCTTGCGATCTTGAGACCTACATGCTGGCCTACACGCTTCTGACCAAGCTTCGCCCGCTCGCTCGTATTGCGCTCGTCCTTCCTTCGTGCGTGATTTTTTTTGTTTTTCTCTCCGACTCTCAGTTTGCGTTTGACACGGAACAGTTCATCCATAATAGAGGTTTTTGGGTGAGATCGCGTACATATAAATGCGTCGTATAAACCCGCCACCACTCGACGCAGCCAATTAGTAAGGTTTGTCACGTAAATAAAACATGCCAATTCGTTACTAGTTCAGCACACCGGCGTGTTGGAGAGTAAATGTTGTGGATGGTGGTGGGTGTAAAGACATTTATATTTACGCGATCTAACCTAACAACCTCTATAATAGATATTGATCGTGAAAGCTTACGTGTGGAACGGTTTATGTTTGCCCAACAAGCTTTTTGAATTGGGGCGTTTTTCTTCCTGTACAAATCTGCCACCACCACCACCCAATCGTCCACCAGACGAAGTGGGTCGGAGCACGCTTCACCATTGTCGCACAGCCACAACGCGCACCCCGAGAATACCCAGGGCGTGCGTGCGTGGGTTCGGTCGTCGGCTGCTGCTGAGATGTATTCTGCCTTTAAGGTGCATCCGAACGAGGACGCACCTTTTCTGCACTGTTACCTACCGAAATGTTGGTTGACAAAGAGTTTTGTAAGTTAACCCGCGTGGAACTGCAGTCCTAGCACTTTGCTTCCACTCAACAATAATAGCTTGAATAAATAAATAATCGCCTCTTTAAAACGAAGCATCAAACCGACTCCGGAATTCTTTCGGTGACATGAAGAGTGCAGTGAGGCTCATTGTATCCCGTTGGGGTGCGACTCTTTTTGCGACATTAAGAGCGGTTGTGAACCGTCGCTCGTTTGTTTGTTTGCCGGTGAGAGCATCCTCACCGAGTCTCGGTCGAGTCTCACGTTCAGAAGGGTCCCTGACAACTTTTCGAAGCAGCAGTCGACCCCACCAATCCTCCAAGCAGGATCTGGCCTGCCGAGGAAGATCCTGGGTCCTCCTTGAACCGGGATCCGGACACTCCATGGAAGATGTGGGGACAGTTTCTCCATAAATGGAACATTTACGAGAGTCCAGTGTGTGACTGTGGTGGTGGTGCGACATTTCAGACCGTGAACGACCGCCCAATCGGATCATTCAGCGGCGATCTGAAACAAATCCACGCGCGGCTACTCCTGAAGCAGTCGGATGGATATCAAATCTCGACATCAATTTGTAACCTGTTCCAATCCCCGACAATGCCACACGAAAGAAGGGAAGATTGGGGAGTTGTTTTTCTTCTACCAATACCCGTCGCATCGTGCGTGTTACACAAGCGATAAAACTACGTTACGACTGGCTCCAGTGGGGTCACGCGATAAGCCTGCCGTCAGCAAGGGCAATCTTTAAATGCAGTGAAAATTGGCAGCCGGTTGCAATGTGGTAAAGGCTTTATTGTGATTAACTCCCCCCCCCCCGTAAACAACAAAAACAACCGTGCCTGAGTGGGCTCCATTTCGTCACCTCGAGGCCGTCGTGAATGATCTTGAGTGAACTGTCTGTGGGCTGGAGCTTCTCTCTCGGCAGTGGAGTGGGCAGAGCACACGGCCCGTAGGCTGAGTGGACCAGCCTTAGGATGTTTGCACCACATCCTTTAATAGGAACATTCGAGTGATAACCTCGGGTTATGTTGGGGGTAGTCGCCTGGCGTGTGTGTTGCGTCATTGAGTTGTGGCATGACGTCATTGTCTCTGAACATGGCTGCTGATCTCAGAGACGAGTCTGCTGTCCTTATTCCTTGAATCTAGAACAGATTACACCACAACACGGCGATACGACGATATATGTCGGTGTGAAGTGACATCCCTGAGAAATTGTAGCGACCATTACCCAAAAATCTCACCGTGTTTATTGCGGCTTTCTTTGGTTTGTTGACAAATATTTTCGTGGCAAAACACGAAATTAAAGAAGCACAATTTATTGACGGCATGAAAATGTACGTAATTTGTTGCGGTTTATTTTCATAATTTGGTATGGGTAACTCACGGCACGACACGTTGGAGGTGTTGGAGGTTTAAAATTATGAAGACTACGTCAGGCCTGTGTCGAGAACCGCGGCTGAATAACGTTCAAAGTGATATTTATTTATGCCGGAAAGACAGCAAAGCACAAAAATCGGAAATTAAAACTCGAGCACAAGGCGATAGTCGTGGGGAAACTAATGTTGCGATGATTATCAAATACATATGTTCACATCGTATCGTGAGAAATTAAATCACAGCAACCTCAGTGATGTGCAGACGACAGGCGCATCAACGTTCTGACAGAATTGCAACAATTAATCATAAAGATTTATTTAGCTTATATCGCGTAAGTATAAATGTGTCGTTAACCCGCCACGACCCGACACAGCCCACTAGCATCATCATGGTAGGGTTTGTCACGTAAACAAAATGTGACAATTAGTTACTACTACGGCTCACCGGTTGTGTGTTGGAGAGTAAATCCACGACATTTACAATTTGAGTACTGTGACGTTTCGCTGGTAATTACAGCCAGCATCTTTATATTTACGCGATCTAACCCCAAAAAAATGCCCCTTTATTATGAATAATATTGGTCGCGAAAGGCTACGTATAAAACTGCAATAATTAACATGAGGCGTAAAATACGAGGGAATGCATTGTCGATGTTTTAAAGTAATGTGAAAAAATACATGTACAGTGTGTGAAAAGTACGATTCACACCCGCCACGTATTTGTCTGCCACTTGAGGCACTGGCGTTTTCCCCATTGTCAAGACGCGTGCGTTGCCTTTGCCAATGCAGCTTTTAAGCGCCATCGTGTTGATCACATTGCAACCATCACTTGGTAATGCTGCGAGGATAGCGTCGAGAGCAGTGGTTCTTAACCTGGGGTGCACGCACCCCCTGGGGCTAACGAGACATGGCCAGATTTATTTAGAAGGTAAATAATCGACATGCAAATTAATCACGGGCACGCAAGTACAACTACTTTCTTTCATCAATCCCTATGTAGTTAGTAACATACATTACATTACGATTGGGAACCAAAGGGGTGCAAGGCTACAGTAAAGGTTAAGAAGCACTGGTCCAGAGAGAATGGATTCTTGCCATCATTGTTGCGTGGATTTATTGACTTGGGGTATTCCAGCGTCGGCAGGCCCGTGGTTTAATCAGCAACGAGTGCGTTGGTCCTGGCAAAATATTTCAGAAAAGTTGCTCCATATAACCCCGTGATCCCGAGGCTACGCGTGCGGAGACCCGACAGGTGCATGGAAAATGCTGCAACATGATTTGGCTTTAAAGTTTGCAGCTACTTGGAACCAATCGCACCTCTGAAGCACTGCGTGCAATTGGGCGCCGCGGTGGCTAGGAGATGTTGACTACCTCGCTTGGCATGCAGAAGGACGTGGGTTCGACCCCGACCCTGAGAATGCCTGTATATTTGGAGTTTGCGTGTTCTCCCCGTGGTCGCGTGGATTTTTCTCCACGTCCTCCGGGTTTTCCCTCGACATTTTGAATCAACATCACGCGTTTAGATTATTTGGCTGCTAGACGTGATAAGCCACTTCGTTGAGCTATCAATTGTGGCCAAGTCGCTTTTGAAAAAGAGCAACGGAGGTCAGTGGTGCCTTACCTGGTAAAATAAAAACAAAACAGCTTAGTTGATGCACCCAGAAGCACGTGGCTCTTGGGCCGTGTGGGCACAGCCTCGCCCCAAACTCGAGATGAGACACAGACGTGCTCACCCCTCCTCGTGCAGTCACCGCAAATATAATATTATTTTCTGTTATTATTATGGTCGCTTCTCTCTCTATACGCTGTGTATTCTGTAATTTAATGAAAAGATCACGTGCGGCTGTATAAACCTTCATCCCAATCACTGTGGCTGCAAGGGTTTTGTGTCGGCTTGTGTGAGCACTCGCACACGGACCTCCAATTAACACGGTTGGCTAGGTACGGTGCGAAAGTAGATCAACATACAACTCCGCCTGTAATGATAACTTGGTGCGCTGTGTAAACATCAGCACTGGGGAGACAAAGGTGGCTGGGCATCGTGCTGCCCACCCACCCCCTCGTGTGCCGTGTCAGCCTTCATAGGTGCCCGCGCACAGCACTTGGACCAAAAGTTTGTTAAAAGGCTACACGGGGCATCTGTCTTTTGTTCGCGAGTGGTAGCGTTGGGGCAGTAAGTCTCGGGCTATGGAGCGGGCGATCGATAACCATGTTCAGAATCGATAACTGGTTTTCCGAAAACCAGGAACAGGTAACCATTCACAGTGGCATATATATAAATATTGAATTGTGACGGTGCTTGTGCCGAGCCTTGAGGAGAGGTCATTGTTCATAATTCTCTTGGCGGCTGTGTTCACCAGCGAGGTGTAACCACGAGAGTTGGGTTGCATTCTGGTAGCTTTGGGCATCTTCAGCAGCCAGCCATGACCCCAAACGGTACCACCACAGGCAGCAGCAGAGAGCTCGGCCATTGTCACGCCGGTTTTCTGTTGACGATGGAAAGCAGCTTCGATGAGGGTGGTGAACGATTTGTTCGTGGCAGCTACGGCCATTTCGAAATCCGGATTATTCGCGAGGCAGTTGGGCGCCATTAATTTCGTCGTTCATTTCAGGTGCACTTCTCCGGCCGTCTGGAACGCTCTTCCTTCCGATATTAGGAAGCCAATTGAGTTTCTGGACGTTTAAATCTTCATCCTCTATATTGAAAACTCGTGATTTTATAGAGCTGCTTGTTGTGTTTAGTTTGTTGTCCTTCCCTCGCACCTCCCGATTAGCGCACGGTTGGCTACGTACGGTGCGAAAGAGGTTCAACGTACTTACGAACGTTTGGTAAGCGTGGACCCGTCGTAGACACGACGGGTTGTTAGCTGTTTGAGGCGAACGTGGGTGAGCTCCGGTTTGATAGCAGAGGCCTCACTCCGAATCAGTCGGGCGGCATTATCTTTTCACGGGCTGCGTAACGCTGTGTGGAAGCTTCCTGGTCTGTCGCTCCGCACGAAGCTTTGGGCCTTCTCGGCCACAGAGGAACGTGGACCCCTCTAATGGAACATCTGCGCCGGTTAGAAACATTCAGAATAGCCTCCTGGTTTTAACCAGACTGGATTGTGCGAGGAGTTCACAAATCCTCGAAAGGTCTGGACACAATCTCCTCTGGCCGGCAAGGCTGCGTTGGCGGGGGCATGTAGCCACCGCATAGGCGTGGGCTGGAGAAGAGACAGATTGATGCGGGACGGGAGGGTGTGGAGCTGAGTGGACTTGCCGAAGACTGATACCAGCGGTGTCAAGATGGGCCTCTGTGGAGGAGGAGCCTCGTGAAGGATGCTGCTGCTGGGCAGTTGAAGGCAGTCGCCCTCCAGCAACAACGGAGGGCAGAAGAGCGACGCTCACAACAACGAGCGGAGCGCCAGGTGGCTACATACAGCAAGTTGGCAAAGTAGGGGATATAGCTGGTTCATCTACTGGTCATCTCAGTCGGCCAACCCATGGCACCTGGGGTCCCGAGACCTGTCAGCGAGCCTTCAACACTTCACGTGGCCTCAAAGTGCACCTGGCCTGGCACAGGCGCTGTGGTGACGTCACCGTCACTTAGTGGCGAATGGCGGGGATTGGTATTGAGTTTGTAGGTGAGCTGTGTAGGTGAGCTGCGTGGGTGAGCTGCGTGGGTGAGATGCGTGGGTGAGTTGCGTGGGTGAGTTGCGTGGGTGAGATGCGTGGGTGAGTTGCGTGGGTGAGTTGCGTGGGTGAGTTGCGTGGGTGAGATGCGTGGGTGAGTTGCGTGGGTGACCTGTGTGGGTGAGCTGTGTGGGTAAGTTGTGTGGGTGAGCTGTGTGGGTGAGATGTTGAGGCTGATGCGCGCATGCTGACACGGAGCGTTGCGGGGCACGTGGAGACTTGTTTGCAGCACGCGGACAGCTTGCCAAGACACAGCGCGAAACATTCAGAGACTCTTCTCGACATTCGCATTCACTTGCATAGCCCCTCTGCTACAGACTAACAAAGACCCCTTAGCCACCTACACACACGTTGACAGCTAATCTCACACACAAAGACTATCCAAAGATAAAGATCCCCCGTATAGCCTTAACAGACTATTAGGACAAGTGCTGTACACGAGAGGGTGGGTGGCCAGCACCACGCCCGACCGCCTTTGTCTCCCTAGTGGCGATGTTTACGCACCGCACCAGGTACTCATTTGAGGCTGAGTCGACCTAGGGGAGGCCCAGGACCGGCTCAAATAATCGTCACTGGTGTTGGCCGTGAACGGGAATCGACCTCGGGCCGCCGGGTTTAACGCAGCGTAGCGCTAACCACGACACTACCGACTCTGCCACACACAGACTAACATACAGAGATACTTAGCCACTTACACACACACAGTTAGCTTGTCTAAGACACAAACTTTACATAAAATGCTACGTTGTTGCTACGATACATAGTTTATGTCATGTACACACACTCCCATACACAGACATGCACATTGCTCATCGTACACAGACACACAAACCTTGCATGTGCACATTCTTACTCTCGCAATCCCATGTTCACACACACAGCCTTTCTCCCACAGACACACAGACACATGATCTCACTTTCACACACTGACACACACACACGCGGACTGACTCACACGCACAACTCTCTCGCTGCCACGCACAAATTAGACTCGCTAATCGACACGCGCGCCAACACACTCGCACTCCCGTCCAACACACGTGCACACTCTCCTCACGCTGACACCCTACATACATCGACTTAACTCACACTTACACATACACACGCACGCACATTCTGTCACGAATTATTACAGACTCTGCCACGCAATATCACTCTTACTCACCACACTCACATCACCCACATCACTGTGCTCTCTGTTAGCGTCTTCTCTCTTCTCACGCACACGTTCACTCACATCACTCACAGAGCTATCCGGACTCTCACTGACACTCTCTGCTGTCTCTCACTGTCACTCTCTGCTGTCTCTCACTGACACTCTCTGCTGTCTCTCACTGACACTCTCTGCTGTCTCTCACTGCCACTCTCTGCTGTCTCTCACTGCCACTCTGCTGTCTCTCACTGCCACTCTCTGCTGTCTCTCACTGCCACTCTCTGCTGTCTCTCACTGCCACTCTCTGCTGTCTCTCACTGCCACTCTCTGCTGTCTCTCACTGCCACTCTCTGCTGTCTCTCACTGCCACTCTCTGCTGTCTCTCACTGCCACTCTCTGCTGTCTCTCACTGCCACTCTCTGCTGTCTCTCACTGCCACTCTCTGCTGTCTTTCACAGTGTCGCATCACTCACGCTCACAATCCGCTCACCACCCTGTCTCCCACACACAAACACAATCTCCACCGAGCTCCAGAAGCCCGATGGATCGCTCCCTCGGCCCCAAACCGAGCCCCCCTGCCCCGCGCCACCGTCCCACTCGCGCGGTCTCCCCGGGGCCGCTCCGGGGCCGGGAGGCCGGCGCCTGGGACCGCGCTCCCCAGCGGGGCCGCTCGCGCTCCCCGTCCCACAGCGGCGACTCCGCGCCCCTCAGCCCCGCCAACCGCCTGCGCAGGAGGAGCGTCAGCCTCGGCGAGCTGAGCCGCTCGCCCGCCCTGGGCCGCCGCGTCGACTCCCTCGCCAGGGAGGTGGTGGGGTCCAGGCCAGGCCGGTCCCAGGTCAGTGCTGCGTCACGAGGGACGCCGCAGTGGCGCGGTCGACGGCCCAGGGGTGGCTCGCGCCCTGTCGGCCGCGTCGCCCTGGTCGGCTGCGGATCTGCTAGCCTCGTGTCTCCTCCGCCAGTGCCGCGGTGGCGAGATGTTCACTACCTCGCCCGGTATACAGAAGGTCGTGGGTTCAATCCCGACCCTGTATATTTGGAGTTTGCGTGTCTCTCTCCCCCCCCCCCCGTGGTCGCGTGGATTTTTTTCTGGGTCCTCTGGGTTTTCCCTCCACATATCGGATCACGCGTTTAGAGTATTTGGCTGCGATACATTTCCACGTGATGAGCCCACTTCGTTGGGCTGTCATTTGTTCTGAAAAGAGATACACAGCTCAGTGGGTCTTTACCTGGTAAAATAATTAAAAACTGTTTAGTGTAACCAGGCTGTGACATGCTTGGCTTGAGAAATCTGAACTGGGACAGATGGCTCGTAGGCAGTAAGTAGCAGGGCGTTGTGCAGAGCACGTGAGCAGCGACATCATTTGTGGACTCTTGCAGTTGTACAGTGAGGGAAAACAGTATTTGATCCCCTGCTGATTTTGTACGTTTGCCCACTGACAAAGAAATTACGTCTATAATTTTAATGGTAGGTTTATTTGAACAGTGAGAGACAGAATAACAACAAAAAAATCCTGAAAAACGCATGTCAAAAATGTTATAAATTGATTTGCATTTTAATGAGGGAAATAAGTATTTGACCCCTCTGCAAAACATGACTTAGTACTTGGTGACAAAACCCTTGTTGGCAATCACAGAGGTCAGATGTTTCTTGTAGTTAGCCACCAGGTTTGCACACATCTCAGGAGAGATTTTGTCCCACTCCTCTTTGCAGATCATCTCCAAGTCATTAAGGTTTCGAGGCTGACGTTTGGCAACTCAAACCTTCAGCTCCCTCCACAGATTTTCTATGGGATTAAGGTCTGGAGACTGACTAGGCCACTCCAGGACCTTAATGGGCTTCTTCTTGAGCCACTCATTTGTTGCCTTGGCCGTGTGTTTTGGGTCATTGTCATGCTGGAATACCCATCCACGACCCATTTTCAATGCCCTGGCTGAGGGAAGGAGGTTCTCACCCAAGATTTGACGGTACATGGCCCCGTCCATCGTCCCTTTGATGCGGTGAAGTTGTCCTGTCCCTTTAGCAGAAAAACACCCCCAAAGCATGTTTCCACCTCCATGTTTGACGGTGGGGATGGTGTTCTTGGGGTCATAGGCAGCATTCCTCCTCCAAACACGGCGAGTTGAGTTGATGCCAAAGAGCTCCATTTTGGTCTCATCTGACCACAACACTTTCACCAAGTTATCCTCTGAATCATTCAGATGTTCATTGGCAAACTTCAGACGGGAATGTATATGTCTTTCTTGAGCAGGGGGACCTTGCGGGCGCTGCAGGATTTCAGTCCTTCACGGCGTAGTGTGTTACCAATTGTTTTCTTGGTGACTATGGTCCCAGCTGCCTTGAGATCATTGACAAGATCCTCCCCTGTAGTTCTGGGCTGATTCCTCACCGTTGTCATGATCATTGCAACTCCACGAGGTGAAATCTTGCATGGAGTCCCAGGCGGAGTGAGATTGACAGTTCTTTTGTGTTTCTTCCATTTGCGAATAATCGCACCAACTGTTGTCACCTTAAATTAAGATTTAAAGCTTTCGTGACTGCAGGGATTCATATTCTTGGTTCTTTCGGTAAAGTCACGTAGAAGGGAAACAATAAAATAATAATGTTTTTTATTTTTTATTATTTCATTGTTTCCCTTCTACGTGACATTACCGAAACAACCCAGAATTTGCTGTCACCTTCTCATCAAGCTGCTTGGCAATGGTCTTGTAGCCCATTCCAGCCTTGTGTAGCTCTACAATCTTGTCCCTGACATCCTTGGAGAGCTCTTTGGTCTTGGCCATGGTGGAGAGTTTGGAATCTGATTGATTGATTGCTTCTGTGGACAGGTGTCTTTTATACAGGTAACAAACTGAGATTAGGAGCACTCCCTTTAAGAGTGTGCTCCTAATCTCAGCTCGTTGCCTGTATAAAAGACACCTGGGTGCCAGAATTTTATTGTTGTTATTCTGTCTCTCACTGTTCAAATAAACCTACCATTAAAATTATAGACTGATCATTTCTTTGTCAGTGGGCAAACGTACAAAATCAGCAGGGGATCAAATACTTTTTTTCCCTCTGTACGCCCTCAGAGATGTGTCCGTCTCTCTCTCTCTGTCACAGCAAGGAGTGTAGAAATGTGGGGCAGATATTGTTTTTTGAGTGGCAGATGTGGCGAGGATATCGTGTCGCGTGTTGAAATGACCTCGATGTTTTCTGGCGATGCTTCCACGCGGTGTGTGTGATGGGGGGGTCCTCAATGTGTGCACCGTTCAGCGGGCTTCGACGTTGATTCGATGTTTTGTACTGTTTGTTGTAACGTTCCTCATATATGTCCCCTGGCGCTTGGCCGCCGGGTCAGAGCAAGGGACAGGCCAAGGGCCCTGCCACCGGCGTCAAGGGCGACCCGGCGATGCTGATCAGCGAAAAGGACCGCAAGATTGCCACCCTCATGCTGGCCAAGCATGCCGAGCGGGAGATCGAGGGAGACATCCGAGCCAGAGCCCAGCTGCAGTGGGACTCGGAGCGCACGGAGCGTGAGAAGAGGCGGAGAGCGCAGCGTGCCGAGGAGCGGGCCCGTGGCAGCGCGTCCTGGCTGCCGCCCGCGTCGCCGCCGTCGCTGCTCGGCGGCTCCTTCCCGCCGAGCTCCTCGGCCTCCCCCGGGATCCCGCGGCGAGCACGTAGGGAGCCGAGGAGCCCCGTCTCGTCCCTGGGCAGGGAACTCGGCGAACGCCTCAAGCTGCTGCAGATCGCCGAGACGGCGGCGGCGGCGGCATCGCGCGGAGGCTCCGTCTCGTCGTCGCGCTCGCACTCGTCCCCGCCGGAGGTTCTGGAGATCGTCAGGGAGGAGGACGAGGAGGAGGCCGTGGGGGAGTCCGAGAGCGAGCCGGAGCTGGAGGCCGTGGGGCGGCAGGCGAGCTTCTGGCTCAGCAACGGCAACGGCAGCTGGGAGTGCCCCGCGTGGGGGACGGGGAGCCCCGGGCTCTACCCGCGGGCGATGTCGCCCACGGAGCGCGCCTTTGAGCAGGCGTGGCGCATTCAGAGGGCGCGCATCGCGGCCCGGCAGCAGGCGGCACAGACCATGGAGCGCCACAGGTACAGGTATTTCCTGGGCTCTCGCGGAATTTATTAAAACATTTTATTGAACCAATATCAGCGGTCACATCAGAAGGCACACACGTACTATATCTTTGTTTACACGGGTAACTAAACTAATCTATAACTTTTTATTTTACCAGGTAAGCCCCACCGAGCGATGTAGCTCTTTTTCAGAATTGACCTGGCCATCACAAATGATAGCTCAACCAAGTGGCTTATCACGTGGAAATGTATAACAGCCAAATACTCTAAACGTGTGACGTTGATTCTAAACTTGGTATGGAGAAAACAGGGGAGCCGGAGGAAAATCTACGTGACCACGGGGAGAGAGAGAGACACGCAAACTCCAAATATACAGCAGGCATCAGGGTTGGGATCGAACCCACGACCTCATGCATACCAGGCGAGGCAGATAACATCTCGTCACAGTGGCGCCCCGAACGTACGGGTAACATCAGCATGTCAGGTAGGGGTTGTGCCCTCTGGGTAGGCTTTCTACCTTGAGCAGGAGCTGCATAAAGTGGCCAGCTTCATCTTCTAACCCAGGCATGTGATTTTGGGGACCGGGGGAGAAAGGGGGGATGGGGGGGGGACATTATGAACAACTGTCATGGATTCTTAAAACTTTCCAACAAAGTTTTAAAGCGTTAAAAATATCGATATCTTCTTGATAAAGCGCCGTTCAGTATCTCAAAGCGCTGGACGTAAAAATTAAACTTATGCTCACAAACATTTAATACCTACGTGACTTTACCGAAAGAACCAAAGAGTATAAATATAGATACAATCTAAGCGAAATAGAAAGCTGATAGTAACAATACAATATCATTGACGACTCTCGATATTCCAGTAAAATTGAGAACTATGATAACAGCGAATAATAATAGGTTCGTCAGTTTAACACGTAGACTTTCGCGACCAATAATATTCATAAGTTTTTTTTGGGTTAGATCGCGTAAATATAACTGTGTTGTTAAACCTGCTAGCAAAACGTCACAGTACTCGAATGGTAAATGTTGTGGGTTCACTCTCCATCACACCGGTGTGCTGAACTAGTAACTATTTATCATGTTTTGTTTACGTGACAAACCTTACTAATTGGCTGTGTCGGGTGGTGGCGGGTTTAACGACACATTTATATTTATGCGATCTAACCCAAAAACCTTGATTATGGGTCACGAAGGTCGTTGACTCTCTACACCTCGAGTTGTCTTCATTTCGTTCAAATCGTCGCTCTCCACCGATTTGAATGACGATTTGAATATATTTATGCGATCTAAGCCAAAAAAATCCTGTTATGGACAATAATAATAGCAGAGCCATCCAATCAAGCAACAGCATTGGTTTTAACATCTTAAGTTACAGGGAACGCCAGCAGTAGAAATTTGTGAGTTTTAAGACAGTGATTTAAAAAAGTGATCGACTCCGAATCCCTCGTGGGCCGAGGAAGGGAATTCCACAATGAATGGGACAAACTCCATCTGCCAAGTCGACAAAGGCAGGTCAGGATCATTCTCACGAAGGTAACCTCACGTGAATTCTATTTGATCGTAACGTTGTGTTGTCGTCAGGGAGCCTTGCTCTCGAAAGATTGACCACACTTGGGAGAGTTACAATTTGAAGACTTTCGCCCTCACCCCCATCCCATTGCGATGGCATCAAGCGTCGTGCGATACGCACCCGATGATATCGTCACACGATGCCACCTTCAAGCTGATGCCATCTCATCCCCCTTGAATGCTGTTGATCGTGTTGATCGTCGTCAGCCATGATCCATCCACTGCTGGATGAACGCCTCCCCCACACCGCCGCCGTCTCTCATGCTGCAATACACGCCGAGCTGCATTGGCTTCCGGTTGCCGAACAAATTAACGTTTTAACGTTGCGCTCATTACACACACGAAGTGCTCGCCACAAATCAACCACAATCCCTCGCTGATCTCGTCAAGGACCATAAACCACCACGCGAACTGCGGTCACCCTCACAGTGGCTTCTGGCTGCTGGCCATCGATAAAAGGCGCTCACCGCATCGCGCGCTTTCAGGTGCCCTTCTGCGGCCGTCTGGAACGCTCTTCCTTCCGATATTAGGAAGCCACTGGAGCTATGCACTTTAAATCATCTAGATTGAAATATCATTTCTTTAGAACTGTTTTGTATGTATAGTTTGTTGTTCTTCCCGCAGCACCTCCGACTAACAGGGTTGGCTACGCACGGTGCGGAAGAAGTTCAACATACATATAAATCCATCCAGACACCTGCACGCGAGCCAATACCATCACTTCGTCGCCTTCTTAGACGTCCTCTGGGATGCATTCTTAACCTTGGTTGCCACTCCATCATTATTCGAGACCGTTTGATTTGCCGTCAACCCTGCCCAAGCTCACTCTTCTCAATTGTTAGAAATGTAGATTTAACATGCGTACATTCTTTTAAAACATACACGGATAGGTCAATACATCCAATGATATTTTCTTTAAGGAAGCGTTACAGACGACATACATACGCATTACTTTTTGCCCCGTTTAAATCAATTATAAAGCTTCAAGCTCATGTAGGATAATCCTGTAAAATGTCTATCACGCGTCTGCAAAAGACTACAGACACATCAGAAACGCGGGTTTTGCACAGAAACAGAACGGCGAGTGATGAAAACGGTGGCAGGAGACGTCCAGAAGTGGCTAGACAATGGATGATGACGACGATTATGACGACGATGATGATGACGACGATGCTGACGATTATGATGACGACAATGACGACGATGATGATGATGACGATAATGACAACGATGACGATGATGACGACGATGACAGTTCCCACCAATGTGTACGCTCGTCTACTCCAGAGGCCACCACACAATGCGCCCGGCTGTGTTTGTTGAACTTCCGCTTGGTGAGGTCCTTGCACTCTTGTGCCTGCAAGCCACTGCTTCGCAGGTCCCGAGATTGTCGAGTTCGTGACCATGGGTTGCATGAGATGTCCACCACAAACGCTCACTGATTTTGTTGTTGTTTAGTGATGTGTTTGTTGCGTGATTTTCGCGACTCATGACTGTGATGATGTTGTTGTTGGAGGAGCATCGCCCATATTCCACGGTGGCTAGGGGATGTTAACTACCTCGCCCGGTATACAGGAGGACGTGCGTTCGATCCCTACCCTGACACCTGCTGTATATTTGGAGTTTGCGGTGTCTCTCTCTCCCCGTGGTCGCGTGGATTTTTCTCCAGGTCCTCCGTTTTTCCCCTCCACATTTAGAAACAACATCACGCGTTTAGAGTATTCGGCTGCTATACATTTCCACGCAATAAATCACTTCGTTACGCTAGCATTTGTGATAACCAGGTCGCTTCTGAAACAGAGCTACATACTAGCTCAGTGGGCCTTACTTACCGGGTAAAATAAAACATCTATCTAGTTTTCCAGGCTGCTCACTCTGGAGGTTGCTCACTGGTCAAGGGGTCTCACTGCAGGCACGGAAGAGGTCTCTACGCCATTCAGAGACACTAACTCAAGACTCAAATTATTCACGTCGATTTAGAGAATGTATATAAAACTAAATAAACAAGACGCTTTTGTTTCCCTCGTGGCGATGTCTACACACCGCACCGGGTACTTATTTGAGGCTGAGTCGAACTAGGGGAGGAGGCCCAGCACCGGTTCATGTAATCGTCACCGGCGTTCGCCGTGAGCGGGAATCGAACTCGGTTCGCCGGGTTCGTCAGCGCAGCGTAGCGCTGAATCGCTGCGCCACACACACAGCGACATCTGCGGGTGTGCGGTGTCTCAGGCTCCTGTTGCAGGACACAGAGGAGCGGACCCAGAGAGCGGCGCGCATCGCCCAAGAGCAGCTGCAGCTCCGCGCGGAGCTCGCAGAGCAACGGCGCAGGGAGCGCGAGGCGCAGCACAGGTGAGAATCTGTTCACCCTGGAGTCTGAGTATAGAGAATCGGCACACTCCCTGCTCACCCTGGGGTCTGAGTATAGAGAATCGGCACACTCCCTGTTCACCCTGGGGTCTGGGTATAGAGAATCGGCACACTCCCTGTTCACCTTGGAGTCTGGGTATAGAGAATCGGCACACTCCCTGTTCACCCTGGGGTCTGGGTATAGAGAATCGGCACGCTCCCTACTCACCCTGGGGTCTGGGTATAAAGAATCGGCACACTCCCTACTCACCCTGGGGTCTGGGTATAGAGAATCAGCACATTCCCTACTCACCCTGGGGTCTGGGTATAAAGAATCGGCACACTCCCTACTCACCCTGGGGTCTTGGTATAGAGAATCAGCACATTCCCTACTCACCCTGGGGTCTGGGTATAAAGAATCGGCACACTCCCTGCTCACCCTGGGGTCTGGGTATAAAGAATCGGCACACTCCCTGCTCACCCTGGGGTCTGGGTAGAGAGAATCGGCACGCTCCCTACTCACCTTGGGGTCCTGGGTAGAGAGAATCGGCATGCTCCCTACTCACCCTGGGGTCTGGGTATAAAGAATCGGCACATTCCCTACTCACCCTGGGGTCTGGGTATAAAGAATCGCCACGCTCCCTGCTCACCCTGGGGTCTGGGTATAAAGAATCGGCACGCTCCCTGCTCACCCTGGGACCAGAGCACTTAGATTGCCGATGGCTGCCAAGGCTTCACCAGCACCAGGCGAGGCGCAGTGTAGTGGAACTTTTTCCTTGCATCCATTTGGTTTTCTCTTCATAACTGCGCGCAAGTTATTTTTTTCTATATTAGCTTCGATTGTACAACTCTCGTTCGCTCCATCGGCCCCCAAGCAATAGCAGGATGCAGGAAGTAAATATTAGTCTCTCTCACGTTATTCGGTGCATAATCACAACAGGTGCGGTTGATGTCGGTTAATGCGGATTAAGCGGTAACCGAATGGGGAAAAAACTAAAACCCAACAAAATCATTTAGCAGTTTTCCGCACGCATATAAATGTCTCGAGCAACAAACGCAACATCTTCATCGTTTTAATAGAGCAAGGGAGCTACGGTGGTGTAGGGGTCAGCACGATAGACTTCTAGAGGACATCAGTAAGACCTCCCCGTGCGGTACTTATGTAGTGGGGCCGAGTCGCAGACGTTGTTCCTTTTAGAGGCAACACATTTATTTGTAACACCGTAACACAAAGGGGTAACTGCCCCTTCATCAGATACAGCCTAGGGTGGTGACCACCCAGCTAACTACTCTATACATGGGAGTTACTGCTACGAAGGGTCGGACCCTCACTTGGGTCCGCGACCACGTGTATGCCTCGTAAGACGAAGAGCTTCCAGCTTGAGACGTAGAGCTACCAGCTTGTAGAATGCAGCGACCCCGGTCCCTCCCAGGGACCCGCCTTATATCCCCCCACGGGTCGGGGCTGCTCCACCCTTGGCCCCGCCCCCTTCTGGAGCCTTCCAGCTCCCTCTCGATCCCTCTCGAGAGCTCTCCCCGGACACGTGATCACCCCCTAGTCCCCCCCCCCCCACCTGGGGGCCTCTCTGTGGACACTCCAGATCACGTGTCTGCGGAGTCAACCAGAGTGCCATGGCCCAGGGCAACCCTGCCCCTGGGCTGACACTCTCTCACTCCCCCCTGTGGGGGCTCGCAGCACACGCTGTGCGTGGTGCTCGCGCTATCCCAGCGCACACCAAGCCCCGCTAGGGCTGGTACTACACCCGCCCAAGGGGTGTGTGCGATGACAGTGCATCGCGTGCTGTGGCCCTCTCAGGCCGGCACCATACAGTGACATCCCCGATGTCACTACACTTACAGCTCTGCCCATTCAGCGGTATAGATGTGAAGTGTCAACAATTCGGAGCCAAGGGTTTCCAGGAGGCACCTCATGTTCTCCCTAGTCGTCTAGCCTCGCCTAAACACAACGCTGACCATGTAACACTGAAGGCGCTGACCGAGACAGCCAACAACTATCCGGCCGCGCAATATCGAGCGAAGACGGCAGTGACGAAGGCGGCGAAGACAATAGCATCGAAGAGACGAGTCCACTCCCAAAACCGGTAGCCCTGAGCTCCTGCTCTCAGCTGCTTTTATGCTACCCAGGATGGCCTGGCTCCGCCCTGGCCACGCCTCCCTTCTCAAACCCACTTTCAGGTTCCAGGGGCTTCCCGATGAGGTCTTCCATGACCCTTGCCCCAGTTCCTCTGCCCTGCCGGCACACCCGTGAATATATTCACCGGCGTGTGTACTGTTTGTGTGTACTGTTTGTGTGTACTGTTTGTCCACCGCAGTTGCCGCCGCTGGACAGCAGCGATTACACTACAAATGTTTACACCACAGTTAAGTTGCATGTGGTGGGCTAAAATGTGGGGACGTCCACCTCTTCCAAGACATTGGCAAGGACAAATACCCCTTGAAAGCAAGTGCTTTGGAACCGGTGTGCGTGCGGCAAGGTCCCAGTTGCGCCGCGGTCTTTTCTGAAATCACGGGAAAGTACAGCTCCTTAAACAGCCCCCCCCACTCCCCACACCTCCCACTCTTCCATTGGTCAACGGTGCAATGCGGCAGACAGCCGTCGGCCCCCTCCCCCGGCCCTCTAAACAACTCTTCTCAGCCGTGTGCTCAGGTAAAAAAAACCAGCCACTACGAGATGGGGGACGTAGTGTAAAAAAAGAATGTTATAAATTGATTTGCATTTTAATGAGGGAAATAAGTATTTGACCCCCTCTCAATCAGAAAGATTTCTGGCTCCCAGGTGTCTTTTATACAGGTAACGAGCTGAGTTTAGGAGCACACTCTAAAAGGGAGTGCTCCTAATCTCACCTTGTTATCTGTATAAAATACACCTGTCCACAGAAGCAATCAATCAATCAGATTCAAAACTCTCCTTCATGGCCAAGACCAAAGAGCTCTCCAAGGATGTCTGGGACAAGATTGTAGATCTACACAAGGCTGGAATGGGCTACAAGACCATTGCCAAGCAGCTTGGTGAGAAGGTGACAACAGTTGGTGCGATTATTCGCAAATGGAAGAAACACAAAAGATCTGTCAATCTCGCTCGGCCTGGGGCTCCATACAAGATCTCACCTCGTGGAGTTGCAATGATTATGAGAACGGTGAGGAATCAGCCCAGAACGACACGGGAGGATCTTGTCAATGATCTCAAGGCCAGCTGGGACCATAGTCACCAAGAAAGCAATTGGTAACACACTACGCCGTGAAGGACTGAAATCCTGCAGCGCCCGCAAGGTCCCCCTGCTCAAGAAAGCACATATACATGCCCGTCTGAAGTTTGCCAATGAACATCTGAATGATTCAGAGGAAACTGGGTGAAAGTGTTGTGGTTAGATGAGACCAAAATGGAGCTTTTTGGCATCAACTCCACTCACCGTGTTTGGAGGAGGAATGCTGCCTATGACCCCAAGAACACCATCCCCACCGTCAAACATGCAGGTGGAAACATTATGCTTTGGGGGTGTTTTTTTGCTAAGGGGACAGGACAACTTCACCGCATCAAAGGGACGATGGACGGGGCCATATACCGTCAAATCTTGGGTGAGAACCTCCTTGCCTCAGCCAGGGCATTGAAAATGGGTCGTGGATGGGTATTCCAGCATGACAATGACCCAAAACACACGGCCAAGGCAACAAAGGAGTGGCTCAAGAAGAAGCGCATTAAGGTCCTGGAGTGGCCTAGTCAGTCTCCAGACCTTAATCCCATAGAAAATCTGTGGAGGGAGCTGAAGTTTCGAGTTGCCAAAAGTCAGCCTCGAAACCTTAATGACTTGGAGAAGATCTGCAAAGAGGAGTGGGACAAAATCCCTCCTGAGATGTGTGCAAACCTGGTGGCCAACTATAAGAAACGTCTGACTTCTGTGATTGCCAACAAGGGTTTTGCCACAAAGTACTAAGTCATGTTTTGCATAGGGGTCAAATACTTATTTCCCTCATTAAAATGAAAATCAATTTATAACATTTTTGACATGCGTTTTTCTGGATTTTTTTGTTGTTATTCTCTCTCACTGTTCAAATAAACCTACCATTAAAATTATAGACTGATCATTTCTTCGTCAGTGGGCAAACGTACAAAATCAGCAGGGGATCAAATACTTTTTTCCCTCACTGTACTTCTGCATGGTGGACCCTTCCAAACGTCAGACTGGCAATAATGCACCTGCTATCACGTATCTGGACCTTCCTTCATCCATCGCCCCGGTGCCACACTGCCATGAGCTCCCCATACCCACTCCTCCGGAGAGCAGCAAGCCAGAGAACAAGGAAGACGTAGATCCAGATGAAAATTTCAGAGGTGTAGCTGAGAAGAGAAACCCATACTACCCCAACCAAAAAGGCCTCAACGACTTGATCAGAGATCTTGGACTCACCAAGTCCAATGCCGAGCTTTTGACGTTTAGGCTCATGCAGCTGAACTTATAGGATGAAAGTGTGCAAGTCCCAGATCAGAGGAGGCGTCACAAACCTTTTTGCAGCTTCTTCACCTATCAAGATGGTCTCTGCTTCTGCCACAATGTGACCAGTCTGTTCGAGGCAATCGGAATCGCCTGTAACCAGAATGAGTGGCGCCTTTTCATTGACAGCTCATCCAGGAGCCCCAAAGCCGTGCTGCTCCATAATGGTAACAAGTACCCGTCTCTTCCCCTGGCTCACTTTGTGCACTTCAAAGAGGATTCCAACAGCATCAAGACCTTGCTGGACACCTTGAAGTATGATGAGTATGGCTGGGAGGTCATCGGAGACTTCAAAATGGTGGCATTCTTGATGGGTCTCCAAGGCGGTTTTACCAAGTTTCCCTGCTATCTTTGCCTTTGGGACAGCAGGAACACCAAGGCACACTGCCACAGGCGGAACTGGCCACAGCGGACCGAGTTCTCTGTGGGGAGGAACAACGTCAAGTGGGAGCCACTGGTGGACCCCCGGAAGGTGCTGATGCCACCACTGCACATCAAATTGAGCCTTATGAAACAATTTGTCAGAGCTGTAGATAAGGAGTCAGCAGCCTTCAAGTACCTTCAAGACTTCTTCCCTAAGCTGTCTGAGGCAAAGGTCAAAGCCGGTGTCTTCGTTGGACCACAGATAAAGAAGATCCTGAAGTGCAATGAATTCCCCAAGAAGCTCACTAGTGATTGCCCAGGAAGCCACGAACCACTGCTTTGTCGCAGTGGTTCGTGGCTTCCTGGGCAATTACAAGGTCGAAAACTATGTGGAGCTGGTTGAGACTCTGGTGAAGAACTACGACACAATGGGCTGTAGTATGTCCCTCAAAGTCCATATCCTTGATGCTCATCTTGATAAATTCAAGGAGAACATGGGAGCATACTCGGAGGAGCAAGGTGAGCGCTTCCACCAGGATATACTGGGACTTTGAACGCCGCTACCAAGGACAATATAATGAGAACATGTTGGGAGGCTACATTCGGTGGCTGATTCGTGGAAGTGATTTACAGTCTAATTGTACATATCGAAAAACTACTCACTTCTAAATCTTTTGTCGTCATTTTTGCATTACTTTAGTATAGATACACGTTAATTTTGATTCATGTTGTTTTGTTCTGACTTTATGTGAACGAAAAGACAGAAATTCGCTCGTTTCCTCATTGAAAATATGGAAATTTAAAAATATCACTGTCCTGGTCACAAAAGCAAGAGAAGCTGTATCCATTGCCATAACAGAAACCGTAATGTCAAAAAAGCTAGTCGAGGTCTAAATACTCACGAATGGACGTCGCTGATTGGCTGAGGTGTGGGTCAGCCCCACTTACGAGTACTCGGATTGGCCGAAATTGGCGCTCCGCGTGCATAACGTGAACATGGTACCGTTAGTCAGAATGTTAGCGCCAGTTGAAACCATGGGATCCCTATGGGAAGTGAAACGTTCACCGAAAAAGCGTCAACCGATGTCACCGTCAACCGAGGCACCAAAGTAGTGCGTTATAGGAGAACTGAGTATACTTACAATGGAGCTGTCGCATGCGTCCCCGTCTCCCCACCTACCCCTCCCCCCAGGTCGACGCTGCTGCGCCTGGCCGAGCTGGAGGAGCAGCGGCGGCGCGGGCACGAGGAGGCGGCGGCGCGATCCCGCGACGCGGGGCTGCGCGCAGCGCGCGAGCGCGACGTGGCGCGTGACGCCGCGCGGGCCCTGGCGCGTGCGGCGTGCCGCGTGCGGGAGCGCGTGCGCGATGCCGTCAACTCGCGCTCCTTCCACCACGTGGCGCGCGAGGCCGAGGTGAGCGCGCGCACGCTGCGCCATGCGCCGCCCTGGTAGTTGCACGGAGGGGTGTGGGGAATATTGGCGGGAGGTATTGTGTGGCTTTTCGGTGATACGGGCACGACGTTTGGGGTTTGGTGATATGGGTACGGAGTTTGGCACGTGGCGAGGGAACAACGTCCGATTAAAGATATTCGGCTCTTAAGGCTGTCGCGGAAATGGCAGCCATTTTAAAAAAATTGCCATCGTCTATTATTTAAACGTTACCCTCCAGGTTCTGGTTAAACAAGTCATAACACCGGGCCAGCAGATTGCCAGCGCTGAAAACAACAGAGACTGTGATCCCAGTTCAACAAGTGGACGTGACTCCTTTTACAGAATTGGAATATCAATTGTTTCAGCATCCAAGCAAGGAGTGCAATGGGCTGTGAGCGCCGTTGGTGACCACACAACTAAGTTGCTGCCTAGAAGACTGTGGCTCACATACCACAGGCACACAGCCATGTGCCATCACTTTCCTGATGTGTAGAAAAGATCCACTTGTGCCAAAGCTATTAGGTCTGAACAAAGCGGACTGTCAACTCATCTTTCAGGCCATGCAGAAGGAATACTACTGTTACTATTTTTATTTCTCCAGGTAAGGCCCCCACTGAGCTACGCAGCTCTTTTTCAGAAGCAACCTGGCCACAAATGATAGCTCAACGAAGTGGCTTGTCACGTGGAAATCCATCACAGACAAATACTCTTAAATGCATGTTGATTCTAAATGTGGAGGGAGAAAAAATCCACGCGACGACGGGGAGAGAGACACCAAATCTCAAATAGACAACAGACATCAGGGTCGTGATCGAACTCACGACCTCCTGTATACCAGGTGAGGTAGTTAACATCTCGCCATCGCGGCGCAGACGGCTGGACCACGTGACGGCAGGTGGTGGCTGCTGAAGTAAATACTCCAGGAGGATGAGACAGCCTCCCGGGCTGCAAATTGTGGCAGTGGGTGACCAGTGAATGCAGCAACGGACAAATGTTGGCGCTCACTTCTCTGCTTCCTCTCTTATACGACCAGGTCAAGTCTGTGCCCACGATTCGTCTCCAGCTGAATGTAGGGAAGAATGCAGTGGAGAGACATGAACCCTGGACACGTTCCCTCCACCGTGGATCAGCCCCTTGTGACACATTTCCACAAGCAATTCAAAGCGGAGCTGACCAGCAAGCCACGGCCAAGAACACGTGTTTTCTTTGTCATGTTCGACAGGCTTCAAACTGAGATGGCAGCTCTCAAGACATTTGGAAACCTTTCGGAGGGCAGTGTGCGTGAACCAGTGCTAGCATTGCCACATCCGGAACAGCACACTCCTCAGAGAGCTTCCCGTGTGACACTCGATGCACTCTGTGGGGGCTACCGTCCCCCGCCATCACCGAATTGTCGGGGCCGTTGGCCCCCGACTCCCCCGTTAAATTCATACCACTACCACAACTGCAACACCCGGTGTATGATTATGCCCGTGGGTACCCGTGTACCTCACGGCGCAGCTCTACTCACGCGGTAACCACCGCCAGCAGCATTGCTTGCTTGAATTGTGTAATCTTATTTCATTTACCGTCGCAGCCGGTCGGAAGCAACTAATTAGGCTGCGCTGCGGAATACCCGCTCACCAATTTATCTCTACGCGCTACACGCGCGGCGCGTGCCGTGAGCGCCGCTGCTCCTGCACGCCCCCGTACTGGCGCGGGCGAAGTGCAACCAGTACCACACGATGCAGAGGCTAACCACACCACACACTAGTGGATTTAATGATCGAAGGACCCGTACTTTAATTCCCAGGGTGATAGCACATTACTGCTGCCCCGGCATGCGCGTCAAGCCCCGAGTGGACCCACCCGTGTGAACGTAAACACGTAGGTAAAATTACTCACTCACGCGCAAACAAAAGAATCACTACGGGCAGGCTCGCCACACCACGCACCGCCCCTCCGTACTCACAGAGACAACACGACGCGGTTTATACCCTACGGACGGTTTATTCCCCACGAATAAACGAACTAGACTGTGCGTGTCAGTACGGACCAGTAGGACAGGTCTAAACTATCTCGCTACTGCCTGATACTTAATCGACCTGTCTGCCCTCTATTTTCTCTCCGAATTTCGTCCATTTGTCTTACCTCTCTCCCTCTTACTTACGGTCTGACCTCGCAGCGATGGAGGTCGCGGATAGATGATGCTGTAAACAGAATCTGGCTGTTCTCTGCCCCATCTCACGGACGTGCGAGTAACAGTCAGGTGACAGCTCCTCGATCCCTCCCTCCTGCTGATCTCCAGTCAAATAATAAAAATGGCCCCGTGCTTCCCCAAAGCGTCCCTTTTTATGCTCCTTTCAAAGCCCTCGCACCGCCCATCCGCGGTGTATCACGGGTCAGGCCGTTAATCCGCGGTGCATCATGGGTAGGGCCGTTAATCCGCGGTGCATCATGGGTAGAGACGCTAACCCGCGGTGCACCATGGGCAGAGACGCTTAACCCGCGCTGCCCCGCTCCCCACCTGTCTGCTGGTCCGCGTGTGTCTCCTCAATGCGGTTCTCAGTGAGTTCTCCGTGGTCATTTAAGTTAAGCCACGGCGCCGCAGTGCCATTTGGCCTGGGGGTGGGGGGGTGCCTGCCAATTCCCTGACCCTGAGAAACCGTGGAGTACCCCCACGAGGGGGCCTCTCGGGTAAAAACTCAGGGCAGGTGCCCCCCTCCCTCCCCATGAGGCCCTACTTGAGTGTATGTGTGTTTAGGTGGGGGGGGGGGGGGGTGGCGGGGGAAGTGCTGTGATTGGAGCCGGGTGGCTTCTAGGTCGCAGCTGCACAGTGACGGCCCCGGTTTCGACGGAGCGGCTTCGCTGTTGTGGCACCACACAGCCCCCCGAGGTGCCAGTCCCCGTCCTGGGTTGACTGGAGCACCTCGCCTGGGTTGCTCCCACGAGGTAGCGCCGCGGGGTCCGTGGGACTCGTCCAGTCCTCGTGGCCGGCCTCGGGGGTGGTGGCTCCTTCTCCCGGAGTTCGGGCGGAGGTCTCCTCCTCCACTCCAGCGGTTTTCCTTGGTCCTTGGCACCTGCAGGCTAGGAGACAAACTCGGGGGCGGTAGGGTTCAGGGACCGTCGTCCCCGTCCTCCCTGGCCCGGGTCAGGACCCCCCGGGGCCCGGGGCTCCGTGGGGCCCATATACCGTGCGAGGCCCCCGGGTATGGGGGGTGTGGGGACCCCGGGGTTTCGGGGTACTCGAGCGGCGGGGTTCTCCTTCGCTAGGGCCGCCCTCCATGGTTTTAGTCGCCGGACGTTGACCACCATCTCCCGGCCTCTCTCCCCCCCCTGAATCAGTACAGTCCAGGGGGAGATCTGTCGTCCCACGGTCCAGGGTCCCCGCCAGTAGGTGGTTGGCTTCCCCGCCTGCCCGGCCCTGACGCGAGGGGTGTGTAGCCATACCTTAGAGCCCGCCGAGTAGAAAGGGGGCTCCATTCTGGGTCGGGCCCCCTGCTCCTGCCGCTGGTGTGCGGCCTCGCGTTGCGGGTAGGCCCGGCCCCTAGCTCCTCGTAGGGTCTCCATCAGGTGCTCCACGGGGCGGCTCCCTTCCTCCCATTGCGGCGGAGGGACACCGAACAGCAGATCTGTGGGCAGGCGAGACTCACGGCCAAACATCATTAGGAACGGGGTCTGTCCCATAGATGTGTGTACCGTGGTGGCGTAGGCGAACAGAGCATAGGGGAGGTGTTCGTCCCAGTCCCGTTGATTCACGGCCGCCATGCGTTTAAGCTTCCCAGCTAGAGTCTGGTTCATCCTCTCTACCATCCCATTTGCCTGGGGGTGGTACGCCGTAGTTCGGTCCTTCTGGATCCCGAACTCCCGGCACAGCGCCTGGAATAGCTCTGCCTCGAACTCACTACCCTGGTCGGTAATGACTCGTTCGGGGATCCCGTGCTTCAGTACGTAGTGTTCCACGAACGCTCAGGCCACTACGAGGGCTGTCTTATCGGGGATGGCCACCGCTACGGGATAGCGTGTGAAGTACTCCACCGCTACGAGAATATATCGGTTGCCCCGGTGGGATCGCGGGAATGGCCGTTGCAGGTCGATCCCAACCAGCTGATTCGTTCGACTGACGCGGAACGGTCTCAGGGGTACCTGGTATCGCGCTGGTTTCGGCCCGCACTGCTGGCACGCGCGGCAGCCCTGTACCCAGGCGGCCACGTCTTGTGCTAACTTGGGCCAGAGATACTGGCGACGCAGGGTTTCCCGAGTGCGCCGTTCCCCGTCATGGCCCCCGAGCGGGTGGTCGTGCACGAGTCTTAGCAGCTGGGGTCGCACCTGGGCGGGAACACAGATGCACCCAGGCTGGCCGGCTTCGGTCAGCTCTCGTACTACCCCGTTCTGCACGCACAACTGGGCGTACAAAGCACTCCAGGGTCCTGGTAGGGCATCCTTCTCCCGTAGGGCCGCTTCCACCGCCGCCAGATCCGGATCCCGCAGCTGGGTCCGTCTCAGCTGCTCGTCGTCCAGGCCCGGAAAGGCGCAGCCGACGTCCTCCTGGATCCGATCGGATGGGGTTGCGCGACCCGTCGGGCCCCGGGGTGTGGGCCCCGTGCCCGCCGAGTAGTCCCCCGGGTCCCTGGTTTCTCCTACCGGGGTCTCTGTGGCACATACTGCACTGCCTCTCACCGGGGGAGGGTTAGTCTCGGTGCGCTCCTGGGGGCCTGCCATCTGCCGGCAACGGCCCCCTGTGAAGCACGGGCAGACTTCCTCCACCCTTGTCTCGGCGCACACTGCGGGCTGCCTCGACAAGGCGTCCGCGTTTGCGTGCGTACGCCCAGCTCGGTACTCTATTTGCAGGTTGTACTCCTGCAGCTGCGCCAGCCATCGGGCCATCTGCCCCCGCGGTTCCTTGAATGTAAGGAGAAACTGCAGGGCATAATGGTCGGTGTGCACCCGACATTTCCTGCCGTACAAATACGGTCGGAACTGTTTACACGCGAAGATCACGGCATACAGTTCTTGACGGGTCACGCAATAATTCAGCTCGG